GTCCCCACTCCTCCACATGCAGCTGTTGGGTGACCTTGGGCTAGTCACACTTCTCTCTTAGCCCCACTCACCTCATTGAGTGTTTGTTGTGGGGAGGAAGGGAAAGGAGAATGTTAGCTGCTTTGAGACTCCTTCAACTAGTGATAAAGCGGGATATCAAATCGAAACTCCTCTTCTTCCTATTCTTGGCTTCTTTGACAATATACCAGATGTTAATCTCTCTGGAAAGCATCTTATATGTGTTCTATTACGTTGCTGTCCCAGTTGCCCCCACCCCATAACTCAGAGCAGGTTACAGAAAACCAGACCACTTGTAACACTTTAAAAGGCCCTTGGAAGTTAAAGCATTAAAATCTCTGCTAATGCCCACTTCATTTCTTTTTTGGAAGGAACTCCAACTCACCTCTTGCACCCATTTTGCAGCTCCGTTCATGTTTTCAGCCTGGCTCCCCACAACCAAAGTTCAATCCAACAAATGCACAGTCCAGGTGAAACAGACTGAGCGGAGAAAGCTTTTGACAATATCTCTTGGAGTTTTATGAAGAAGAACCTACAGGGGATGGGGGTAGGCCAAGGTTTTGAAAACGGTATAAGTGCAATTTATTCAGAACAAAAGGCTAAACTAATTGTAAATAATGTGGTGACGGAAGAATTTAGGATAGAAAAAGGGACAAGACAAGGTTGCCCAATTTCTCCATTGCTTTTTATATCGGTCCTGGAGGTTCTGCTGAACATGATTAGAAGGTTAAAGGTATACAGGTCAGAGCCAAACAGTACAAATTGAGAGCATTTGCAGATGACTTAGTATTGACGTTACAGGAGCCAGAATCTAGTAGCAAAAGAGTTTTAGAACTGATTCAAGAATTTGGTCAAGTTGCAGGATTTAAGTTGAATAAGTTAAAGACCAAGGTTTTAGAGAAAAATTTAACACCAATGGAGGAGAGAGGTTTCAGAATGAGACAGGTTTAACAGTGGTTAAGAAAGTTAAAAACTTAGGGATTAACATGACAGCAAAAATGGGAATTTATTTAAAGACAATTATGAAAACGCTGGGCTGAAGTGAAAAAGATTTAGAAATTTGGTCAAATTTGAAGCTTTCACTGCTAAGCGCATTGCTGCGGTAAAATGAATGTATTGCCTAGAATGTTGTTTTTGTTTCAAACACTGCAAATTGTGGACAAAATGGACTGTTTCAAGAGGTGGCAGAGAGATATTTCTAAATTTGTCTGGCAGGGCAAGAAGCCTAGAATAAAATTTAAAATATTAACAGATGCAAAGGAACGAGGTGGATTTGCCCTGCCAGACTTTAAACTTTACTATGAATCAGCAGCTAGAAGGCTTCAACAATGTATTTGGATGGCATGCATATCTGTGGTATGATAAGGTCAAAGCACATAAAGCATTTAAAAATCACATTGTCAGGAAAGCGTTGTTTAATGTCTGGATAAGATACAAGGACTTATTGGAAAATAAAACTCCAAGGTGGCTGTCACCGATGGAAGCAAAAGCTCTGAAAAAGCTCAATATGGAGGCCAAATGGCCGAAATACTGGGAAATTTTGGAACAAGACGGAGATAGACTGAAACTGCAGAGTTTTGAGAAATTAAAAAACAAAGTGCGAGATTGGCTTCATTATTATCAGATAATGGAGGCATATAAGTTGGATAAGAAAATTGGTTTCCAGGTGGAAAAATCAAAATTAGAAACAGAACTATTAGAATCCAAAACTAAGATTTTGTCAAAGATGTATAACTTGCTGTTGAAATGGAATACTCAGGATGAAATGGTGAAATCTGCTATGATTAAATGGGCACAAGATGTTGGACATAACATAATGATGGCTGACTGGGAACAGTTATGGACCACAGGTATGAAGTTTACGGCATGTAATGCCTTAAGAGAGAATATTATGAAAATGATATACAGGTGGTACATGACCCCAGTCAAGCTTGCAAAAATTTATCATTTGCCCGATAACAAATGTTGGAAATGTAAAGAAACTGAAGGTACATTCTTTCACCTTTGGTGGACGTGCCCAAGGATTAAGGCTTTCTGGGAAATGATATACAATGAACTGAAAAAGGTATTTAAATATACCTTCTTGAAAAAACCAGAGGCCTTTCTCCTAGGCATAGTCGGTCAATTAGTGCCAAAGAAGGATAGAACTTTTTTCATGTATGCCACAACAGCAGCAAGAATACTCATTGCAAAGTATTGGAAGACACAAGATCTACCCACTCTGGAAGAATGGCAGATGAAGTTGATGGACTATATGGAACTGGCAGAAATGACTGGCAGAATCCGAGACCAGGGAGAAGAGTCGGTGGAAGAAGATTGGAAGAAGTTCAAAGATTATCTACAGAAATATTGTAAAATTAATGAATGTTAGAATGATGTTGGATAGAAATTAACTGGTTTCTAGCTTTAATGCTTTAAGGGAATATGAAAAATGGGTTGTTAAGAGGTAAAAATCTATCGTTACTATTTTAAGACCAAAGATTAGGGCAAATAAAGAGGGTAAGGATTTACTGAACCAACAAACTGAACTGGAATACAAAAAAGGGAGGTATGAGGAGGTCCGGGAAACAAGCTAAGGAGAAATAAGCAATGGAAAAATTGAGTGGTTTTTAATCATTTTTATTTTGTATTTCCTTTTTCTTTTTCATTTTTTATTTAAAAAAATCTTAATAAATATCTTATAAAAAAAAGAAGAAACAGACTGAGACTGAGGGTTCTGCACACTGGTTGCTTTCTAAGAGTGCTATTGCAGGGTGACTACCACTTCTAATCTCAATTTGTAGGCTAAGCCAGGTTTGGTTTTTGGAACTTGTGAGTCCACCTCCCAGCGGGCAACAAGTACCACTGTTCTGTCCCTACCATTATTAGGCAGAGAGAGGTAGCTGGTTTTGGGTTATTCATTTGGATATTTAATTTATTATTATTATATTTGGGTTGGGGACGGTTTCCTGCTAAGGCAAGTGAGAAATACTTGTGTTTTTTTTCTGCTCCAGGTGCCAAAGTGATTGGCATTGGGTACTACACACCTCTGCTTGGAGGGGTGGGTGCTGTTTCAATTAGGGTAGGAGTAACTGAGCCAACTTGGCAAAGTGAGCTTGATTTCCAGGTGATGTTAGCCCTGAACTGAGTCTCCAAGGGGGAACCTCAAAACTCTGTTCTGCCCTTCCCTCTGCAGGCAATGGAAGCTTCAGTCTGGTTATCCCTTTTTACATGTGCAGCACAGGGTGAGAGGGAGCTGGTCTACAGCTCTCTTTGCCATTGATGGTGGTAGTGGCTGTGGTGGAGCTAGATTTAGTCCTGAAAGTGGGCCTTTCCCAGGCTTCACGCTCTCACATGTTCTCCTCCCACATATCCAGTCTATAGTCCCTTTAAGTAGTTTTTTAAAAAATATATATAAAAAAGCAAGGATATGTCTCAGCATGCCTATACTATTTAACCAAGCTGGCTTCTCAATCTGTAGGATCTTACAAGCACTGAATTTCTGACTTCACTCTCAATCTCTTTCGTACAGGACAGGAGCTGTCTGCACTTTAATTATTCTAATATACAACGTTGTCTCATTGGGCCCATGCTAGAAAGCACAGGTCCAAGCAGTTTCAGCTGTAGGTCGGAACAAATGGCAGGTAACATATGAGGAAAAGCCAAATTGTCATTTGTTCTGACTGATCGCTAAAGAGCAGTTTCCCCCCAGGGTAAAAGCAGCTGCACAAGAAGAAGGTTGGATAAGCTCTTTTCTTTAAGGATGCAGTAGGGAACTGGGCTCCCATGTCTTTAACAGTTGCCCAAGACTGAGAATCACAACAGCTGCAACTTTTCTCACCAGTTATGGGAAAGGTGCAATTGTTAAGATGCTCCTTTCACCTTGTACTTAAAGGCTTGGGAGCTCAGTGACTTGTTTGCTCTGACAACGTGACTAACAATGTATGTGTAAGGTAGTAGCCCTCGGTTGTGTAACAATATTTAAATGCCCCCTTGCATTTTCTTTGCTTCAGTTAACAGTATTCTTTAAAAATATTTTTATTTTTCCTCTTAATTAGGAGAATGAGAGATGCATTTATCCTCAAAGAGGCTGATATAATATAATCAGTCTTCTTTATGTATTGGATTTGCACAGATGTTTGGCATTTGAGGTTTGTAAATGTTTATCGTTTTTCTGCAAAACAGTTCTAGGAAAAGCGTTGTCACTGACAGCGTTGCTTAGATATTTTTCAAAGCTGCTTTTCCGTCAACCAAGAGGCTTCAGCCGTATAACATTTGGCTTTATTTGAAGGGAAACAGTATTTAGTTTGGGACATTTGGTTTTTTAAGCACATCTTTTCTATCTGATAGTATCTGGAACTGAACCCAGTCTTTGTACACACACTCTCTTGAATGATTCCCCCCTCAGTAACACATGCAACTTTAAACACATTATGCAAAAATAAGGGCCATTATTGTTAAGAGAATTTACTTTTAAAATAAGTACAGTCATAACTCGGGTTGAATATGCTTCAGGATGAGCGCTTTCGGGTTGCGCTCTGCGGTGACCCAGAAGTAACGGAGCCCGTTACTTCCGGGTTTCACCGCTCATGCATGCTCAGACGGTCAAAATAATGTCATGCACATGCACGGAAGCGGCGAATCGTGGCACTCGCAGATGTGGGTTGCGTTCGCTTCAGGATGCGAACAGGGTTCCGGAACGGATCCCGTTCGCATCCTGAGGTACCACTGTAGTTTAAGATTGTAGCCCAGGTTATTGGGAAATGTAGTAGTAAATATTCTTAATGCTTTCCGTTTTGAGGAACTCTGAGTTGCTCCTTAATACATGGCTTCCAAGCAAGATAATCTCATAAGTCAAATTCATTAACATTCCAACTTAAAAGCTTTCATTCTGGTTCAAGATGCTGCTACTGAACATTCAAGATGATATTTGGGGCGCAGAGTATAAGCATCTCCTTCTGTAGCAGATACATATGAACACACTTCTCTTTCTCATTGTAGGAATGGAGACCCGGAAGCTAATCACCGCAACAGACAACCAGTACTCTGGCATGTTGTTAAAGGCTTTGGACGAACAGCGAGGACATGGACTTTTCTGTGATGTTACCATCATTGTGGAGGACCGGAAATTTCGAGCCCACAGAAATGTCCTTTCAGCCTCCAGCACTTACTTCCACCAGCTTTTCGCGCTTGCAGGTCAAGTGGTTGAACTGAACTTCATCAGAGCAGAAATTTTTGCAGAAATTCTCAATTACATTTACAGCTCCAAAATAGTCCGGGTGAGATCGGACTTGCTCGATGAGTTAATTAAATCAGGGCAGTTGCTGGGAGTTAAATTCCTTGCTGATTTGGGTGGTCCTTTGCAGCAGGTGAAAAGTATGTCAGGAAGTGTCAAGCCTGGTGCTTCAGAATGGCCCGACTCTGAAACTAATGGCCTCGAAGTACAGAAACCTCCAACACCAGCTGGGGGCCAAAATCTAATTGATGAGAAGCCCGCTGTAACGGTCTCGTTGCATGGGGAAGCGTGTGATTCTGCAAAGATTACCATTAGTGATTCTGACGATGACGACGTCATTTTCTGCTCCGAGCTTGTGCCTCCAAAGGACTGTCCCCTGGAGCCTACTGTAGTAGCACAGAGCCAGCCTTGCTTAAATCCTGTGGGGGTTCCTGACCAAATAAATTGTACCAGCAGTTCCCCGCCTCAGTCAGCTACAGCGACAGCTCCGAGGCTTGACTCATGCCCTGGCCAGTCAAATCCAATTGAAAACCAAGTACCTGCTGAGCCGTTTGTCCCCTCGGTTCCAAAACCTGCGGCTTCAAATATGCTTGTGTTAAATAGGCCGCAGATTGGAGCTTTGCCGAATGCTGGCTCATCGCATGAAATAGAGGTATCTCCTATCCCCGAAGAGAATCAGCAGCCATCTATTAACGACTCCTTAACTGACATGGAGACCAATGCCATTGATGAAGAAGAGGATGAGGATGAGGATGTTGAAGATGACGATGACATCCTCGGTTCGTCCAGCCCAGGGTCAGCAAGCAGCAGTTCTTTGGTCCAGCAGCCCACCACCCCTAAACCAGCCGCTGCACCTGATGCCACAGGAGTACAGAAGAAGCACAGTCCTAGCTTTCCCCAAGAAGCAGTCTCCCAACCCAGAAAGTTCAAAAAGAAAGTTTCTGATGTTCCTCCTGGGAGCAACAAGGACGCTCCAGTGGGCTCTGTGCCAAAGCATGTAACGGAAGGCCAGAAGACCATCACTTTAGATAAAGCTACTGAGATAGAAGGCTTGTCGACAGGTTGCAAGGTTTATGCAAACATCGGTGAAGATACCTATGATATCGTAATTCCTGTGAAAGATGAGGCTGATGGAGAAGTGCAGTTGGATGACATGCCCAGAACATCAGGGGACGATTCTACAAACAGGAAGCGCCTCAAAGTAAAGCATGATGATCACTACGAGCTCATAATGGATGGCAAGGTCTACTACATCTGCATTGTGTGCAGGAGGTCTTACGTTTGTCTTACAAGTTTGCGGAGACACTTCAACGTGCATTCTTGGGAGAAGAAGTATCCATGTCGCTATTGCGAGAAGGTTTTTCCTCTTGCAGAGTACCGCACCAAGCATGAAATTCACCACACCGGGGAGCGGCGGTACCAGTGCTTGGCATGTGGCCAGTGTTTCATCAACTATCAGGTCATGGCCACACATGTAAGATCGGTTCACAGCCAGGATCCTTCTGGCGAGCCCAAGCTATATCGCTTGCATCCCTGTCAGTCTCTGCAGATCAGAAATTATGCATATATTTCAGGTAGTTCCAGCAATATACCTATGGTAAATGACAATGCTCTTGTTTATCCTGTTGACCCTGCAAAAGAAGCCCCTCAAGAACCAGCCCCTAACCCTTCAGCAAAGCCAATGACCTGGGATGATATCTTTGTTCCGCAGGGAAGTGAATCACTATTCAAACAAAATCCATCGGATGGCAGTACTGAATTTGAGTTTGTTATACCGGAATCTTACTGAATCTTCTCTCTGATTGAAATAGAAATATAGATATATATATATATATAGTTATAGATATATATAAAGAAAAACTTCTTTAAATGGGCTGCTTGAAAAAAGTTGTAGGACATCTCATGTTATGTAACAAGTCAGTGTGTTTAATGCCTAGCCAACAAAATGTAGTATGTTAAGACTAGAATGCCTATAAGTTTCAGAGATGCTTGTGAAAGAAAATTGGTCAGGGAAAGAAAAATGCTTCACTTGAATATGGGAAAAGGCACTTGAGGTGTTAAATGTGTTTGGTTCATTATCATGGATCGAAATCTGGTGAAATAATTGTTTGAAAAGGTGTGGCTTCTTTACAATAAAGGTAACTCACAACTTATGCATTTATAACCCACGCGCATTCAGCTTCATGTGTTTGGCAAAAAAATTTTTTTTAAAATTAAACAGGGGGCAGATGTCCAGGACTGTGACAATCCCTCCTGCCATTGAACCCAGTGTGCTTTGGCCAAACATGACTTTGGCATTAGGTACAATCCCTTCAACATAACCCCCACGTAAGTTGAGAGTCTTTTGTAATGAGAAATGACCCCAATAACTTGTAGAATAATAGGAACATTTCTTGCCTCTTGAACCACTTATTATGTAATCCCTTCTTTCATGCTAGCACTTTAAAACTGATTTTTTTTTTAATTGTTTGAGACTACATAAAGGCAGTCTGGATAGGTTTCCTGATTATAGCTTAGTTCTTTTTTTATAGTAGAAATCATTGCACTCCTTTTAACAATGAAAAATACAGTGTTGTTGTGGGAGGGTATGTGAAGGGCCAATCATCCTGTCCATAAATCAAATTATTTTCTAAGTGGCATCCCAAATCTGTTCTGCTCCAAAATAGCCATTCTGCCTTCACAAAAATTGCTCATAATGTAAGCGTGTTATCTTGGAGGAGAAAAGATGCTATTTGTTTGAAGAAGCCTAAACAAGTTTTATTTATATTTGGTAATTAAAAAGACGCAGTGGCTGGACCATTGTGTTCTATCCTTCAACACAGGAGGGGCTTTGTCAGCAAAATTGTCCAGTGACATTGCCCTTCTTCAGTCTGCCCACATTTTCTACCCTCCAATATCAAGGAATTATGTCAGACCCTCCTTTTGCTGAAATCATGTTGGTGGTTTGGATTAAGCTGCCGTTTTCCATTTAGCTTACCATGGGAAAAGGTGGCGACAGATATAACTGTATAGGTGGGTTTTTGTTTTTGTTTTGTGCTGAAGGGTATGGAAGCTGTTTCCCAAAGTTACGCTTCAAATGATGTACAATACGCTCACAACTTACATTTAACTAGCGTGCATTCAACTTTATGTGCTTGGCAAAAGGGGCAGAAAGGAGGAGAGTGTTCAGGGGTAAAAAAGACTGGCAATCCCAGCTGCTATTGCACCCAATGTGCTTTGACTCTCCCCAGAACATAACCCCCGTGTAAGTTGCGGGCTTACTGTCATTTTTTCCATAATTGAACTTATTTATAGCTTTTCATGAACTTAGTTAGTTTGACTTCATTTCAAGGTAACTGTCAGGTTAGTTAGGAGTTCTGATAAGGATTTAACATCTCATATACGTTCACTGGCAGGGGTGTGTCATGTCTCAGACATTGTGCCTGTTTACTCCCCCCCCTTGCACAATGTAACACATTTTTTTAAAATGCTGTGGTTATGGTGAAAGTCCATCCTGAGTGGGGGGGGGAAGCTTGTCCCAAGTAAACTGGTCAGCAGTCATGTAGTCTGTTGCTTTACATTGAATGACGCCCTAAATTTTTGTAAATTACGCGGGGTTGTAGGGGGTGTGTGGAGACGTTATAGAAGACGGGAAAGGATTGTGATGAATAGAAGTAGCTAGAAATCAGTGGTATGTCGTTAAAATCTCTTCTTCCCACCACTTTAGAATTCCTTCTTCCCATGTTTTGTGAAATAAACATTTCATTTTAAACGCAACCACCTCTGGACCTTAATTGTAAGAACATAAGAATAGCCTGCTAGATCGTGCCAATGGCCCATCTAGTCCTGTGGCCTGTGGTAAACCAGAAAGCAAAACATGAGCACAAGAGCACTCTTCCCTTCTATGGTTTCCAGCACAGCTATTTGGAACCATTGCTGCCTCCAGCTGTGGAAGTAGAGCATATAGCCATCATGGCAAGTAGCCATTAATAGCCCTCTCCTTTAGGTATTTGTCTAATACTCTTAAAGCCATCCAAGTTGTTGGCCATCACTGCTTCCTGGGGAAACTAGTTCCATAGTTTGATTATGTGCTGCATGGAGAAATATTGAATCTTCCAACATTCAGCTTCATTGGATGTCCATGAGAGGGGGAGAATTTTTAAAAAATCCACTTCCACCACTATTTTATAAACTTTTATCATCTTGCCTCTTCCTAGCCTTTTCTCTAAACTAAAAAGTCTGTAATCTTTCCTCTAAGGAGCGTCACCCCCATTTTTCATGGCTGTTGCACCACTGGTTTGATGTCTTAACGAAGCCCTCTGCCATGACCCCCTCCCAAGGTCTTGCTCCTGGTCCTTCATCTTTAGATTTTAATCCCTTGATTAAAAAATATATATCTACTTTTATGGCAAGAAAGTAAGGTCTGTTGAAATGTGATAAGCTATGACAAAAAGGATGTTGGAAATCTGTGTTTGCAGTAATGGGCAAAGGTCCTTTGTTATCTAGACTGAGAATACATTTTGTTTATGGGGGAGGGATTAAAAAGAAAATATTTCCATAAATCATGTTTTAAAGTGAGTGGTTCATATTTAAATCTGTGATTTGTGGTGGTGATGATGATGATAATTTTAATCACTAGTTGAAATTGCTGTCTTCCTTCTGGTACAGGAGGCATGCTTCCAAGTTTCTCTAAAATTTTAGGAGTGAACCAGATCCCTGTTAAAGAGAAAATATTAGTAGTTCTTAGCAAAAGAAAAGTTGCTTTGTGCTAAGTAAAAATTGCTCACTATTCCTTCAAATGATAGGTTTTGTGCATCTTATAGGAGATGCTAGTTATGGAGTTAAACAACCTACACTTCCCAGAGAATACTAGTGGCAGCGCAGAGGAAGGAGTACAGAAATAAACCATGATACATAGCTGAGAATAATAAAGGCCACAACTTTATTGATTGATTACAGCGAATAGGTTTTGTGTAGGCCTAGGGCATGGATCAAAAGACTGAACAGCCTGAGTGCTGGTGGATACTCATACAACCAATAGGGGGTTGTCCAAGGTCAGGGTCCCCTATAGCATGTACAGCTTTGAAGCAAACATGGACAACCTGGTAGGTGGTGCTGTGACCCTTCAGCCCCCAAACTGGGCTTCTGGACAGGGAGCAGCACCCTTCCAAGTTCCCTTAAGGGGAACTCCCCCTGAAATGGGTCCAGGTGCCCCTTCTCACTTCCCTTCTTAGATTCCAGGCCCAATGCCTTTGCTGCCACCAAAGGAAAGATGAGGGCAAATGGAGGGTGCCTCTCCTTTTAACACCCCCCTGCCTGAGAAAGGGAGTCTTAGTCCAGTCCCATGTTGGGCAACAGATTCCTGCATTGCAGGGGGTTGGACTAGATGACCCTCATCCCTTCCAACTCGCAGCTCTGCCCCTGTCCTACACTGCGCCACTGCAGATCTAGGCTCCCTGGTAATTTCAGGAGAACCGGGACATAATGATAGCATTGCTGAAACCTTTTAAAACTTAAAGGGATCGTATCCTACTCAGAGTAGGCTGATTGAAATTAATGAACCCAAGTTGTTGACGCCCATTATTTTCAGTGGTTCTACTCTTGAGTATGACTTCATGTTGGATACAGCCCCAAATCACGCCTATAGAAAGGCATCTTTTTCTTTTTTCTTTTGATTAAGCGTAAAAGAAAACTGGACAATAGGGTTCCAAGCTGTATGTTTTTGGTAGAAGAATCATACATGCAGGCATCTCAGGTTCCTTGCTTTTCCTAGGAAGAAAGTTTCAGTATCCAAAGTTGAAAAGTCCGTATAAAGTGTGTTTATATTTTTGAAATCCTCTGCTTTTAGTAATTATGGGTTGGAGATGACGCTGTACCCGTTCTGTACCTTCAGCCATTTTTGTGACACCCTATCATTTCAATATTAAAACACCTGACTTTTGCTTTTTGTAGGGTTAAAAAGAAACACCTTTGGTTTCTATCCTCACTTATCACCTTTCTGTAAATATTAGCATGTTGACTGTGGGGAGGAAGGTTACTGTAACCTAAAAATGTGTTTGTACAGAAGAGCTAGATATTAACCAGAAACCCCATAGCAAATCTGTACTCAAGGTTAAAATAATAGTGGTTTATTGACACCATTCCAAACGTGTCCTGCTTGGAACCAAGTGCCCTTGATTTTGGTTGAACTTGTTTCAGGCGAGTTCTGCTGCATCCATCTTGCATGTTACCCAGAATAAGGTGGCACACTTCTGGAAGTACCACATCAGTCTGCATTCGTGTTTTTCGAGTGCTTTTCCCATCACCTTGCATGCAGCAAGGAAGAACAGTTCAGCATATCCCTCTTCTTGCAAGTTTAATGCATGACACCTGACCATAGCTGCCAACCTTCCCCTTTTTTGCTGGAAATTCCCTTATTCCAGCGCCGTTTCCTGCTGCTTCCCGCTGCTATCCCAGATTGTTAGATATCCCGTAGACTGTCCCTGGGACAGGTGAGGCTGCTGATCCCTTATTTCCGAGGCTGCTGATCCTTTATTTTCAAATCTGAAAGTTGACAGCTATGATCCCGGATTGTTAGATATCCCGTAAGACTGTCCCCGGGACAGGCGGGGCTTCTGATCCCTTATTTCCGAGGCTGCTGATCCTTTATTTTCAAATCTGAAAGTTGACAGGCTATGCACCTGACCTACCTGCAGACTGAGGTGGTACAGTCTTTGATTCTGCCATGACCTTTCTGTATACAGTTGTACCTCGGTTTACAAACTTAATCCGTTCTGGAAGTCCGTTCTTAAACGGAAACCGTTCTTAAACCGTGGCGTGCTTTCCCTAATTAGGCTTTCCGCCGCTGGAGCCCTTCCACCGTTCGGATTCCGTTCTTAGACCGAGGTAAAGTTCGCAAACCAAGACACTACTTCCAGTTTTGCGGAGTTCGTAAGCCGAATAGTTTGTAAACAGGGCTGTTCTTAAACTGAGGTACCACTGTAATGTATACAAACAACCCTTAACTCCAAGTAAGTGGTATTGCGAGGGTGAGGTGGGTAGGAGAGTGTTAAGTTCTCCTTAATGATTTCTTTTCATAATCCATATCATGACATTCCAGTATAAAATTAAAACATGTAAGCAGGGGGAATATCAGTGCATTGCGTATTTATTTCCTACTAAAGCATAGAACTTTTTTTAAGGGGTGGGGGCCGTGATTTATTCCATACTGGTTTCTACTGAGCTTTATCCTTTTTAAAAAATAATATTGAATCAATACAGTACTGTAATGTATATAATTTGTACAGTTTTTTTCCTTAACATACTTTTTTGGGAATTGTGTTTTGCTTTTCATTAACCAATACTTGACCTTTAGTTCTTAGAGCTTTGTATGGCAAAAAAATAAAAAGCTATTAATTTTCCCAATGCGCAAACAGTTTATTATTGAGAGAAAAAAACAAAAACAGTTGTTTCTGGGATTGCTGTTCATGGATGGCATTTGCTGCTGCCTAGTTTTTGAAAGTCAGATTTGGATTCCTTTGCAGGCGTAAACTGAAGGAAAGAGGCGATTAATCTGAATAGGGACAATGACAAGTCTGTCGGGTCCAATGTTAGGTCCAGAAGCGGTTTAGTCATGCTGGCCAAATGACATGGAAATCTGTGGACAAACGCTGGCTCCCTTGGCCTGAAAGCGAGATGAGCGCTACACCCCTAAGTCGCCTTTGACTGGACTTAACCCTCCAGGGGTCCTTTACCTTTATTTACCAATGAAAAACCACTGTTTTAGCTCATTTGTGTAGTATGTCTCAAAATCTAATTGGTTTTGCTGCTGTTGTTTTTTTTAAAATATTATTTATTCAGACTACTTTAACCCTGCAATTTAGCAAAACAACAACAGAAATTATCCCAGAGCGCTTTACATAAGCTTATCAAAAAGCTTGCATTCTAGAAGACATAAGGGGGGGGGGGGAGCAAACAAGCACAATTCTTAAACAGGAATTTTAAAAACCAGCTGGGATTAAAACAATTCAGGGAGAAAAGGCAATGGAATGGCTCTACTTTGCATCTCTTTATTTGCTGTTGCCTGATGCCAAATGAGGAAGATTTTGGCCTGATGCCAAAATGAGGTAGAGCTGGTGTCCTACAGTGGAGGTAGTCAAGTAGCCCAGCATCTCTTCCCCCTTGGGAGTAATTCTCAGAGCCCTGCATCCAACTCCAGGCACAACCTACTTGTCCCTTATGACAATTGGTGACCCTGGGTCGAGCTGTTCATCAAAAGAGGGGACCTATCAGTTCAGGAGAGTTAAATTGTGATGCAAACGGGACATTGGTACCAGCTACACATGAGAGAGGCTGCTTTTGTGCACATTATTTTTGCCTGAATTTGGGTAAAAGAATGTGGAGTCATTTTGTTATTATTCCATTTATTTAGCTTGTGTTTTATATAGGTGATTGGTTTTAAAAACATTTTTGTTTAGGAAGCGCTTTCCACGTCAGCTCCTTTACTGTGGAACTTCAGAGCATCTACTGCAGACACACACACACACACACCATTTTGCAGCAGATGGTGTGTTTTTAAGGGTTCACACAATTCACTGGCTAGGCCTTTATTGCCCATGTGAGCTGAGAAGGCACCCTCTAGCAGCACACCCAACATTTCCCCCAAATTTCCCTTGCTGAGAAAGTCCCCCAGCCCCTCTAGATTGGTGTCTCTTTGTGAATGTGTTCTGCAACATGTCTTTATGCAACAATAGTGCATTATTATTCTGCTGTACTAGTAGTTCTGTGATGCTTCCCCAATGTTATCTGGAGGGGGCACTCTTGCACTACAGCAGAACAACTAGGACAAAAATAAAATAAACCAGGACATCTGTAGTACAAAACGTTAACAGGGCTTGATGCTACCTTGCTACATGTCCACTTAGTGCATGTTCTGTATCTGTCCCCAAAGTGTTGCAGGCTCGATCAGTATGGAAAGCATGACTGTGTATAACTGCCCCAATACCATTACGAGCACAAATAATAACTAAGCTGCCCAGAGTTGTTCGCGACTGGACTTATATGTCAGGGGTCCTTTACCTTTTTTTAAGGAGCATAGAAAACTGCCTTGCTCCAAGTTGATTCATTTGCCCATCTAACCCAGTATCAAACAGGCATTTTCCCTATCACTTGCTGCTACCTGATCTTTATTTAAACTCTAAGCCTGGGATCTGAATGCAAAGAGTGTGCCCTACCACTCATTTATTGCCCCCCCCTTTTTGCTAGCTGTGAAAAGAGGCAGCTTACTTTTCATGTTCACCTCAAATGCTTCTCTTTGTTACCAGGGCCTTAAATACAAGCATCTCAGCTCACCTCTTTCCTTCCCTGCCAACAACCCTTTCTTGCCTAAGTTCTGTGTGCCATTATTTCTGCTTTTGGTCGAATGCCCGTACTTAAGAATTCTTGCAGTTATTTGCAGAAGCGGGATTATAATGGAAGCCATGTTTCTGTGCAAACACGGGGGGGGGGGTCCCCAACATGGTGCCCTCCATATATCATTAGACTACATCTCCCAGTACCCCCTCTGCATTGGCAATGCTGGCTGAGGCTGACAGGAGTTGTAGTCCAACAGCATTTGAAAGGCACCATGTCGGCCAATACAGATTTTACTCTTTAAACACTTTGTATAGCTGCGAGTGAAGCCCTTTGTATTGCCAGCAGATGAGAGTTCGGGGCCAGGCTGTTTAAGCATGCTGTTCCTTTTTAAAAGCATGCTAGGGTTTCCTGTTCCTACTTGTATTCCTCACCCACCCCTCCACAGCTCCTTCAAGGCCCCCCCCCCCATATACACAGCTCTTTTGCATCCTTCCAACCCTGCTTTATTCAGACCTCTGCTGTTGTTTATAGCCACGATTCTAAAACCTGTCTTCTCCCCTCCTCCACCTTGAATCGATGCAAATCCAGGTTAGGAGGTGCTACACATTCTCTTAATGGGGCTGTATAGTGACAGTCTTACGTTTTTATGTATATAGGCAGATATGCCATTTATATGGATAAGAATTTGGGAACCAGCTAACCCTGCCACAAAATTAAAACGTAAACAAAATTCTTACCATTTTTATTTTTATAAATTATTTCGAGGGCACATGAACCATGTGTGCATTACATTCTCACAAGAAATTGATTTGAAGATGATAATACAGCGCGTGTGACTTCTGTGTTTACATTTACAGGTGACTGCATACACTTCTATCAAAGCTAAAAAGCAACCTGGTCATCAAGGTGGAGATAACTGCTATTTTCTTCATGTAAAAAAAGAGACTTTTTTAAAAGCAGCACGGACACTGTGACATAACCATTCCATTTGTTCAGATGTCTTTGGCACTCAATGATAATGAAATCTAAAGGTACTGTGTAGTCAGCTAGAGGCCAGCCCTGTTCTAGCCTCTTAAGAGTATGATAGCAGGGATTGCTATACAAATGAGGTTAACACAATTAATGAAATCTTAGCGCAGAGTCAAACCCTCCCACTCCAAAAAGCTCATGCTCTAAGATATTCTGGAGAAAAGGTGGACATGGGGCAAGGATGTGTTTAACTGCTCTGCTTAAGTTGCTTTGAAACCTGACAGACCTTGAGCAAAGCCCGCAGATGGGAATGAGAGCACCACAACATTTTGGCAAACCTTGGGCTTATGATGCAGGAGAGCATGCACGAGTTACACCCATTTTATATAATGCTGAATGAACTAGAAGCTACACTGAGGAACCTGTGGACTTCAAGATGTTGCTGGACTCCAGCTTTTGGCATCGCTGATGACGACTGCTGGCTGCAGCTGATGGAATTTAGAGTCCAGTGCCATCCAACGGGCCACAGGTTCCCCAGCCCTGACTGAAAACATCTCTTAAAATCCTCAGATGATTTTAGGCAATGGCTTTTTAGGCAATAAATAACTTTTATAGCACATTCCTATCTTTGGCTACTTTGGAAGTAAATCTCACCGAGTTTGATTGGGCTTACTGCAAAGTAAGTAGATACAGCCTTGCAGCTTTAGTGTGATGTTGGAGCAGTGGCATTAATGAGAAGAGAAGGTCCAGGCTATTGAAATGCACAACTCTTCAGCTCAGGCTTTTTTACCACCTGCTTCTGTGACTTTACACAATGAGATTGGCCTGCAAGATGGGGGAGGTGCAGTCCAGTGTCTGGAGTCTACCATGCTGGCTAACCCTGTTTTGTGCAAAGCATTCTGTGAATCCCAAGCAAACAGGGAACCAGTGAATGAATTGACAAGGTGAGAAGAACATGCTCTAATGCCTGTTTTTGTACAACTCTTTCCTCCCTACCTCCCCAGAATGAATAGCATTCAGTCTCTGGCCACAATCCAGAACAGCACTCAATTGGTGATAGGACACACAAGCTCACAAAGTCTTGAGAGCTCCCTAGTATCAGTATTAAGATGCTTAGCACATATATTAAGCCAGGGGTAGCCAATGTAGTGCCCTGGAAATGTTGCCGGACTACAACTATCACTCCAGCAGGCATGGCCAATGGTGTAGAATGATGTAGCTCAGAAACATCTGGAGGGCACATTGGATACCCCTCTATTAAGCTATGCAATGCATGGCTTCCCAAACTCCTCCATCTCTTACAGCTTAAAATACAGACTTGATTAGCTACCATGAAGCAATTACACAATTCAGGTATTTAAATGTTGCAGTAAAATCTCTTTCATGTGTTTTCCTCCCAAACACCAAGAAGTAGGTTAGGCTGGCGGCTCAGCGGGAATTTGAACCTAGGTCTGCATTGCTGTTTGAAGTGAACCATGGTCTGATTCACCAAACCGGCTACACATACAAAATGCAACTTTCTAAATTGCTAGAGCTGTGAAAGCTAAAAGCTTTCCAACTGCAATGTTCTTTAAAATATTAGTTTTTCTAATTCGGAGCAAATCCCCTTCCTTCGAACTCAGTCGCAAGCAAAAGCAGCCCTTTATAATAAATTCATTAAGGTGTTTGTTTGTTTTTTAAAAGCAGGAATCTACGGTCCACTTCATACTGTGGTGGACTTTGCAAATAAGGGGAGAGATCTGTAAGAAGACACAGTGAACACTCACTAAGGATCCGTGGGGTTTTTTTGGGGGGGGGGGGGGACTTGCAATTATATACATACCTGCTTCAAACATTTGAGTGTTCCCTATTAAGATGTATGAGAGACTGCAACATAAAGTGTAAATCAGACTAGGATTTCCTAGGATTTGTACCAGCTGAGGATTCTGCATGCAGAGTTGTGTGTCATTTGAAGCTGACTATGTAAGCCTATGAATAATGCAGGCATGCAGTCTAGGTCTAGCTGCACAGCTTAGAGGGCAGTTAATGTTAGCCTCAGTTCCTGATCACCCAAGAGTCCCAAAATGGCTATACCGAACACACTCTACTTGAGGGACTCCAGTGGTGTGAAGACAGGTGGGGAGCCTCCTCTTCTTGTGGAGGCTGAGCTGCTTGCACTATTTAAACCCCCCTATTTGTGTCAGTTTCACGGGGAGCCGGCCTTATAATGAATCAGAACAATGGTCCATCTAGCTGAGGATTGTGTGTACATTGCCTGGCAGCAGCTCTCCAGACTTGCAGGCAACGGTTTACACAGTGATGCCAGGGATTGAACCTTGGAACTCCTATATGCAAGGCAAATGCCCTACCACTGAGCAGCAGAAGCAGCCACTGTGAGTACGGAAGACCTCCATCTGCAGAACTTTAATATAAAATGGGGTGTGGAGGATGAGCTGTAAGGGGTGGGCTTTGGCACCCCCCTTCCCACATCTCTTACATGTGTTTGTTTACATGCAGAGTGTCTGAACACCCAAACGGCTTATGTTGGAACAAATGATGGAAATCCAATGCTTGAAGATGCTAAGCAGCTTAATTAGCATCCTCTTGCAAGGAAAGAGGGGGAAGTTACATTTGATCATGTGCATCCAGCCAAACTGTGTGGCTTTTGTGCTGTTTAAAAGAGCAGAAAATATTTGGCATAGCACCTATTTTTGATTGTGGCTATATTAAAAACCTAACTAGGAAAATAAAGGCCGATTTATATGTATCCATCACCAACATATGTAAAGATAAAAAGTACTGTGTGAAGCAACCTTTGTTTTTCTACTGTGAGGTAAGGCTCACAGAATGTCGCTAGGTGTCAGTAGAGTACCATTTGCCTAACAAACAGCTGCATCTACAGTGACCTTCAATTCCCATTAAAAGGCCTATTTTCAGTGTGCAAAATTAAGGCTTCATATATCTATTATTATTATTATTATTATTATTATTATTATTATTATTTCCTTCTACTAGTCTAGAGTATTCATTTCATACACTCAAGCTCTTGAGTTCCTCCTTTAAATCTTCACCGTCAGCTACATTCCACTCAGCCCAGCAATTTTGTTAAAGAGGAGAAAAGGAATTAGGAACCCCAGTTTATCAACACCTTTTGAGAAAAGCAGGGTGTGCCTGATTAGCCACACAGCACTTTCAGTAATTTGCTCAAAGTGACCAAACCCTCAAAGCAACAAGTCCACAGCGGCCAACTAATCAGGATGGATTTTGAAGAAGCAAACAGAGCAAGACTGCAGGTGCTGAATGCAGGATTTGTCCCTTCTTGCTGCTGGCACTTAGCATCAATTTGGCCTAGGCCTGGTCTATGGGAAGACTGTTGCAGGGTTCCCCTATTTTAAATGGATTATGTATGCTATGTAATAAGTGTGCCCCCTCTCTCTTCCCCACCCTCCCTCCAGTACAAAAAGGTTTCACAATTAGCCCCAGTGGCACAGTTTCTACCCGTCCTTCCTTCATGGCGTGTAAGGTGGTGGCTTTTCAAAAGGTGGAAAATACGGTGGGGAGTAACGAGGAGGAGCAGTAGGGGACCAGACGTAGCTTGGCGATGGCGACAGCGATAAAGGATCGTCAGAAAGGCCAGATGGTGTGGAGGCCGGGAAGACACTGGAATGCTGCAACGAAAGGGAGAGAGGTGGCTTTAGCATAGAGAAAGCTGCCTCAAGCACAGCCCAATCTTTGGTCCTTCTAGCTTAGCATTGTCAACACCAACGTGGGAGGGGGAATCCTAGGCCTGAGAGCCAACTGTGGACTCTAGGCCCCTATTTCAGGCCCTCAGGACTCTACCTGGGCAGGCCTCCCCAGCCCAGGTGATACCTCTTACCTGAGAGCCACTGCCAGTACTGAGCTAGGTGTAGCAGGGATATGACCTGGAATTAAAACAGCTTCCTAGGTCATGCACTTCTGAACTATATACAGTGGTACCTTGTTTTGAGTCCGGGATCTGTTCCTGAGTCCCAGATGCTCGACAAAAGGGATGCTCGATAAAGCGCCGTTTTGCGCATGCGCGTGGAGTGGTTTGCACTTCTGCGCATAGTGCAGTTTAGCGCTTCTGCGCATGCGCAAGCAGCAAACTCGGAAGCAACCTGTTCCAGTACTTCCGGGTTTGCTGCGGACATTCGCCAAAATGGATAGTCGATGGGGGCGGATGTTCGCGGAGGTATTACTGTATATAAATTCCTGCTTCATAGAACTGTAGAGTCAGAAGGGACCACAAGGGTCATCTAACGCTGTGCAATGCAGGAATCTTTCTGCACAATGTGGGCTTGAACCCACCAGCCTGAGATGAAGCGTTTCATGCTCTGCTGACTGAGCTATCCCAGTAGCCTGGTAGCCCAGTTTGAGGTCCTTACAAGAATTCCACCCATGGCGAGGCGCTGGCTGTTACCTTTTACGACCTGGCTATGAGGCATTTCAGGGAGAGTTTATCTTTATATCGCCTCCCCCGCTAGGGCATGTTGAATTTTTCAGCTTTTGAATTCCAGAATGAGGGGTGCTAAAAAGTTGTAACATGGCTTGGGAATTCAAAAGATGTTTTGGTTAAATTAATATAATTTAGTTTTGCTTGGTTAAGTAAAAATGTGTGTAAAATTGCATAGAAATCATTAAAAGAGACTGTCAAGTACTTGCAGTTATACTGTATGTTTATATTATTTGTATTTATTATTCCTTTTGTTCAGCACTTCCTGACATTTTCGGAAGGTAAAATTAGAATTCTTTGGTTTTCCGAAAGCAGTTTATGTGCTTCTTCATCAGGCACAGACTTGCCAAGCTAAATGTTGTCCAATCACAAAACTAATAGCAGATTTGAATTCCTCACACCCCCAAAACACATATTTAAGACTTCCGCTTACTGAAGAAATTTGTAAAAATTAAGTTTCATGCCCTACTCCCCCATGTCAGCTTCAAGGACCAACTTGGTGAAATATGAAGATCATCGCAGGAAGAGGAGGATCAATTTACCCCAGCAGTGAGAACCCTGGTGCCCTCCAGATTAGAACTATAGAATCCAACTCTGGGCAATACAGGAATGTGGGGTTCAAACCCACAACTCTGGGATAAAGGCTGGAACTACATCGATCTTTTAAACATTATTAGGAAGATATTAAAAGTAATGTTCTATAACGTTTAACATGCATTCCCTCTTTGCCAGCACTCTCTGGTGTCACATTTTAATAGCACATTTTAAACGTTATAAACCATGAGAGTAAATCTGCCCAAAGAGTCTCATGCTCTACCGACTGAGCTAAACTCCCAGCATTCCTTGATTGTCAGCCATATCATCTGGGAGCTGATGGGCGTTGAAGCCGCATAACAACTGAAGGCCCACAGGTTCTCTACAATTATACAGGCTGAAACTGAGCAGAAAAGTGAAATGTGTTTCACCACACCTGCAAAAAAACAAGGTAAAATTTGGAGCCAGTCACAGAGGCGAAATGACAGCAAGACGAAGGCAAAATAGTTTTCTCTCCTCCAAAAGATGGAACATAAAAGATTGCATAGAAAAAAGAGGCAGTTGTAACATAACTGCTTGATGGTGCACCCCCTCTGTAAAAAAAGCAGATTGATCTCTTAAGCAGCCATTTGACCCAACATACCTGGAAGTCATAAGCTGAATACGGTGGCAGGTGAGGCGTGCTGTGGTAATATGTATTGTATGACGTCACCTGGGGTCTCGAGTAGTAAGATACAGTGGGCCGTGCATTTTCAACTGTGCAGTTTATAGCAGGAAGTGAGGGCGTCTATGAACACAATGGAAAACGGAAAACTCACTTAGCTTGTGGTCCATTTATTCAAATGGCCAGAGGAGATCAGAATACTGCAAGAGAAATACAGCTCTTGCCTGTACACTACGATCTACCTCAGGGGTCCTTCTCAAGTGTCCCGCTGTGGGGAACCTCCTGGCCATAGGCCAAATCTGGCCTGACAGGCCTTCTCATTTGGGCAGCTGGGCTGCTCTTCCCAAACCACACCCACCAGCCCCACCCCTTGACATCCTATATGACATCAGGTATATGGCTGTAAAAAGCAGGGTTGAAATATCCCTGTACATCATCTGAAACGGGGGGAGCTCAGTCCTGGTTGGTTCAGGTGTGTAAGGAACTCTCCTCTGCACCTAAATCCTGCAGAATGTAAGACTGGATCCCTCTGCCCATTAGCTAATGCATGGGGGAGTTCAAATGCCTTTACTCTGTGGGCCAACTCTGACAGGTGGGTGGGACGATCTACCCGAGATCAATAGGATGACAGAAGATGGAGAAGGTGTGTAGTCACGCTCACTTGTCAAAGCTGGCCTGCAGGTGGGAGGATATAATTATCTGACTTGCCAAGACAAAAAGATTCCCCACCCATGAGTTTGGTCGTCATGCACAAGAGATATGGCCTTTCCTATAGTGGCTCCGAAAACTACGCAACTCCTTCCTGATGAACTTGAACCTTGCCACTTGAATTCTGGCATTTAGGGAGGCCACAAAGCCTTTCCCACTTCATGGCTGCCTTTAATAGCTACCAATAAATGTCTCGTCACCTTTAACTGGTGCCCACCCAAAATTGCTCTGGTCTCCAGAGCAGCTTCTCATTTTTAATCTCTCTATCTTCTGCTGTCCTTTGTCTCTCATTCCTTTGCACACCACATGGTGAGCACATAGCTCTAAAAAGTGACACAACACACTTGAAATAAATAAAAAATTCTACTTGTCTATGTTTCCTATGGACATCCTCTTACCATATCTTTAAAGCCTCCTAGGATTGCAGCGGTGATGATCCCGAGAAACAAGCCCACAATGTTCAAAATGGTTGCTGACCAGAGCAGGTGGTAAAGGTGAATGATATCTTGGCAGCTGCTGACGTCAATGTACTCGTAATAACCACCGGAAATCTCCACTCTGTTCAATCCAAAGAAAGGCAAAACATCTTTCAGAAAGGCAAAACATCTTTCAGTAGATAATCCTCATTTTGGGACACCTTTGCTAGAGGGACGTAAGAACATAAAAGAGTCCTGCAGAACTACTGTTTGGGGGGCAGGCAGGTATGGGGGTCTCCCTGGTCTTGAATGGGGTAACTGTGCCCCTGAAGGACCAGGTGCGCAGCCTGGGAGTCATTTTGGACTCACCGCTGTCCATGGAGGCGCAGGTCAGTTCTGTGTCCAGGGCAGCTGCCTAGCAGCTCCATCAGGTACGCAGGCTGAGACCCTATTTGTCTGCAGACTGTCTCGCAAGTGTGGTGCATGATCTGGTTATCTCCTGCTTGGACTACTGCAATGTGCTCTCTGTGGGACTACCTTTGAAGGTGACCCGGAAACTACAACTAATCCAGAATGCAGCATCTAGACTGATGACTGGAAGTGGCCACCGAGACCATATAACACCGGTCCTGAAAGACCTACATTGGTTTCCAAGCACAATTCAAAGCATTGGTGCAGACTTTTAAAGCCCTAAATGGCCCTGGCCCAGTATACCTGAAGGAGCGTCTCCACCCCAGTCGTTCAGCCTGGACACTGAGGTCCAGCTCCGAGGGCCTTCTGGCGATTCCCTCAGTGAGAAGTGAGGTTACAGGGAACCAGGCAGAGGGCCTTCCCGGTAGCGGCACCCGCCCTGTGGAACGCCCTCCCAACAGATGTCAAGGAAATAAACAACTATCAGACTTTTAGAAGACATCTGAAGGCAGCCCTGTTTAGGGAAGTTTTTAATGTCTGATGTTTTATCATGTTTTTAATATTCTGTTGGGAACTACCCAGAGTGGCCGGGAAAACCCAGCCAGATGGGCGGGGTATAAATAAGTTATTGTTGTTGTTATTTGGCCAAAGGCCCATCTGGTCCTACATCCTCTTCTCATAGATGCCTGTGGGAAGCCCGCAAGCAAGACCTGGCTGCAACAGAGCTCTCCCCACCTGTAATTCGCAACAATTCATATTCAGAGACCCCTTGCCTCCAACCGTAGAGGTAGATTTAAGCCATAGCAGTTAGCAACCATTGGCAGAACTATACTCCTTCACAGAGTGCAAAGTTAAAAGAATAGGATTTGCTGTCACAAGTTGTGTGGTGATGACCACCAACTTATATGGGTTTTAAAGGGGGTTTAGGCCAATTCATGGAAGATAAAAGTTATCAATGATTACTAATCAAGGTGGTTAAGTGCCATCTTTAGGATGAGGGGGAGCATGTCTCTAGATAACATTTGCTTGAGATGGAGAACAATGGAAGATGGTTTATTGCCTTTTGTGCTCTGCATCTGTGCTTCCTAGAGGCACTTGACTGCCTACTGTAGAAAACAGGGAGTTGGATGTGTTAAGCCAGGTATGGGGAACCACTGGCCTTCCAGATGTTCCCAAACTACAACCCCCCATCAGCTGCAGCAAGCATGACAAAACGCCGGGGTGATGGGAGTTTAATTCAGCAAAATCTGCAGGGACAAAGGTTCCCCACACCTGATATAAGCCTTGGTCTTTTCCAGCAGGGGCTCTTCTTATATCACTGTATCATTTTCTCTCCATGGTAAATTTATAGTATTTCAGGAGGGCCTTTGGGGACCAGTTAGTCTTTCTGTTGCAAAAAAAAGGAGTCCATTGTGGATTTTTCTGCTGCTCTGGTTTCAGATGGCTGTGATTGTTTAACATTAAAAACAGCTAACAGGGGTTTTTTGCACTTTCAAGTGTTCAAATCTTTTCACAAACATCATTTAACTGTAATCTTTACAACAACCTTGTAAGGTAAATCAGTGCTATTTTCCCCATTTTGCAGATGTGGGGAATAAGGCACATGACAACGCTGCTAGTCTCTGGTCACTTAGTGAGTCCACAAGTTTGAACCAGGGACTTTTGGATCTGCAGCTCAGGCTGCAACCCTATACCCTAGGGGTGGGGAATCTTCTTGGGCCAGATCTTTATCTCCCTCTACCCTGTGGGCCAACTTTGACAGCACCAGTTAATTACCTAATGTCATAATGATGCTTACCCAACCTTGGTAGGTTGCATTAAACCCTCCTGGCTTTAAGTAAACCACCAAGAACAGTAAACAGAAAAAGGTACAGAGGGACAATCTGACTTTGCAGGCTGCCAGCTGAATGACATGACCCACTAAAAGTTATCTCTATAGCACAAAGCTCAGGCCTCATTTGCACTTTACACTTAAAGCAGTATAATGCCACTTTAGTCATCGCTTGCCTCTAGGAATCCTGGGACCTGTTGTTTGTTAAAGGTGCTGAGAGTTGCAAGGAAACCCCTATTCCCCTCACAGAACTATCATCCCCAGAGAAGTCTAATAAGCAATCCCTTTCCCCAAAGAATTCTGGGAAGTGGAGCTCTGTGAGGGGAATAGGGTTCTCCTAACAACTCTCAGGGACGTGGGTGGTGCTGTGGTCTAAACCACGGAGCCTCTTGGGCTTGCCGATCAGAAGATTGGTGGTTTGAATCCCCACAACGGGATGAGCTCCCATTGCTCTGTCCCAGCTCCTGCCAACCTAGCAGTTCAAAAGCATGCCAATGCAAGTAGATAAATAGGTACCACTGCGGCAGGAAATTAAACGGCGTTTCCGTGTGCTGCTCTGGTTTCGGTGTTCAGTTGTGCCAGAAGCGGCTTAGTCATGCTGGCCACATGACCCAGAAAAACTGTCTGCAGACAAACGCTGGCTCCTTCGGCCTGTAAAGCAAGATAAGCGCTGCAACCCCAGAGTCATCTGTGACTAGACTTAATGGTCAGGGTTCCTTTACCTTTACCTTTTAACAACTCTCAGTGCTGTTAACAAATTACATTTCCCAGGATTCTTTGGGGGAAAGCCACAGCTGTTTAAAGTGGAGTGATACTGTTTTAAATGTATAGTGCAGATAGGGTCTCAGCCTGAAACAACTCCTTCATATTCAAGACTGCAGGATCGACCCAGGGGCTTGAGCTCTCCCATTTCACTCTCTGCCTACAGGTGAGGCTTTTCCATGTCACTCACCTCCCACAGTTGTAGAGGTCGCAGCAGAAGCAGGTGTTGCCTTTGATCTTGGGCGTGCAGGGGCTGCGGTGCTGGGGGTGGCAGACTGCCTGTTTGAACAAGAGAGACAGGGCTTACAGAAGCTGAAGACCATCTCTTTCTGGAATTGGCAGGTTTGCTCCTACAGCATTTCCAGAAGCCTGTTTCTGATTTGTACCACTTCTGCTTAATTGCAAGTGCGAGAGCATGCATCTGAATGCTCCCCCGCCACAAACAGTAAACAAAAAAATGTCACTACAGACCTTCATCCCTAGCACATCAGGAAGATATCTTATATAAACTATTTCCCCTGAGACAAACTTTTCAATATGCACTGATTTTATTTTTTAACACAGAGGAGCATGTGCTTTCCTTCCCCTGTAGTCGTGCACTCTAGAAACATCATTTTTCGTTTATGAGAACAAGATTTCTGAAGGGCTGGAAAAGTTTGGTTCCTGCAGACCAGACAGGTGGAGTATTTGAACGGGCAACTTTAGAGATCAACAAATCTGCCAATTTGGGTTTTTCTCTCTTCTCATTTTTCCAGTTCAGTTCTCCGTGTTTCTGCATCCTGTTTTTTTTTAAAGTCCTCTCAAAAATGTAGTGCAAATTTGTCCTAACATGCACATTTTTGTAGACAACTTTGTCTAATATACACATTTTTGCAAAGCAATATTATACATTATTTCTGCACATTTTAAAACGCACACTTTCCCTTAACATGCACATTTTTTTTTTACACAATTATTTGGTTGGAGAATTGCATCCCAACATTTGGAGAAGTGCAGATTCTAAGGATGGCTGTGTTTCAGTTTGTGTATTGTTTTAGAAAGGATGAGTTAGGTAGGTTTGCATTAAAATTCCAGCCAAACTGCATTTCTCCCCCATTTATCACCCAGAATTTCCTGCTCACTCATGTTGCAGAAACTGAGGGAGCAGGAACACAGTGACCCACCTCTGGCTGAGCTGTACTTTTGGAATAGTAGTGACATCGTCCTGCATACAGTGGCCTGAGATCCTGTTAAAAAAAAAAGATAAGAAAAATAGTAGGGTAGAGTTTAAAAAAAAATGAAAAAGGAGGAAGTGAATCAACCCTGATATATTTTTTTTTTGTTGAAACAGTGGGCAGATGATCAAATTAACCATATTTTCAGACATCCTACCGCCTGCTTGAAGGAAGCACAAAGGAAAACGACACCCAGTAGTGCACAAGAACATAAGAACAGGCCTGCAGGATCAGGCCAAATTGGCTGGTGGAGGGGTAAGTGCCTACCCCTCCAATGGTGGTGCTGAAAGGGAATTCCGTTAAAGGAATCCAGGGGCTTGCCATCCCTTTCGTCCTAGTCCCTGGCATCGGACTTGGGCCGTGCAAGCCCCAGGGGGCATGTGGGTGACAGATGAGAGACTGATGCCCAGCTTCATTTCTCCCCATATGGTTCTCCCATACTGGCTTCCACTGGAATCCGGAGGTCAGTTCTGTCCCTGGGGCAAGGACAGATAGTCATAACCAATGCCTAAGCAACCACTCACGTGTGTGTATTTAAATAGAGTTGTGGCCAAATTCATGCCAAAAACCTTAAACAAAAATTGATGTGTGAAGTGTGAGTTATTGGGGTGGCCTGGGGGACCTCGATGCGCAACAGGCCAAAGTCCACCCTCCTGAGTGCTATCTGCAGCTGCTAGGGTTCGCATATGTCCCTCTTTTTCCAGGACACGTCCTCTTTTTCATGAGTGTGTAAAATGAGAGTCGCCATAGCGATCCACAGTTGAAAGTAGAAGTCGGCAAATGTGTCCTCTTTTTTTTTTGCTCTTCAAAATATGGCAACCCATAACACTACAATACCACTAAGCATTATAATACCATTTTAAACAGCCATGGCTTCCCCCAAAGAATTCTGGGAGCTGTAGTTTGCTAAGGGTGCTGGGAGTTTTTTGGAGACCCTGCTATTTCCCACACAGAGCTACAACTCCCACAATTCACTGGGAAAAGGTACTTCCTCCATTCTCAACCTCTTTTTTATCACTTTGAAAAGCTCTTTGTTTGGGCTTTTATTGCAAATTACAGCCTCCTTAATGGTTAATATCAGGAAAAGCCTCTGCAGTGCCCTTCAGCCAAGCAAGAGATAAGTGCAATAGCACCCTCCTCATTGGTGCTCCCCAGCAACAGATACCTCTGATACTGGAGTACTCTTGTGGGACACTCTTATGTTATAGCACAACAAAAGTGGCACAGAAACAACAAGGTAATGGAATATTTGTGGTTTGAAAAATGTGAGAAAGGCAGCCTGATATAACTAGCATGTTTAGCTCTAGTTAATGCATGAAGGAGTAAAGACTGTTGTTCCTAGAAGTGACCAGGTCACTTCCGCTGACTTCCTAACACAAAGAAAAGCTGGATTCTGCATCTCAATGCAAACTGATAGGAGTCTGTAGAACTTTGCATTTTATCTTGATATTATAACTACTTCACATAAGTTATTTTGATTCTGCTAGTCATAGCAAAGGGCAAGCTGCTATAGCAGGCACTGACCTCACCCCCCAAATGCTAGAGATGTTAAACCTGTAGCTGAATGAGGTGGTAAAATAGGCTATACCACTTCAGTGTGTGTGTGACACATTTTGAAATGCTTTTCCCCCTACAATGAAAACAAAAACACACCATGCAAATAGAAAACCAGCAAAGCAAACTGGGCTGGGCTATCACCTTTTCCCCTGTTGTGTTAGGTTAAGGATTTTTTGAAAAATTTGTAAGGTGTTTTTTTTTTTAAAAAAATAGAAGGTAAGTGTTAAAAATTGGCACCTCCTCATCTGAAGCCTGAAATGGAATACCCCATGCTGCCAACCAGGGGCACCGACTTGGGCCCCAGGTTATGGATGGCCAGCACACTGATGTGACTTTATGACATCATGTTGAAATGTGATGTCATGACGCCCCGCGTCCTCAGAACCTGACTTCCAGTAGCACTGCAAGCCAGGTTCCGAGACCTCACTAGGCGTTGGACGGCATCTCCGAGGTCTCGGGTGTGACTTCCTCTGCTCTGCAAAGCACCGGAAGTTGCATCAGGGGGCCTGCAGTGGGTGCTGAGCACCCACAACCAAATTTTTGTGCGTGCTCGGGCTCCGCTAGAGATGGCGCCCCTGCTGCCAACTCATTCCATTGCATGCATAGGCCAGGTCTCATGAGGTCCTCTGGACTCCCCACTGAGCAATGCCCACATGCTTTCAGGCATGTTCATTGGCATGAGGACTAGTGTCTGGCTTTTTAAAAGCAAAGCTGAGAATACCAAGAAACTGGATTCTGCATGCAAATCCTTTATTTTGTGCTTTCCCACAGCTCTTTCTGGCGTGCCAGTATGCAGCCCTGCTCACAAGTGTGGTGGACATGGCAACACAATCACATATCCAGTCGGCTGGTACTCACTATGTGCCTGGCAGCAAACACACCATCCACAATGGCACAGCAGAAGGCAGCGATGACGCCAAAGCTGATGAACACGATTGAAGCAACCAGCTGTGGGAAAAGAGGAAGCTACATGGAGTCATCTGCTTCTATATTAAAAAAAACATGCAAGGTTTTGCCCTATCCCTGATTATATTTTCTGGAGTTGCTGATTTATTGATGTGCTGGCTGACATCTGCCCGTTCCTTTTTTAAGCAGGTTTGTATAGTTTAATAACCCAGATCAATCTGCTAATAGGAGCAAATGGTTAGATTTTTGCTGCCTGAAATATCCTTTAAAATATTAATGTTTGGATATAAATGACAAGAAAATCACAGAATTTTTTTTTATATAAAAAAAATCACATACCACAATACATCTATGCATATGATTCTTAAACACTCTCCCTCTCAATAAATAATTAATAAACATTCAATGTGTACACAATTTCTTATTTTCACAAAAAAGCTATTGCTATTATTTAATATTATCATACAAAAATAGATTACAGCAATAAGTAACTACATTTTGACCTAGTGAACAGGAGAGGAGAAACTTTGGCCCTCCAAGTATTGCTAAACTACAACTCCCATCAACCCTACCAAGTCTGGCCATGATGGGAGTTGTACTTCAACAACATCAGAGAGTTCCCCACACCTACTCTAGAGGTCAGTTTCTAACGCTGTTTGTCCTTCTTTAGTTGTCGTTTTTTTAAAAGACATATAGGTAATGTACTCCCCTCTACAAGATTCTCAAGTCTTGTTTTATATCTTTGGCTCACGAGTCCCAAAGCCATAGTTTTCTTGATCAATCATCACTGCAGCTTGCTGTAGTACTTTTAATTGCTCACAGAGCTTTCTCAGTAAATCAGTTTTTTTAAAAAAAAGGCTTCCATGAGTCCTTGCTCTATGTAATACCTACAAATAATGGATGCTCCCTTCAGCTCAATGCTACAGCAATTGCCAAGGCATGTGTGCAAAATGCTATTCTCCCAAGTTTTGGGAGGGTTAGGACTGGAAGTATCGTCCCAAGTCTGTGGTTGGCAAAAGGAAAGAGCCAGTGTCTTGAGCTGATGACAGAAGACAGAGGAATGGAATTCTGAAAGCACAACTCGGAATGCAAGATGGAACGGAATGACCAAGATTAGCTGATCCCTGCATGACTCCAGCAGCCTGGGCAACCGGCCACTGAGGAAGACTACTGGGGCAGCATCCCCTGGGGCTGCCAGGCCACTGCTGTTCCACCTGACTACTTCCTGATTACCTGCCCCAAAGGTACTTGCATTATTACATAGAACTACTGCTTCTCCATCACAACTGGTGATTTATACAGTTTAAGAGAAGAGCTGTGGGTCAGGAAAATGGCGGGGAGAAGGGAAGGAAAGCAAGCCGATTCAAGATACTGGCTGTTTCACAATGTTATTATAAGCGAAATAGTTATATAGTGGAGCTCCAGGAGTCAGTTCTGGGAAGAGAAGGGGCCTAGAAGTGACCGTTTGTTTGATTATTTTGACATAACAGCAGAGATCGGATTCCAAAAGCTGCTTATGCCAATGAAAACCCCAGCAGAGATATATACAACCACTGGGGTTACACAGATGTCTTTCTTTTTATGTATGGCGGCCTCTTCAGGCCTGTGGCAGTTGATGACATAGTCTGGATTCTAGACCCCTCCCTATAGAGCAGTGGTGAGGGACCTATGGCCTTCCGAGATGCTGCTGGACTCCATCAACCCCAGCCAGCATGGCCAATGATCAGGGATGATGGGAGCTGCGGCTCAACATCTGGAGGGCTAGAGTTTCCCCCACCGTGGCTGCAGGGAGAGGGATTTGCAGGTGGACTCGGGGTTGGCCTGGGTGATCTTGAGGTTGTTAACCCACAGAAGCAGCCGTTCAACAGACGGGAGGGCCCTGCTGGACCACTTTCCCCTGAGGTGCAGCCTGATGGAACTGCTGCCAACGGAGGCAATGGGAAACTGATAGCTCTGACTTGGTCCGAGTTGAGTTGATGGGGTAACCACCTGGCTAGGGGTCTGGCTGTACTCTCTGCTTCTCAGACCCATCCATCTGGGGAAAGGTGGTAGCCTTGTTTAAGGGTTACTGCCAGAGGCAGGAGTGACATACCTTTTGGGGTCCGCAGGCACCTTGGCAAACCACAGTGAAGCACACAGTTCAATCTGTTGGCAACCTCTGGCTTGAGGCAATGCTGAGCTTTTTAGGAGAAGGGTTGCTTCTGCTTCAATGCTTTTGCTGTCTTTTATTATCTGCTGTTGATTTTTATTGCTATACATTGTATTTCTAATACTTGCAAGTCACCCAGGAAATATTTATTGAGGGGAGGATATAAACCATTTAATAAATAAATACTTTGGTCTAGGACATGCTTTGCAAGCAAAAGAATAGCTAGGTCTCATTCCCAATACCTCCAGTTGAAAGGGTCAGGTTAATAGGTGCTTACCTCTTCAGACCTTGTAGAGCTGCTGCTAGTCAGAGCAGACATTACCAAGGTAGATGGGGATCAGAGGTCTAAGGTAGCTTCCAATGCGCATTAGGTGAATCCATGTATCTCAGTGACGGAGTACACCCTTTGCACTCAGAGAGTCCTGGGTTCAGTTACTGGTACCACCTGGTAGGGTTGGGAAGGACCCTGGACCAGGCGAACTGCTGCCAGTCAGTGTGAGGAATATTGAGCAAACATGACAGTTAACTTAAAATGACAGTAACTTTACAACTGTTAAAAAACTTACCATTTGCCTTTTATTTTCTATCAAATTTGATCCAATAATTCCAAGAAATGACCCAAAGCCAAGCTGAAAGGCAAGGTTTTAAAAAATGTTTTAGATCTTTTAGAAGTCATCCATTTTAACCATTTAGCACAGATGCAGAATTAGAAACCAGGGTTGGGGGGGGGGGAGACCACACACCACATATTCAGTCAGAAGCCTTAAAAATCTGAGGATTTAAAAAAAAAACCAAAAAACCAGAATCACCAAAATATTGCAACAGTATTCCTGATTTTTACCAGTGGAAGTAAATCACGTAATAAAGAGGAGCTTTTAGAAATTAGGCAAAATGCATGCAAAAATAATTTTTAATGCAGGTTGACAGCAATAATGCAGCAATGGTCTTACAAATGCTTGACATAACTGGAGTAGCCAGCTGAGGCAGACTTCCAATTGAGTCAAGGACTTCTTATTCATACATCTCTTATGATACCTGCTTAATAAATGTAGTTGGCAGGCACCACCAATCTCAGAGCCATCACATGGATCTGGCAGTAGCATAAAAACTATCCCACCACTGGCAGAATTTTTGGCCTTTTTTCTGCACCAAAGCAACAGCTATTGCTACCCATGATGCTGCTTCCACAGGAGGATGAGAACAGCTTTAATCAGCCCAGCTACACAAGCTGTTGTTTACTGGGAACCCAGAAAGACAGGCATGCCAGGTATTAGGGGCAACACAGCAGAAGAGAGCCAGGTGCTTGCCTCAAACAGCTCTTCTGATTCTCAACTTTGACCTCTGGGTGCAAGAGTAGGAAAGGATGAGATTGTAAATAAGAGGAGGATTCTGCAGACCTCTTTGCAGAAACTAATATGATCATAACATGGTTCATCCCGTTCTATCCTCTCATCAAGCAATAACTTGCATGCATAAATGTGCAATCACTAGTTAATTGTCACAGACGGTTTTCATACCAGCCAAGGAAGAAATGCTTCCTCGCTTAAACAGTTCACACGTGTCTCGATGAACGTAAACACATGACGTATGTGCACGTGTAAACCAACCTGTTGGCACTGACCATGTGCTGATTAGTAAACACCACTGCTACTTGAGGATTAAGACTTCAGGGTGGCCAAGATCCCTCCAGACAGGTGCAACCTTCCGTTCAGTGAGTAGTGCATGAGGTGACTTAGTGCAAGTTGCTTATTCACCCCAATTGTGATGGGGTGCCTTGCCTTGTCCTCCTCTCGAGTTAGTGATTATGGATGGGGGCGGGAAGAAGAATTCAATGTAGCACTAAGTTCAAGTCCCTTAGTGGTGCACTAGTTGCGCGAGCATAATATTTGACACATGATATGGTGCAGCAAGCCAGCATGGTTCTCATGGCTAATCACAGAATAGACTGCTGTTGCCCCAATACATCCTGTTGCATAACAAGCTTCTGCTAGTGAAACTGTTGCATAGGACATCATGTTATGCAACCATTATTCTCACCCTTGTACTAGCACACCATCCTTGATCAGAGAACACTGAATCCAGATATGGATTCCATCTGCCTGTGCATCTAATTACCCATTACCTGGGTCATTTGCCGGTCACAGTGGTTGCTTAGTGAGCTGTCCATCCACCAGAGCGTATAAGTGCCAAAATGCTCTTAATGGAATAAATTAGCAAAAAGCCCATGATGGATGACAGATGGGACATGATTGAAGGAGCGAAGCGTTATTAAGGGCAGGGTAACCCTGTGTCAAGGGGTGGTTTTATTTTTCTCTGTTGCAAATGTTCTCAAATGCGGCACCTCACTTCCCCAACCTCACTTCCCCCAGTAGCAGATGTGGCAGGGAGGAAAATGAGATGTACTTGTATACTAAGTTTACTCCTAGTGATTCCAGCTGCAGGGGTCGGGAGTCAATCAACTGAGAATGAAGTTGCTTCTATCTGCGCACAACTCCTTCCAGCGTTATGTTGCCCAATTATGCTAGGATGTGACAGAATGGTGGCTCACTGTATGGCAGGAGTGGAGAATCTGTGGTCCTCCAGATGTTGCTGTCATCCCTAAGCACTGAGCTCCTGTCATCCCTAAGCACTGGGCAGGATGACTAGGGCTGATGGGAGTTGCAAGTCCAGCAACATCTGGGATGTCACAGGTTCCTCTTCCCAGCTGTAAGCTGTGGAAGTGTTATAGTACAGACATACCTCATGTTACGTTTGCTTCAAGTTGTGTCCCGCGTGACCCGGAAATACCGGAAAGGGTTACTTCCGGGTTTCACCGCTCACGCATGCACAGACGTGCAAAATGACATCATGCTCATTTGCAGAAGCAGAGAATCTTGACCCGTGCGTGCGCAGACGCGGGTTGCATTTTTTTCAGGTTGCGAACGGACCTCCGGAATGGATCCCGTTTGCAACCAGAGGTACCACTGTACATGAAAGATCCTTAAAACTGGATGGGATAACTTCCAGATCTGTTTCTATGATTTTATTAAACACTGGCAGGAAGTAACAGTGGACTTTAGAGTACTAACAGATAATATTATAAAGGAATTAAACAAGGTGTTGTGTAATACAGCTGTTTAACACAGGGGTCAGGAATCTGTAGCTCTCCAAGCCTCAGCTGGAATGCCTCATGGTTAGCGTTGAGGGGAGCAACATCTGAAAGGCCACAGAGTTCCCATCCTTGATTTAATGCATCAGTTTATTCAGTAGAGTACTGATTACATTAGGGGCTGGTTCATATGCATGGTTAGCATGGGAACGAGACCTAAGCACGTAGCAAAAGCACAGATACCCACATATAGCGCCTCCTAAGAACCTCTTTAAGCATTCATCTTTATTTGCATGCAGAATGCTTACATGGTGGTTAGCCCAAGGGCACCTCCAGACTAGGGTTTCACCTCCAGTCACCCATGAATGCATTTTGCAACATGTCAATTATCATGCACTGGTGATGGATTCTGACTGGACCTCCCCAACATCATTATGCTTTGGTAGTTCTTTGATGCTTCCCCAACATGACCACATTACTGCCATGTGGAGGGGCACGCCTGCGCTACGCCTGCGCAACAGAAACGGGACAAAGGAGCATTTGTGGTATGAAAAATTACAGGACTTCAGCAGGAAGCCACAGTTCATGCACCAGTTGAAACTGAAACTTTTGCAGGTGCAAATCAGATGATGTGTAACTGCCTCAGCACCTTCATGAGCCCAAATCATCATGAATGCTCAATAAACAGAATGTCTGGAAGGGCCCTATATCTGGTCTTTACTTACCAGTCATTCCAATTTGTTTGTGGGACAAATTATGATTATTGTTATAATTATAATTATTGTTTTAAGACAATGGGCATTCATCCTGACTTCCTTGTGGGGTGTTTACACATCTTCCCACTAGTCATTTGTTCATCCCACACTTTTAAATGCATTTCCTCATCGCTTTCCAAATGACAAAAATGTTATGTTTTTATTTTTAAGTGGGTTTCTTGTGCTAGGTTGACAGAGTGCCTTAACCCATTTTAAGTGTGCCAACCTAAAGTTCTGATGTCACTACCAGGCTACAAAATCAGCTTACACTCTCTCTGAAATGCCAATTCATATATACCGGTACATTAGGATTGCAGCATTAGGCTTGCATGTGTGAACAAGACATTAGAGGTTTACATGCCAGGGAGATAACATAACAAAGCGCAAATGGTCTGCTAATGGAAACAATTACACATTTAACTGTGAGAAATAAGGCAATGCATGTATGAACCAACCCAAAGTGTGCTAAGCTAAGAAACACTTGCTAGCTTGATGGTTTCTTTCTGCAACCTAGAGATCAGAGTGGAAATGTCCACAGTCTTGTACTGTGTACTGACATTTTGAATCATTCCAGCTGAAATGAGAGTATTTGCTGCGCAGCGCACCTACATTATCCTGCAGCCAAGATTGCATGGACTGACATTTAAGGGGCCAGAGTAGTAGATATTCTGACTCTGCCCTTTTGACGGGATCACTTTCCAACATTCTGATGAGAAAAATGAGAGCAGAAAGTGTTTCAATATTATAAGAGCAGAATGAAGATCCCTTCTGAAAAGGGTTGGTGTATTCCACCCAGAAGAGATACAGAAAAGATACAGAGCAGGGGTAGGACATTGCAAAGACCCAACTATCTTAAGCATGCACTGGGCAAATCCAACATTGGCTTTCTGAGTTCTCATATGTACTAAGCTATCTCAGGACACTTTGCATTCTGAGCCAGCTCGCTAAAAACAAATCCAGATGGCAGAGATGGGCTACAAAATCAGCAGATATAAGTTCATCAGCAAGGCATTCTGTGGGCTAATAGAGACATGCATAGTACAGGACATGCAACATCAAAGGCAAACACGGACAAACAGTTCAGCATAGAGATTTAACACCAGAACCAGAAATTTTTGCAGCACCCCACACCACACAAATCCAACATGTTTTCATGGGATTGGTTCACATGTTCAGGTGTAAAGCATCAAGGTCATAGTACTTAAGGGCTGAGCAATGGAGGCTGGTTCATGCATGGATGTACCAGGCCACTGTCTTGTGTCCTCAGTGTGACATCAGAGGAATAGCTCACACATAACAGCAGCAGATTTAAGACTTGTTTGTGGGGCACTTGTAGCATGTGAAGGGGAGGTGAATGCCTCCAACTGGGTGCTGGCCTGCCAGTTAGCTACAGCCAAATGCAGCTTCCAGTTACGTTTCCTCCAAGTGACTGGAACCATCTGTGTAGCCTCCATTATTTTATGTACCTCATTAAGTGAGTAGGGGCATAAATATGGCAGATGAGCCTGCAGTAGTTAATTGTGAATCACACCTTGGTGCGATTACAGACATGGGTTTAGAGGCATTTCTGCATTTTCCTGCTTCAGAAAACTGGCCAGTAGCCCCAGGTGAACTTTCCTCTGCACTGATGTTGCAATTTTGGAAGGAGTTGAGCATGCATTCACTGCACATCTGAAACCCACAGCACAGGCACATAGAGGCTTTTTCCATGGTGGTCCCTTTTTGATCTCCTGGTGTCGATCTACTCACCACCAATGGAAGTCAATGGGAGACTAGCAGAAATACCCAGTTCTCACCATTAGTTCCAGGTATGAGCATAACACTAGTTCACACTTGCATGTGTGGTGTGGCACTAGGCTGCAGGTGTTAGCCCTCAGTTAAACAGCCACAGAGACAACTTGCATATGAAGTTGAGTGAAACACATTGTCAACGGAGGTGGGTCACACATTTGGTGGATGAAGCACTAAGTGACAGACCATGGACTTGTTATGGGGCACATGTTTCTCGCTGGATAACCAAGGGGACCTTTGCATGCATAAGTGAGCCACCACAAGCCTAACACCACAGACAGAACATCCATATCACTTCACTCGCAACACTACCCAGCGGAGTCAGGTCAGACATTCAGCTACCAGCCAACAAGTGAACAGCAATCTGTAGAGCAGAGATAGACCCTCCAGATGTTACTGAATTCCCACTGTCACTGAACACTGACCTTGTTGGCTAGGGATGATAGAAGCTGGAGCCCCACAACATCTGGAGGGCCACAGCTCCTTCACTCCTCCTATCAGGGGTAGATGCTCATGTGTGAACCAGTCCCAAATGATTTGCCACTGAATGTGACTCCATATGGAAACCATTGGCTCAAGGGTGTTATGGCCACACATGCAAGTAATCGTGTTGCAGTCACCCAGTGATGAACATGCATGTGTGGACCAGGCCCCCATCCCCATATTTAAAGCCAGAAGTAAGGAACTCGTGACCCCCCATAGGATGTTGGACTTTGAGGCCACCAGCTCCATCCAGCATGGCCAATGGTGAGGAAGGATGGAAGCTCCATTCCAACAAAATCTAGAAAGTCTCAAAGAAACAAAACATTCAATGAAGGCAGAAAGCAAATGAGCAGAGATTAACACTTAAGACATTCTAATCAATTTGGAAGGTTTGTGGGGACTTGGGCGGGAGCAACACAGCTTCTTGACCTACCTAGGAGTTCTATACTTACAATAACCCCTGGGTAATAACCTCCAACAGTCACATTTTGCGTTCTTGTCGTGGCAGCAAGACCAACCGTAAGAATTAACAGAGACACAATGAGAAGAGTCACCGTTACGTAGAGGGAATTTCTTTTTCTTCTATTGAAAGACCCTAAAACACACACACATATATACATATGCAAAAAATGTGCTAATTCCGTCAGTGTTGAGTAGCAAAGCATACCCTCTCCCCATATGCATCATATTCAGTTTCAGTTCTCTTGGTGGTATCATGAGATACCATATCAAGAGCATAGGAAGCTGCCTTAGACCAGGCCAGGCTACTGGTCCACCTATCTAGCCCAGGGGTGGGGAAACGTTTTGGCCACCTGTCAATCATCTGACATCACAGTGTTGTTGGGTGATTAGCAGGTGGGTAGTCTTGCCCACCCGTCAAATATAACCTGTGTGGGTGGGAGGAAATACTGTCCAAGGAGGATTGAACTACATTCTAATGCAGGCTTCTAAGCTTCTCCATCTGGACCTCAAGACTCTTCCCAGCACATGCCTTCTCCCTGGGCCACACATCTCACTGGCTACACACCTGCTTGGAAGGTGTCCTTGAAGTGTTTGCCTGGATGGAGAATGGATAGATGAGTGGGTACAGAAACCACTGGCTTCTTTGTGGCTATACAAAGCTAAAAGCCACATCTGTTGCCCCTCCCACCTCTTTGCCTCTGGCCCTGCCCAGCACTGGCATGTGGCCCCCGGAATGTTGTCCATGAGGGCAATGTTTTATTGGACATATTGTTCCCAGGATATAACAACAGGAGAAGCAGGAAGCTCTTAATTCCCACAAGAGAGAATTCCCCATTCGCATAATATGCTTTAAACACTATGATTCCACTTTAAACAGTCATGACTTCCCCCCAAAGAATTTTGGGAGCTGTGGTTTGATAAGCGTGCTGAGTTATTCCTCCCAGTCCCAATTCCCAGAGTTCCTTGTGAAGAGGGACTGATTGTTAAAAGCACTCTGGGAATTATAGTGCCAGGAGGGGAGCAGGGGCCTCCTAAAAACTTCCAGCACCTTTAGCAAACTACAGTACCCAGGATTCTTTGTGGGAAGCTGTTACTGGCTAAAAGTGGTACTACGGAGTTTTAAACTGAAATATACTCACGAGTCGAGTAGTAATTTCATGCTCTTTATTTCAGCTCATAGGAACAGTGATTGAATTCCCTCCCCCCAGCCTCAGGCTTTATGTACATTATTTACACAATGAGTACCGTCTGATTGGTTGATTATGTTTCCCTCCTGGAGCCTGATTGGGCTGCTGCTGCAGGCCAATCAGTGGTTGCATCCTAGTATCCTACCGACTTAATAGGCTGATTAACTTCCTCCTGGGGTCTGATTGGGGTCTCCTGCAGGCCAATCAGGTTGTTGCATTCTAGGATCCTACCTGCGTATTCTTCTAGGATCCAAGCTTAGTACATAACATATATGTTGTTGTGATTGTAGCCTAAGTCATTGCACAAACAGAATTACTTTTGCTCAGGGAACAGTGTGTCCCTTCTTCCTCTTCCACCCACATCACCCCAGTCCCTGATCTGCCCTGGGTTCTCCCAACCCTCTAGAAAAGATTTGGGAACAGTGCAAAGTTGGTAAAGTTCTGTAGTGCGAGCAGAAGTTGTTCTGCTTGCACTGTGACTCAGATAAGATTCAACCCTATAGAAATATATAAAAGGCTGGCACACTTGCAAATCCCCACCTAGGCAGTTCCAAGAGTTGAACTAAGGACGCATGTTATGGCCCTAATCCGATTCCAGCAAAGAAACAAACAAATCTCGAATCACCTTCCTGACATCAATAGCTTCTCAAGGACACTTTGCAAAATACCAGGAGCAATGGTATGTGCTCAGTTTTCAGCAAGCCAGCCTAGTTTATAACCCACCAAAGTAATTAATCCACCAGACAGGGCAGGTTAATCATTATTTTTAAATAAATAAATAAACCCAATTTCAAAAAAGAAAATTCTGTTAGGCATCTTTTTAAAATACCCTGGTTTAAAAAACAAAATCTGAAATTTAACAACAACAAAAGTTAATGTCTGCACTTAAGGTTTCTTAAAACTGAATCTGTGGCCCTCTGTGAAATAAACCAAGTTAAAAGTCTGTTGAATGAACCGGGCAAAAACTAGAATAAAAGCTGACTTTTGCAGTGGTGTGATTCATGCAGAACATTTTGAAATGGAAGAATCCCACTGCCCTAAACTCAAGGCAATTTAGTTTAGCATTTAGTAAACTGATTTTTTTAAAGGGTGCTATGTTAATCTTACATGCTGTAAACAATATATATATTTTTCAAGTTACTGAAATAATCATAACTTAGCTGAACAGAAATATTTAATTAGGCAAAAGAATTCAATGAAGCACCACCACAGCGTGGTTTAAATGTTACATCCAAACCAATTTGAGGCTTAACTTGGAAATTATTTTTATTCTGATATTTATAATCATTTTAAGACAGGACAACCCAAAACCTTACACTTCCTGTTCATCATGAGGTGCTGAGAAGTGGTATACTGATTTTTAGAATGCCTGAAGAGCTGTGTGCATGAATATTATTTATTTCATTTCATTCCATGTATTAATTGCTTCCTATAAAACACCTCAAAGCAATCTAACAATGAAAACACCAACTGGGGAGAGGAGGCGGACAATTACACATATAAAGACAAAATCAAAACCAACACAGAGCCAACTGGGATAAAAAGTGTTCGGTTAAAAGTCTTGTTGGAAAAGGAAGGTCTTTAAAAGCTGCCAAAAAGACAATAGAGATGGCACCTGTCTGACAAGCAACAGGATGGGGAATTCCAAAGGGTTTGTGTGCTTTCTAGAGAAAGTCACCTTAAAAAGTTAATAACCACTCTGATATTAGATCTGCCAAGAAGTAGTGTATCTACTCTAGTTGCCCAATTTGACCTGCACTGCATTTTTCACTGGCAGCATTCAGATGATCAAATCTCTGCCAGGATATGAACATGCTCTATGTGTCTACACACAGATGCTCTGCTCTTCCCTTTGTGCAAGCAAGGAACCATTATGTCCATGGTCTTCCAAATGAGCAGGAATATGAAACCATGGTATAACGTCAGCACCCATCTCTTGGCTTGCTTGTTTTATTGTTATTTATTTAATGGAATTTGTAGGGTGCTTGGTTGTGAACAGAGCCTCTAAGCAGTTTACAAAAGAATAAAACAAGCATTAAAATTATCAATAGAAGACAGTTAAAAAAAAAAAAACAGGAATTGAAAAATCCCAAATATAATTAAAACCAACAATAAGCTAAAAACAGGTTAAAGCACGTTTCCTTTTACATGTCTGCACAGGCTTAACCACAAAAAAATGTTTTTAGCAGGCACCAAGAAGAGTTCAGCAAAGGTACTAGCCTAATGTCCTCAAGCAGGGAGTTTCAAAGTGTAGACACTGCTCCACTAAAGGACTGGTTTTTTGTTTTTTACAAGGGTGGAATGAATATTATGTGGCACCTGTAAACAGAGACAGCTCCATAATTGATGCAATTGAGTAGGCACATACAGGGTAAGGTGATTTCTCCAGTAAACAGGCACCAAGCTGTTAAGGGCTTTATATAATAATATTAATACTTTGAACTTGGCCTGGTAACAAATGTGCAGCAACTAGCACAGGTCTTTAAGCAGAGGTGTTATGTGCTGACAAGGTCTCAGTAACCCAGCTGCTGCATTCTGCAGTAATGGCAGTTTCCAGATCAAACACCATTGTTTGCAAGCCATTAACTAAGAGGCTCATTCCTGTCTCGGCTTATTAAGCAGAGATCTGATTGTCTGCCCACAGCCATTATGTTACTTATTAATTTTATGAAGCACTTGATTCTGAGAACTCTCTTTGGAAAAATACAGCAGCAGAAAATGTTCCATCCCACATCGCTGGGCGTTTGAAGTCAAACGACTCTAAATATGACACAATAAGTCGTGTATATTGCATTGATTGTTTGCAGACTATGAATATTTAATCCGTCAGCAAAAGAACGGGGCCATTTACATCCTATTTCCTGCAGAGAGTAGGTGTCGTCCAGTAATCACCAACTTTTGTCTCTAGAAAATTCTGGGCGCTTAAGAATTCTGTTCTGGGAGTGTTTGGTATTTACAGGGGAGCATCTAGGGAAGTCAAGACAGGGCAGGTAAAGCCCAGTTCGGTTAAGCAGGTCAAATCACAACAGACAAGATCACATCAAGCAGCTAAAGTCTAGCCACAAGCAAGCACTCTTTGCATAGATAGCGAAGAAAAACAGGACCTTGGTTAGCTCCAAGTGTTAGGTAATGATTCCTTCTTCAAAAGCAGCTTGAAGAGTCGTCCAGGTGGGAAGCTATTCTCAAAGGAAGGGCTATGCAGGTTGCTAATGTGGCTAACTCTGCCTCTCTAGAGCAGCTGCCTAGGTTCTTTAAATGTTATCATGCTATTTTCCTTTCTTTGACTTCTGCAAAGCTGGGGAAGTGGAGCAAGGGACTCATCCTGTGAGCCTGCAAATGGGCTGCGTATTCTCCAGCTGGGAGTGCCCCAACTAGGGTGCTGATAATTTAACTCTAGAGAGACCTCCATTGCACACTGCAAGGTCCCAGGATTAGGGGTTACGGCATTAAATGCCGCAAATATAAATAAACGTGGGACTTCCTTCAGAGAAAACATATTGGCTGTGAGTCCTGGAAGACCTGCTCCCTGCCTTGCAGGCTTTTCCTACCTGGCCTGGGAGGGCAGGGCCCTGACTGACTCCAGCTACAAAAGCTGAGGCTACTGAACAGACTCTTATGTTGGGGTGTAGTTTGCTGGAGAATTGTTGCTTGTGGTTTTTATATCTTTATTTTAGATCTTGTTGAGATTTATGTGGAAATTGTTCTGTTTGTTTGTGTATCTTCATTTATTTATTTTTTATTAACTTTGTATACTGCCCTTCATCTGTAGAACTCAAGGCAACTCACAGCATAAAAATACAAGATAAAAACACAAAACACATGATAAAAAAACCGTAACAAGAAACTGAAACCTCCCTCCCCCACGCTGTCCACAAACACCTTAAAATGGGGTATAAGATATTAATCAGCCCAATGGCTTGTTTGAATAGGAACGTTTTTGCCTGGCACCTAAAGGTGTATAATGAAGGCGCCAGCCAAACTTCCCTGGGGAGAGCATTCCACAAACTGGGAGCTACTGCAGAAAAGTTCTTGTGTTGGCACACTCTGGGCCTCTCATGGAGGAGGCACACAAAGAAGGGCCTGGGGAAATGATTGCAGGGATCAAACTGGTCCATATGGGGAAAGGGTGTCCTTGAAGTACTGCGGTCCTGAGCCGTTTAAGGCTTTATAATTAAAAAACAGTGCTGTGAATTGGACCCAGAAACAGTGCTGTTGGGCCAGAATTGGTATAATATGCTCAAACTGACCTGCATCAGTGAGCAACCTGGCAGCAGAATTCTGCACCAGCTCAAGTTACCATGCCGTCTTCAGAGGCAGCCCTACGTATAAGGCATTGCAGTATTTTAAATGTTTTATTTATTGTTCATGACTGCTTTTATTATGTTGTAGTTATATATTGCTTTAATGTTGTAAGCCACCTTGAGCGTGGTTTGAATTGTGGAAAGGTAGCATACAAATAACATTAAGTAGGACTTTGCCATTGGTTTTCCAGGAAACGATCTTTCCTAGTGTCCTTGCATATGTACAACGAACCAAAATAGAGCTCCTTAATTTTATTGTTGTTCCCCTGCCTAATTTTTTTCTTTTGAAGTGCAAAAGCCTTGTGGGCTCTATCACAAGAGGTGTGGGATTATGATCCTTGGCAAAAGAAAGGCTGTATTCAGTCGTAATCATCTTTAAAAGATCACATAACTTTGAAGTAGGCATTTTGAAACTTCATTTAAACCTGCATTTTCCCTTAGTGATTTAAATAACGGCCCAAATCAACCCATCCCCCCACCAAAGGCTTGAGAAACAAGCATGCCAAGAAAGGCAAAAATAAGGGGAATTGTCAAGAACTTAGCGGGTGACTATATGTGACCAGCAGGCTGTATTCAGGTTGGCGAGTCACAAATTGTGCAGGTTTGCATCACCTTCCTAAAATCCTGACTTCCCAAGTCAGTGCAGGAAATCCAGAACAGACTCCCAATGGGTGGCCGTCCATTCTTGAAAAATCTCCTGTGAAGCACAGCCCACCAGCCCTCTAGATCGGAGGTGGGGAACCTTTCTCAGCCTGAGGGGCATATTCCCTAACTGTGTGAGCCACAGTCCAGAGGTGCGCAGGGCCAGAGGCAAAACTGGACAGAGCAAGTGCTCTAAATCTACACTCTAGCCTTCATCTGGGCAAACAAGAAACACGGTTCGAGTTCCAGGACATATTCCAGCCAGGCAAAAATATTCCAGGAGGGTAAGAAAGGGGCATGTGGCCTGGGAGAAACATCATTGGTCTGATGTTCGCCATTCCTGCTCTAGATAGTTAGTTTCGTAGTTGCTCTATCAAAAAGTTTCACCCAACACTCAACTAAAATATACCTTAGCACAACATTAGATCTAGCACTACCCTCTACATAAGAGAATAGGAAGCTGCCTTTTACTAAGGCAGATCACTTAGTCATCTATCTCAACGCAGTCTGCACTGACTGGCAGCAGCTCACCAGGATTTCAGGCAGAGGATGTTCTCAGCCCTACTTAGAGATGCCGAGGATTGAACCTGGGGCTCTTCTGTGTGCAAAACAAATGCTCTGCCACTGAGCTATAGCACTTTCCCTCCAAGGCAGCAGAGAGAAGCAATGCTTTGCCCACTGAGGGACTCAAACCAGTGACCTCCTGAGTGTATTAGTGGCTGGCCGGCCAAATACACACCACAGAGGTCCCGTAGTTCATAAAGGCCCATCTCACTTGCATAATACTCACAGAAGAGGATTAGAAAACTTATTGGAGGCTAAGACTATCCATGGCTACTAGCCATGAGGGCTATGCTCTGCCTTTATGGTCAAATGAAGTAATGCTTCTTCAGCTCTGAAAATTGCAAGAGAGGAGAGTGCTCTTGTTCTTGGGTCCTGCGATTTGGCTCCTCATAGACATCTGGTTGGCCACTGTGAGAACAGGATGTTGGAGTAGGTGGGCTATTGGCCTGATCCAGCTGTCTCTCCTTATGTTCTTATGCTCCCAGCTAAGAAACCTAAATCACATTGCAAAGCACCAAATAATGAGGCATACCCTCCCTCAAAGAATGGACTCAGGGTCCTAACCAGTTCTGCATCTTGAACCTGCTTCAAGGGGGCCTGCCCAGCATTCAGTTGAGCGACACACCCATGCGCTGGCACAGGCTTCCAAGCTCACATGAAAAGACTTTGCATTTCACATTTCACGCCCCCTCTCCTGTGGCATCTCTAAGTCTGAAGATTTACTCCTTTCTGATGTGACCACACCAGTTGTGCTATCAAGGCTAAGTACGTTAAATGTGGGGAAGGCTCTTGCTGATCTTTGAGAAAAGGGGCATGAATTCACATTTGCAAGCAGCAAGTAGTGCCTCACATTCTCCAATAGGTAAAGGGTAAAGGGACCTCTGACCATTAGGTCCAGTCGTGACCAACTCTGGGGTTGTGGTGCTCATCTCGCTTTATTGGCCGAGGGAGCCGGCGTACAGCTTCCGGGTCATGTGGCCAGCATGACTAAGCCGCTTCTGGCGAACCAGAGCAGCGCACGGAAACACCCTTTACCTTCCTGCCGGAGCGGTACCTATTTATCTACTTGCACTTTGAGGTGCTTTCGAACTGCTAGGTTGGCAGGAGCAGGGACTGAGCAACGGGAGCTCACCCCGTCATGGGGATTCGAACCGCCAACCTTCTGATCGGTAAGCCCTAGGCTCTGTGGTTTAACCAACAGGGTGTGGCAAATAAGAAAACCCATGGCAAGGAAAAACCTCATTCAGTTAATTTGTTAAGAGAGGAGGAAGAACACAACCAGATTAGCAGCAAGTTAACTCTGAACAGCTGATTCGATTTGTTAATATCCAATATGACTTCTTTCTTTTCCTTCATTTTCTTTCTTTCTTTAAAAAACCCTTCTCTTCTGCAGTATGTCTGTCCTGTTCCCACAACTGGCGTCAGAAGTTGGCATGGTAGGGCATCTGCCTTAAGACCACACAACAGAGGGGCAGCTGCTGACCCTTGAATCTCTTCCCCGACCCTGAGCCAACTCCTTGCTGCTGCTGCTGCTGCTGCAGCAGCAGCTCCCTGTTCTTCTGCTGTTCTCTAAGTGCACAAGCATTTCCAAAAGCAAGGACAGGTCCATCACTCAGCGGCAGAGTATCTGCTTTGCATACAGAATGTCCCATGTTCAAGCCCTGGCATCTGCAGGTAGGGCTGGGAGAAGCCCTCTCTGAAACGGTGGGGAGCTGCTGCCAGCGTAGACATACTGAGCTAAGTGGACCCAATGGTCTGACTCAGTATAAGACAACTCCCTATGTTTCTAACATAAGGTTTTGCTTGCCTTGCTATTTCTTTATGCCCAGAGATACAGACTGGGTCCAGAGGGAGAGGGCAAATGAACAGGCGGTGGGGGGGGGGGGGAGAAGCAGGGCAGTTGCAAAGGCAGATTTAGGGGAGCGTGACTGGTTTGGTCACACTGGGTGCAGAGCCTTGGGGGTGCCACAGCTATGATTTAGAATACAGCTAAGGGTGCAATAAGTTTGGCATCAATTTGGTGCTGAATTTTGGCATCACACGGGGCACCACTAAAATCTAAGATCCCAAGGTCCATCACTGGCAGTTGGCCCACGCAATCTGTCCCCAGGAAATCTGCCTCCCTGACTTAAGGAATTGTCAAGTTCTGCCCAGCAACGAGGCTTCTATATTCCAAAGCTTGTGATATATCGTATTATTTCTGCATCTTGTTATATCAATATTGCAGAAATTCTCTTAGCACAATCCTATGCAACCGGGATGGGGAAATGGTGGCCCTCAAGATGTTCCTGGGCTCCAACTCCTCTTAGCACCAGCCAGCAGGACCAACGGTCAGGGATGATGGGCGTTTGAAATAAATAACAAGGACATAGGAAGGTACCTATGAGAGATTCAAACCACTGCTCCATGTAGGTCACTGCTGCCTTTCCCAACCTGCTCCCCTCTAGACCGTTAGACTACAGCTCCCACCAGCCTCAACCAGAAAAGGTTGGGAAAGGCTGGTCTACAACGACTGCAGCAGTTATCCAGGCAGGAGTATTTCCCAGACCTACAAGCAAATGCCAGGCTGAATTGAGGCTCTTTTGCGTGGAAAGCACAAGTTGTACTGAGTTAAGGCTCTCCTCCACCTTGTTTTACATGAAGCCCACCTAACAGGGGCTGAGGAAGGCTGGTCTACGCTGGCTGGCAGCAACCCTCCAGGTAGGAGTGTTTTGCAGCACTGCCTTGGGGTTCCCTGGGACCTTCTGCATGCAAAGCAGATGCTCTCCCACTGAGTTGCAGGCCTTGCTCCAATAAATGAATGGAGCAGCAGCCTGGTGACCACACATTCAGCCTACTCACCAATAGGGCAAATTAAATCCTCTAATAACACAAGGCCACTCAATCAGTGGGGGGAAACAGCCCCGTGGCCTCCAGACCAAAGGAAGCCAAGTGATACAAACCAAGGGTCTCCAAACAGCAATAACCTAAACCTTCTCCATACAACCCCCCTCCCTTATTAAAAACAAACAAGCAGTGGCGATTTTAAATAGAAACGGTCCCAAGCTTCTCTGCTCAGGCATGTGGAAAACAGCAAGGCTCGCCTTTCACCCGGGGCCTCCTCCACTCCCGTTGCAAGCTTTTAAAAAAAAATTATTTCTGGCCTTGAGCTGCAATGCAAGCGACAGGGCTGCAGGTTGAGAGAGAGGAGCGGGCCTGGGGCGCGTGCTGCATGTCCAGGCGATCAGGACTTCCCCAAACGACCCAATACCCACCCACCCCCGACTCTGGTTTTTGCAAAAAAGGGAAAAAAAAGGACCCAAAGAGTGTTGCGCAAAAGGCGGCACCCGTTTACACCCCGTTCCCGCGCGCGCTCCTGCCCCACTTGCTATGGGCGCCCCTTCCCCAAATCCACACCCTCCTTTCCTTTCCCCTCGGCGAAGAGGCGCCTCACCCACAGAATCGGAGAGGGGGATCGCGCTGGGGCGCGGCTGAGTCAAGGCCTGGCGCATAGTGGCGGGCCCTCAATGCAAGGTGTCCGGCGGGAGCTACCGGCCGCGGCGCATCCTCCTGCGCTGCTCGAGGTTCATGCTCCGGGCAACAGCAGCGGCTCCCTCCAACCACCAGAGCCGGTCTGTGGCGCTTGCGCAAACTGGAGAGACAAACCAACCAGACCAGCCCGCTATAAAATGTGGGCAGGGGGAGAGGAGAACCTTCCTGTTTCGCCACGGTTGGGTTGCAGGCGGGTTTGCTACCTGTCGTCCCGTATATTTTCCATGCGTTATTCGATGCGCAAGATTCCAAGCTGGGTGGCTCCTTTCCTTTTTTTAAAAAAAGAAAGAAAGGCGCAAACATGCAGAAATCAATAGGAGAGCTCGAGAAATCATGTGGTATGTGTGTGTGTTTTTAACCGATTCAAGAACTTTTGCCGCGCTTGGCAGCCTGATCCTATACAAATCGACTCGGATGTCTCTCCGGGTTCCATGCGACTTAAAAACCTTTGCCCGAGGCGCGTGTGCGGTCTCTCCAGGTTCCAGGGCGAGTTGCAGCAAACTAAAAATTAGTTATTAAAAACCATCAAAACAAATTGCAGCGTGGGTCCTGAATGGCCCCTGGACTGGGGCAACTGAATGCACAAAAATTACTAATCCTTGCAACAAGGAAATGCCACTTTTCATATTAGTAGTTTACTGTTAGAGTAACGTGGTCAAAATAACCTTAGAAAAACACAAGTGTGTTCTCAGCTCTTGGCCCTAATGATTAAAAATTTCCTCCTTGATTAATTTACTAAATTGTTGGTTGATTTGTTTATCAGTTGAGCCAATTAAATATTGCTATCCTTATGAAACAACAATCACCCAAAACTCTTATTTTTCTTGGTGGTGATGATAATAAAATTGGCAGTACTAGTAGTAATAAATCATTATCAGGAATGCCTCAGTGGTGTAAGATTTCCTAGTTGGTCTAGCCAAGATGGCCTATGAAGTACTTCTCTTATTACTTGATTTTACAGTAATTATTCTTTTGGAACTTTGTGGCATAGCTGTCAACATTTCTCTTTTTTTAAGGGAAATTCCCTTATTCCGAATAGGATTCCTCGCAAGAAAAGAGAAAAGTTGACAGCTATGCTTTGTGGGCCAGTGAAAAGAGAAGATCTGGATTTATGGGGTCATTTTGAGGAAAAACACAATTATTTTTAAAAATATTGTGAATCTGCAAGTGGGGGTAATTGGTTGCAGTACTTATTTTTTTCCGTTCATAAATTATTCTTTGCCTTCTTTTAAATTAACGTACATTAACCTTTTTTTAAAAAAAGCTTAGCTTTGGATTTCAAACATGCAAGTGTACTAAATGTGAATTAATTACCAAGGCATAGCCAATGTCCTTTTTTTGTTCTTGATGATTAATTTCTAAAAAGAGCAACATTTGCAAACTCAAGCCCACCTAGGTATTCTACTTTCTAATCCCAGAAGTATGGAGGTTAGCTGCAGTTACTCTGTAATGGAGGAAAAATGCACTTGGCACGTGATCAGAGGCATTCTGATAATTACGACTTTGCATTCTCAACCAGATCTACCATTCATCCACAGCTCAAAAGAATTCGGCATGTAATGCTATGCCTCATTTAGTGATAGGCACATCTATTTTGATGCCAAAACGAAAGCCAGCTCACATATTTACTGAAATGTTATTCTTTTTTGGAGTTCAGCCAGCAGTTTTAAAAATCCTTGGTTTTTGTGATCAAGGGACACTGAGTGGGGCAAAGTGGTGATATCATACAACCCTAACTATGTCTACTCAGAAGTAAGTTCTATCGGATTCATTGGGGTTTCATTCATTGCACTGAAATATGTGGGATTGGGATTGCAACCATAACTGGGTTAATTTTTGCATTAGGACTGAGATTGCCATCCTACCCTGCTTAAAGTAAAATCTATTTCTTCCAAATGTAAGCAGTTTTCTCCTTTTAATTCTGTAGGAAGAGTAAAGGATTTCCTGAAGACTGAAAACCCATGCACGCTTACCTGAGAACATGGATATGTGGCTAAGGGGCAAAAAAACGCCAAGAATACTTATTTAATAATACAATAGAAATCTAAATTAAGAGTGGGGAAGGCAAATGTCAAACAAAACTGAAACAAAATTTGGAACCACCAAGTTAAACCATTACAATTTGTGGGACAAGCCTAGCTGCTCAGTCGTGTATGCATCTACTCAGAACTAAGCCCCTTTGGAGTTTGGGGGGGTTTACTCTCAGTTAAGTGTGTATATAGAACAGTAGCTTAAGTCTATAGTCATTAATAATAATAATAATAATAATAATAATTACAAAGAAGTAGGAAAGTACAAGATGAAAAAAGCAAAGGAAAGGATAACAACAAAATATAAACAGCAAAAATAAAAGTTAAAATAACAACAGGGCAAAAAAAAAATAGTGGGAAACCACATTAAGATTAAACCAGGGGTAGACAATGTGGCCCCCTCTGAATTCTCTTAAGCCACAAATCCCATAATTCCTGGCGACTGAACAAGCTGACTAGGGTTGTTGGGTGCTGTGGTCCTGCAAAATCTGGAGGGGACAACAGAGATGGCAAATCTGAGGGACTCCCAGAGTTGCAGTGGACATGCTGGCTTGGGTTGATGTGATTCAGAGTCCAAAAACACCCAGAGGGCCACAGGTTCCCCATCATTTCAGAAAGCAGAAGATTACCACATGTTGACAAAGTTTCTTTGCAGCGAATGTCTCTATTGGAAACAGCTGCTGCCAGTTTATAACCTGCTTTTTTCAGGTTGTGCCCATGTTTGGATGTGTCACTGGAAGAGATAACAGTGGCACATTGCCGCAGAAGATCCAGTGCCTCAGGACAGAAGGGGGCAGAAGGGAGTCAAACAAGATATTGAAATGAAACCTGGGCCATAAACTACTGTAACACGACGCAGCTAATGCGGACAGCAGCCTCAAACCAAAATAGAAAACGTTTTGGAAAGCATTGCAGAGGAGACGGTGTGTGTGTGCTGCTTCATGGAGCAATGCAGGAAAACATGCTTCATTGAGGGTGTAATTCATCTGAGCCTTTAATTGCGACAGGATATTGTGTGTCACAGAATGTCCCTATTCGAAAGGACTTTCTTGTTTTTACTACTCTTGGGAGGGGGGCTAGGGGGCGGTGAGGAGTGTTTGACTTGGTGTTTTTAGGAAGAGCAAGGGAGGAGAACATAGTGGGAAGTTAGTGTCATGATAATAATAATAATAATAATAATAATAATAATAATTTATTATTTATACCCCGCCCATCTGGCTGGGCTGCCCCAGCCGCTCTGGGCGGCTTCCAACAAAACACTAAAATACAATAACCTATTAAACATTAAAAGCTTCCCTAAACAGGACTGCCTTCAGATGTCTTCTAAAAGTCTGGTAGTTGTTGTTCTCTTTGACATCTGGTAGGAGGGCGTTCCACAGGGCTGGTCATTGGAAAGTTAGCAGAATAAGTCCATTTATTTTCCCACCTCTGTCCCTATTTTCCAGAGACAGGCTAAGAATGACGAAAGCTATCCCAGCTTCTGATTTGATCCTGGAATGTCCCTATTTTCCCTGGCTCTGCATCTCGGAGCCAATGTGTCCTGTGGGGCTGGTCCTTGGCGGCAGCATCCTCTCCTCCTCACCTGCTTTCCAGCGGTTGCTATGAGCTGCCCAAGGGATGCGGCCAGCAGCAGAGACCATGGAGAGGCAATGGGATGCTGCCTCACAGCTGCTGCAGCCGCTGACACCTGGGACAAGCGCCGGTTCATCCTTTCTCCCAAGCTTGGTGGCAGCAGCACTTGTGGGGGAAATAGGAACATTCCAGGATCAAATCAGAAGCTGGGATGGCTTTCATAATTCCAGACTGTCTCTGGAAAAATGGGACAGTTGGAGGGTAAGTCATTAATATCACCAGACCAACCTTCTCAGTAGTGGCTCCCTGCCTGGGTAATTCTCTCCCCTGAGAGGCATGCCAGGCACCATCACTATCTGCTTTTACATGCCAGGCAAGAAACATGCTTATTCACTTAGGATTTTGGACCCTAGATTTCTGGTTGTCTTTCAGTGGGGTAGGGTCTCTTTCTCTCTCTCTCTGTATTATATATGTGTGTGTGTATAGATATAGATCTCCTGCCAACCTAGCAGTTCGAAAGCACCTCAAAGTGCAAGTAGATAAATAGGTACCGCTCCGGCGGGAAGGTAAACGGCGTTTCCGTGTGCTGCTCTGGTTCGCCAGAAGCGGCTTAGTCATGCTGGCCACATGACCCGGAAGCTGTCTGCGGACAAACGCTGGCTCCCTCGGCCAGTAAAGCGAGATGAGCGTCGCAACCCCAGAGTCGGTCACGACTGGACCTAATGGTCAGGGGTCCCTTTACCTTTACTTATAGATAAGCATCTTAGGTTGTTTTCATGCTTGCTTTTACACTCGTTTTCAGTGTTTTATTTTTGAAAGTCTCTTTGAACAGAGAGCTTCCTGCAAAAAGCGACAAACAAACAAACAAGCACATACGGTGGTGATGCCTTTGCTTGTTGTGGCAGGCATGTGGATAATGGGATATGTCCACTTCTAACCTGATAGTGCCCCTCCAAATTCCCTCTCCACACTGTCCTTCTTGGCTCTTCTCCAGGGATCTTCAGATGGTTCCTGGAATTACGGGTGGTTGGGAAACTGACACTGCACGAACCCACCTCTGGCCTGTCTGAAGGCAAAGTGATAAATATAGCGATGTCGGACCGTGAAAGCAATTTTGGAAGCATTCAGACAAGGGGCCTCCCCATGACTGACAGGGACATATTGGCACGTACATTTCTGTCTGTTAAGATCTGATTATTTTGTAACGCTCTATAAACAGGTGATCCTCAGCCTCCCAAGGCAGAAAGATTTCCTTCCTGGCAAGATTCTTGGTCTTTCCCCCTCTCTGGGATTTTTCATGCGATAGGCTGCTTTTTACACGTGAATGACTTCTGGTGGATGAGGGCCTGAATTCTTGTATGGAATCCTGCTGCATGATCTCAGTTGCCTGATGAGAGCAATCAGCTTGCTGGTCTCCTCCTTACATGCTCCGTCTTCTCTGCAGTGTTGAAAAGCAAAACTCGTCACCTGGTGATAGTCGCAAAGCCCTTGCTCCTGCTTGATTTTTCTTTTTTTAAAAAACCACTGAATTGGCTTGTGCAATGGGATTGCTGGATAATTCCAGGGTTCAGTGAAGAGACGTGACCTGCATTATTAGACCAGGAGTTGACATCCTGACATACTAACCATCTCATATTTTTTCCCTTTTTTCCTTTTTTCACCATGGAAGTGAACGCCACCTCTGGAGGTGCCAAGGACCACCCGCTCAACTATCACCAAATGCCAGTAAGTAAGCAACCCCTTAGGGTAATGAGGAATAGATTTCCAGAGGTTCCATCTGTGAGCAGAATCGAACCCTTTGTTTCTGCTGTTGATGAGCAGAGCAGAAGGTTTGTCCACACTCTCCTAAGTGTTGGAGGAAGAAAGGGGGAAAGTATGGCCATGCGTCAAACAAAGCTAGATTTCCCCCCCAGGAGGAAAAGACTATCCAGATAATTGAGAATTAGTCAAATAATAATAAGAAGGAAGGTCTGCATGCATGAATTGGCTCATTGATGCAAATAATTAACTTGTCTGTCGAAGATGAAAAAGAACCAAGCTCATGGGAAAGTGCTCCATCTGAGTGCTTTTATTAGAACCAAAACATCAGCTCAGAATGGTACGTTCAGGACCAGCTCTACAGTTAGGTAGGGTGAGGCTGCTGCCTCAGGTAGCACATACTGGAGGATAGGAAGTGGTGGTGAGGTGCTAGATAACAGAGCTGTGCTGCCCTCAGAGGTGGTGGAGGACACTCTTCAGTTGCCAGTGTCGAAGTGAGATTATTTATTTCTTTATTTATTTATACCCTGCCCATCTGGCTGGGTTTCCCCAGCCACTCTGGGCGGCTTCCAACAAAATATTAAAATACAATAGTCTGTTAAACATTAAAAGTTTCCCTAAACAGGGCTGCATTCAGATGTCTTCTAAAAGTCTGGTAGTTGTTTTTGTCTTTAACATCTGGTGGGAGGGCGTTCCACAGGGCAGGTGCCACTACCGAGAAGGCCCTTTGCCTGGTTCCCTGTAACCTCACTTCTCGCAGTGAGGGAACTGCCAGAATGCCCTCGGCGCTGCACCTCAGTGTCTGGGCAGAATGATGGGGGGGGGGGAATCTATCCTTCAGATAGATTCAATGCTGGGCCAACTGGCTTCAGTACAGGGAAATAGGAGGCTGCACCATCTTGTCCATCATCTCAGGCACCACAATGCCTTGGGCTGGCCCTGGGTACATGGGGTTCCAGGGCACTTGACTGAGAGCAGCTTAGCAGTAACAGTACAACAGCACCTTGCCCCACTTATGGTGGCACTTTTCCATTCAGGGTACGTCAGCTCTGGTGTGTATCTGGTGTGATGGAGACAACACATTGGGTTAGGGGCATTAAAATATGTTATCCATTCTACTTGGGATGCAACTAAAGGAAGGAGTGGTGTGTTTTTTGGAGACAGGGTTGACATAGCAGAGGTGATACCTAAACTAGCTCAGAGCCATTTTGAGAAAATGTTATGGGATGGGGGACTTAATGCTGCCTAACTTCCTATATCTCTGGTTGTGAAGTTAGAATGGTTGTGGTGATGTGGAACTCTGAGATCACCCAAACAGGCAAAAGAATAACTTCCGATGCCAAAAGGCAGCCTCTGACCCTTAGCAGATGGCTTTCGCCAGTTGCCATATTTAGACAGGAAGGGAATTCCTCTTCCCAAGGTCATATTGGCTAGTAACTGTAGGGTTTTTGTGCTTTCCCCTGCAGGCTCTGTCTTGGCTTGCTTCCACACTAGCAATCAGGAACTTGGATAGGCACCTGTCTTTTGCTTGTCTCAAGTGGTTGGCTTGATCAGTGACAGTTGGTCAGAAAGATAGCTTTGTACGGGATACTTGATAGTTCTAGAACTGGTGTGGGGAAGGTGTTGTCCTCCAAATGCTATTGGACTCAAACTCCCATCAGCTTTGATAGGAGATGATGGGAACTGTAGTCCAGAAACACTGGGGGGGGGGGCACATCTCTCCCACCACTGTGCCAAAGGCTGGTTCTCATATGTATTATAATGCTTGATGACTCACCTCTTGAAGACTCATCGTTTCAATGAGTTGCAGGAGTGCTGAGCATGGTCATTGGAGCTCATGCATTGGAGCCCATGCAAGGCAACGTGGGCTTTCTCTCAGTGGCAGCTCGTTCACACATTGAACTCGTCACTAGAGGGACATACGTGTGGGGAACTAGTCTGAAGGTTCTTTGAATCAGATGCACTCTGCACTTGTGAAATAAGATCTCACACACCCACACAAGGGGGAACAGATTTAACTTTTAAGCAGTTTTTACAAAATCTGTTCCTTAGCTGTGGAGTGATTTTGCTTTGAGTTGATCCTTCGTCAGCAAGGGAATGGTGAGAATTTGACTTTCCACACTTTGCTAGCCCAGAAGGAAAGCTACAGAAGACAAGGGGCAACCTTTGGGCATTTTTATGAGACCAGATTTCATTTATATGGGAAGGAAAATCTTGCAAAAGCATAGTTAAGACCCATTGATTCAAATGAGAGAAATTAACGCAGCAATTTTATGCACAGTTCCTTGGCAATAAGCCTAATTAGTTAGCTCAGTGAGACTTCTCCATTGGCATGCCTAAAATTGTACTATTAATCTGGTGTTTAATTCTCCCACTGAAACTCATGGAAGTGCTTTCAGGGGGGCCAGATTGTGCTTTTAATTTCCTGCATTAATTTTTTGCTTTCTCTCTCATATCATGTGATTCATGCACTGATGATCCATTGATGAACAGGCTGCCCTATGTGAACCCATTATGTAAGTGACAGGAAAGGCTTTTTCCTGGGTCAGCCTTGGATAGATGGATCAAATTGTCCTAGCCAAGTTGCTCCATCGTGATTGACTGATGGCAAGTTCAATGTTCGGAAGTAACCTGCAAAAGCTCCGGGTGGATTGTTGAACGGTGGACTTCATGAAAAGATGGCCGAATATGAGATGGACTTGGCAGGTTCAGCTTGGAACTTTTTTGGTCATACAATCAGAGAGCTTGGAGAGGGCCTCAAAGGGCTTCTAGTACAACATGGAGCTATAATACATCTGAAAAGACAAACATCGATCATGTCTCCAGGTTTTCCAGGCAGCAGGAGATCCAGTTAGAGGGGGTGGAGAAACTTGATTCTGATGGCAGTTAAAATTATAAGTTTTTCTGATCATCTCTGCTGTAGCTTTCTATTGCTTCAGGCACACCTTGGTGACAATTCTTGCTTTGGCATCTTCTTCTTCTGATCATCTTAGAAATACAGGGGGTTAGGAATAAAAAGGAAGCACCACACACACAAAAATGAGGTGTGTGGGGGTTCAGGTTGAGGAGGTGCTGCTGGAAATATCACACAGGGAACAACATGCCAAGTAAGAACAAGACAAAATGTTTTTGTCTGCAACAAAATGCTGCTGCTGCTGCTGTTCAGGATTCCAGCCTTCCCATTTGTCCCTCCACTGGTTTTTCCATGTTTTCATCAACAGTGAGTCAAAAGAGAGTCAGCATTCTGTGGCCACTGAGCATGCCTGGTCTTCGTAGGAGGGGCTGTAGGTTGGGGTTTCTCCCTGTAGGTTTCCCCCTAAAAACATTTGCAATTTTTGCAGATTTTGAGGTTTCCCAGAGCCTTGTGCTATTTCTCTTTAGTGTGCTTTGGTGCTGCTTTGGCTAAATAAGGAATGGCACTCACAGCATGAAGACTGGAACTAAAAGGAACAAATAGACATATAGGAAGCCTCCTTGTACCAAATTGGAACATTGGTTTGTCTAGCTCAGTATTTTCTCCAAGAAGTATGGGGAACCTCTGGTTCTCCAGATGCTGCTGGACTACAGCCCCAGTAAGCATGGCCACCTGATCTATAATAATGTAATAATTTATTATTTATACCCTGCCCATCTGGCTGAGTTTCCCCAGCCACTCTGGGCAGCTGTTGATCTACAGTGATCAACAGCAGCTATCCATAATAGTTTCACACAAGGGTCTTTCCCAACTCCACCAGGAGATGTGGATAGAAGGAACCATCAATTTTTGTTCTCAGTTTCTTATTTTGCCAGTCTTAAATTCAGTTCACCACATTTTGCAGCAATTTGCATATTAAAAGAACACTCATGAAAATTCATTAGCATTTTAGCGCATTTTTTTTCTATAAACACATTTTTATATGCAGTTTTGACATATTTTTGCAAGCAATCTCACCATATATAATGCACTTTTAAATGTTATTTTCAACAATATATTTAATTTTATGCATATTTTCTCCTTAAATGTGCATTGCTTACTTGGAGCACTACATTGCGAAGCTTAAGTGTGAAGAGATGGTTGTGTTTCAATTCACATAATGTGTAAACAGGATAGATTTAGCTTTACATGTGTACTGAATCAAAATTCTCCTCCATCCCTACCTGGTGCTGTCTGAGCTATGGACCTTCCCCAAAGGATAGCAAAAATAAGGACAAACCGTTTATTCTAAACCATGCTCTCTTGGGGAGAGAGAGAGAAAGAGAGAGAAGTAAATAAACTGTGCCTTTCTCAGAGGCATACTGTACGTAGAGTCCCTTGTGCCCTTGGCAAGGAGCTATATTGTCCCCTGAAAACTACACTTTACTGCAATAGAATTGAGCAATTACTACATTTTACATGACCCAAGTGCTCAAAGCATCCAGAGTGAGGGCAAGGTGAAGTAGAAGGGCAGATAAAATTGCGTGTTTTTGTGCCATGGTGTGAGAAAGACAGAAAGCTTCCCCCACATTTGATCTTGCTGCAACAGCAATGGCACAGCACCACACACATAAATGTCCTACACCCCATAGTTTGATAGGTGATTTTTGCACACCTTGCCCTGGGCTTGCACCCTTGACAAGGGTTTTGACAGCCCCTAGGTACTTATCTGGCCTTTCTGTAACATAAGGAGCAATGATGAGAAAATGGAAAAACTCCAGCTAGTGAACTCACTGGCATTTATTTTTGGCTAATGGAATATCCTCCATTAGTGGGGAGGGTGGGGGAGTGGAAAGAAAGACAACAAAAACACTGTTCACATGGTGTGTGTCTGGGGTTTGCTTTGTCATCATTCCAGGAAAATAAGAATGAAGAGGCAGCTCAGCAACACGGCAATGAGGAGGAGGAGGAGGAGGAGGGAAAGAAAGAAATGGGCAAGAAAACCTGGGGCGATATGGCCAAGGATATGAAAATCTTCCTTTGGAATCCTGAGACAAGGCGGTTCATGGGCAGAACAGCTCATAGCTGGGGTAAGTCCATCATTTCCTCCCACCCCATCTGAAACGGGAGGCAACCGTAGCAGGATGTGGACAGAGGAATAAATGCAGGAAAGCCTTGCGTTGATATCATTTGCACCCTCTTAGGCTTGGCTACTGTTGGGAATCATGGACTGGTGCCAAAGATGGGGGTAAAGAAATGAAGGTGGTATGAAGGGAAATGGAATTGCAGAGGCTGTTTTGGGAGGCTGTTCCAAGCCACAATGGTCAGTGAAAGAGGCAGGGCAGAGTCTTGTGAAGAAGCATGAGAGCTTTCAACGTCTGAGGCTGATGTGGAGTTGAGTCTGTGAAGGTCATGGCAGGGATGTGTCGGGGTTTAAGGGCGATACGAGAAGGGCTTTGAAGTTATATAGCAAGGATGGGGACCCTGAAAACTTTAGGGTGGCCATTTATTTATTCTGCCCCCAAAGGCAAAATGAACCTATAATTGCATGTGGTAGTGCTAAATGTACAAGCTACGATTTCTGGTGTTCTTATACCCTACAACATTTATCTAATGAAAATAGGGAAGTCCCTTTCCATAATGAAAATTTTACTATTTATACCCCACCTATCTGACTGGGTTGCCCCAGTCATTCTGGGAAGCTTCCAACACATTTAAAAACATAACAAAACATTAAACAAACTTCCCTATACAGGATTGCCTTCAGACGGCTCAGTGGGCCGGATAACTCCATACCCTCCAACATTTCTCCAATGAATATAGGGACGTCCTAAGGAAAAGTGGGACATTCCAGGATCAAATCAGAAACTGGGACTGCTTCTCTAAATCAGGGATGTCCCTGGAAAATAGGGACACTTGGAGAGTCTGGTGTTGTACTTCCACTAACAGAGGCAGTATGCCTTTGGGTACCAGTTGCTGGGAGTCACAGGTGGGCACAATACTGTTACCTTCAAGTTTTGTTTGCAGGCTTCCAATGAGCATCTGGTTAGACACCAGGCTCTTCTTATATATATTGCCACAGTCTTCCCCACTACTTTTCACAATCCTATGTAGATCAACTCAAGGAAAATCCTTTTATGTTTGGAAAGAGGCAAGGTGGACATCCATTTGCTTTGGATGGCAATAAATTCTGGGCCAATTTTGACAAAACTGGGAGTGATCCTGCTTCCTAAAGGAATTATATTAGTGATGATTACCATGTTGAATAGAAGATTGTGATCAGCGATGGCTGGTGCCCAACTGAGTGGAGCAGAAGACAGGGAGGCCAACAGAAGGTGGAGCCAGAACCAATGACAGGCAGAGCCCAATCATTCTTATTTTGTCCCCATCCTCCTCCCTGCTGAGTTTACAAGGACGAATGCTAAGACTAAGGAAGAGGAAGTAAGCAGACAATGCTGCTTCCTGGACTGGTTGTAAGTAAGAAGGCAGGCAAGTAGCCAGGCCATGACTTGTGGGGCAGTGCCCCATTTGCCCTAATGAACCAGCCTCTACTGATTCTAGTACCCACATGGATGGATTCCCAGGCTGCTGGAAGGGGCAGAACCTGGTAGTATGGTACCCAGGTAGTGAAGAGCTCAATTGGCTAGAGTGTGGTGCTGATAGCACTAAAGTTGCAAGTTCAATCCCCATATGGGACAGCTGCATGTTCCTGCATTGCAGGGGGCTGGACTAGATCAGCGTTTCCCAAACTTGAGTCTCTCCAGCTGGTTTTTTTGAACTACAGCTCCCATTACCTGTAGCTAGCAGGACCTGTGGTCAGGGTTGATGGGAACTGTAGTCCAAAAACAGCTGGAGACTCAAGTTTGGGAAACACTGAACTAGATGATCCTCAGGGTCCATTCTAGCTCTACAATGCTATGGTTTTATTTGCCAGGCTAAAATTAGACACCCACACCCTTGGGGTGCCTTTGCAATGCCAGCTAAGCAAGGCTCCGGATTTTGGGAAGGAGGCACTAGGCTTTAGACGTGGGTGGCGCTGTGGGTTAAACCACAGAGCCTAGGACTTGCTGATCAGAGGGTCGGTGGTTTGAATCCCTGCAATGGGGTGAGCTCCCGTTGCTCGGACCCTGCTCCTGCCAACCTAGCACTTTGAAAGCATGTCAAAGTGCCATTAGATAAATAGGTACCGCTCTGGCGGGAAGGTAAACGGCGTTTCTGTGCGCTGCTCTGGTTCGCCAGAAGCGGCTTAGTCATGCTGGCCACATGACCCAGAAGCTGTACGCCGGCTCCCTCGGCCAATAAAGCGAGATGAGCGCTGCAACCCCAGAGTCGGTCATGACTGGACCTAATGGTCAGGGATCCCTTTACCTTTTTAGAGCCCTCAAGCCTCCTTCCAAAAGCTAGGTAAACACTGACTAGGCCAGGGGTCAGCAAACTTTTTCAGCAGGGGGCCGGTCCACTGTCCCTTAGACCTTATGGGGGGCTGGACTATATTTGGGGGGGGGGAATGAACGAATTCCTATGCCCCACAAATTACACAGAGATGCATTTTAAATAAAAGGACACATGCTACTCATGTAAAAACACGCTGATTCCCAGACCATCTGCGGGCCAGATTGAGAAGGCGATTGGGCCGGATCCAGCCCCCGGGCTTTAGTTTGCTTACCCATGAACTAGGCTTTGGGAAGGAGGCAGAAAGGTAATCCTTTAGCTCCTGTGCCCTTTGTGGTGGAACTGGTTGCACTGCCCTCAATCCACCACCGCTGCTGGTAATGGGTGTTGGATTTTATGACATTTATTTTCTGTTCCCCCTGCCCAAGGCTTGCAGGGCAATGAACATTCCCCTCAGCATTGGGGAAAAAAATCCACGATCCTCTGAGGTAGATTAGAACAAGCAGCAGAGAATAATCCAATGACTACCCAGTGATGTTCGTGAAGTGATTCAAAACCAGGACTCTCAGGGTTCATTCTGACACTCTAGCCAGAATGCTACACTGTCTTTCAAGGCAAATTGGTGAATGAGAGAGAGAGAGAGAGAGAGAATTTGGGTGCAGGTTCCAGATCCGAGGGAATGCCAGAATTAGCACCAATTAGCTTGTCCTCGTGAATTATTAAAAATGTTTTAAAATAAAGAAAAGAACAATCACAGTTCCTATTGCCTTTTGCGTTGATGCTTTTCTATGCTCCAAGAAGGGTTTCTCGCCCTCCCCACCCTTGCTGGCCCCTCGCCAAAGCCACTAACAGGCCCAAATTAAGTTTGCTGTACTCCCAGCCCGCCCCAGTTTGTTCTCAGACCTAAAAGTTCCTCTCAGCATAAAAGCCTCAGGAACGTGGAGGTGAAAGGGCACATCTGCATTCTCAAAGATTTTCCTGAAACTGGACTTGGGCTTTTCCTGGGAAATAAACACACAGAAATAGGTTGGGTTAGAAGTTTGCTTCAGTATCATTATTATTTCTAAAGCCCCTGGGATTTGTTCTCTTGAGACAATCTGTCCATCATCTTAGGTCTCTGGTCAGGACAGAGCCTAAAGGCAAACAGGCATTTCTGTGCTGTAACCACACGTCTATTTTTAGGGAGGGCTCAACACTTGAGTTTTTGAGGCTGGGTCCCTGGTCTCCTGACCCTTTCTCCTTTTGAGGAAGGGTTGTAGCTTAATTGCGGAGTATCTGCTTTGCATGCAGAAGGTCCCAGGTTCAATACGCAGCAACTCCAGGTAAGACTAGGAGAAAACCCTGATTGAAACCTTGGCAAACTGCTTCCAGTCAGTGCAGACAGTACTGAGCTACACACGCTACACTTGATCTTAGCCAACAAGCTAAATGGATGTAATTGTCTGACTCAGTATAAGGCACCTTCCTATGTTTTAAAGAACTTATTTTTAAGAAATTTGCTGACATGCGGCAAGGCATGGGGCAGTAAGATCCCCGTCACTACCATTTTAATTTGCCCAGAGGTACTTTACACCTGTATGCAAATTTGTGACAATGGGACTGCGCATAGAGTTCTTTAAGTACCTAGCAAACCCCCTGATAACATCAGGGAAGAGCATTTCATACCATGCACCCCAAATTATTTTCTTCCACATGCCTTAGGTTTGCTAAGCAAATGTGCCTTGAGTACTGTTGCTGTTGTTTAGTCATTTAGTCGTGTCCAACTCTTCATGACCCCATGGACCAGAGCACGGCAGGCACTCCTGTCTTCCACTGCCTCCCGCAGTTTGGTCAAACTCATGCTGGTAGCTTCGAGAACACTATCCAACCATCTCGTCCTCTGCCATCCCCTTCTCCTTGTGCCCTCCATCTTTCCCAGCACCAGGGTCTTTTCCAGGGAGTCTTCTCGTCTCATGGGGTGGCCAAAGTACTGGAGCCTCAGCTTCAGGATCTGTCCTTCCAGGGAGCACTCAGGGCTGATTTGCTTCAGAATGGATAGGTTTGATCTTCTTGCAGTCCATGGGACTCTCAAGAGTCTCCTCCAGCACCATAATTCAAAAGCATCAGTTCTTCGGCCATCAGCTTTGAGTACTGCCTGATCCAAATTAATAGCAATGATAATTTAGAATTACCATCATTCTTATTATCACCTCTCAATTACCAACCTACTTCCATGCATAGTGGGGAAGCATTACTTTATATATATTTTTTCCATTTTATGCTTCTCCTTCTACCACCCACAACAACCCTGCGAGGGAGGGAAGTTAGGTCAGGAAGTAGAAACAGCCTCAGGCACCTAGGGAGCTTTATAGTTGAGTGGGGATTTGAACCTACCGTAGGTCTCCGAGGTCCTGGTCCAATACTCTAACCACTACACACTACAGTAACTCTGGAAACACGAAATGCAGCACCCTCATTACCTTAAACATATATCTATATCTATCGATCTGTCTATCAATCTTATCTCCTTAAAGGCATGCATCAATATTGCTTTTCATTCTAGTTGGCACCCCATCACCCAATAAAATAAACACCCTCCTCAACCACACTATCTGCATCTTAATGCGGGAGCAAATAGGGGCAGAGGGAGCTGCCTTGTACCTCAGACCATTGATCCATCTACCTCAGTACTGTCAGCAGTGCCAGGGGTGCCATCTCACCCTCCGGGTTGTGGGTGCCTGCCGCTGTAACATGGACGTGCGATGTCACACGCCTGCCCTTAGAAGAGAAGGGGGGCTCCCCTCCTCCTCTCCACAGCCAGTGAGACACCCTTTTCTCCGGGGAAGGGCCTGGACTCGGGGGCAGACTCTGCCTCCACGTCTGAGCCCCCTCTTTGCAAAGGGCGACTTGCTGGCTGGCTGTGGAAGGTGGAGCTGAACTGCTTCTCTCTCAGAGGTAGCGCCACAGAAGTTGACTGGCTGTGTCCCTCCAGCTTTGCTCATTGACTTTGTGGGTGCCCAGCCCCCACAATTATATTATTGTGAATGCCCAAGCTCCCACAGCCCCCTGGAGTTGGCTCCTATGGCCTGTACTGATTGGCAATGGTTCTCCAGAGTTTCGAACAAATATTTCTCCCAACCCTGTCTAGAGATTATTGACCTGGGACCTTCTTCATGCAAAGCAGGTGCTTGACTATTGAGCTACAGCTCCTTTACAAAGTACCAGGGGGCAGCTGATCAAGTCCAGCATCCTTTTCTGTATGCCTGGATAGAGAGCCTTGCTGCCCCCTACTCTGTGGGACCAGCATAATTACTGCTGCTTCTTCATACAGGTTACCTCTTACCTCCATGGGAAGTCAACAGCGTTTTGTATTTTCTTGTCTTGCAGGCCTGATACTCTTATTTTACCTCGTTTTGTACTTGTTCCTGGCTGGGATGTTTGCATTTTGCATGTATGTGATGTTAATGACTCTGAGCCCCTATACACCGAAGCACAGGGACAGAGTTGCTCCACCAGGTAAATTATATATACTTGAACTCAGATCGCTGTAGCTCAGTTGCCTCTGAGCGCAGCTTGCTAGGCTCATGGAATTTATATCAACCCTACGTATGTTGGTGGTGGTGATGCACCATGTATATCCCAGGCGCATGAGACCACCACCTTGCTGAAGCTAAGCAGATCTGGGGCTGACCAATGCCTGGAGGGCGGGTGACTACCTAGGGACCACACGTACACCACATTGGGTTCTATACCAGAAGAAAGGTGTGGGATGTTCATGTTAGAAAGGAAGGCCCCATCTGCACTATGCATTAAAAGCAGTATCATACCACTTTGACAGTCATGGCTTCTCCCAAAGAATTCTGGGGATTTTAGTGTGTTAACTGTTCTGGAAGTATGTAGGAGACAAATCCCTGTTTCTGGGAAGAAGAGTTGACTGATAAACCCCCCTGGGGATTGCAACTGAGAGTTTTTGGGAGGCCCTATTCCCCTCTCAGTACCAGCAGAAAGCCTAGCATCTGGTTTGGGGCTATTGTTACATCCTTGGATAGTTTCTGAGGGCCTGCCTCCTGCGGTGGGGTGGGGTGGCCATTTCACAGTTGTCCCCTGACCCTCCACTGCTGTTCTGCATGGGGTTGTGCCTCTGAATACCAGTTCCTGGGAAACATGGTTGGGAAGAGTGTGGTGTTCTCAGGTCTGGCTTGTGGGTTTCCCAGGGGCATCTGGGTGGCCACTGTGAGAACAGGATGCTGGCACAGATGGGCCTTTGGCCTGATCCAGCAGCCCACTTCTTGCATTCTTTTGAGCTGAGGAGCTATAGTATATCCACTGCAACCTGCTGCCCAAATGTGCAAGGCAGGGGGCGGCCGTGGGTCCTTGCTGCCATTGTTACCCCTTTGCTTCCTCTGGTGCTTGAGCAATGAACAGCTATGGAAGAAGGAGCAGCATCCTGCTCTCTCGCTCTGGATGGTGGGTTCAGTTGAGAGAGCAAAGGGAGGAGGAAAGGAGGAACCACCACAACTATAGGAAGCGGTGCTATAGAGATGGGGCATCAAAGGGCAGGGAAAGCCCATCAGGGAACTTCTTGCCAACCTCTGTTCAATTAAAAAAAGCTCCATTTTGGATTCACACTTCCGTTTTCTGGCGTTTTCTGTTGCAGGAGTTATGATTAGACCACACATTAGCAGCTCAGTCAACATTGCGTTCAAACCCGCTGACGCCGATTCGTGGCAGAAATATGTGGATAACCTGCATGCGTTCCTACAAGGTGGGATTTCTGTTTTGTTTTTTTTTTGTGTTTTTTTTGTATATTACTAACACCCTGTCCCCCCCAACTCCATATAAATTAGCCAATCTTTTTTTAAAAAAAATGTTTTCTATTAAAAGATTTTCCATAAGTAACAAAAGTACATTCAGTGTCTCTGTTTTTAAATTGTAAGAATCCTTCATACAGGTCAATTACAGTCAGTTTGAGACATTTTTGTTGCAGGCAATATGGGGTTGAGGGGGAAAGAGAAGTGGGGATAGAGAGAGAGGAGGAAATAGAAAAAGAGGGAAAAGAAGGGGGAGGAAGAGGATAAATTAGCCAATCTGATGAAGTCAAACTGGGAAGAAGAATCGTTAGTAATGACATTCAAGTCATGTGACTCAGCCAACCTGTAGGAATCCTATGTACCTGAAATATATTCAGAGTTGCTGACCCATTAGTAGTTCAGCGGGGCTCCGGCCAGTCGTTGAGCTGGGGGTGCTGTGCTGTGCTAGAAGGAATGTGGCAAGGCGGTACTCCCAATCCCCTTGCGTCATGCGGCGGAGGGTGTCCTTGGTGGTCCGCACCAGGTTGAACGGCGAGAAGCTGCTGTCGGTTGCCATTCTGAGTTCCTTGTGTCCCGGAGCTGAAGCCTGGATACACGGTGCGAGGCAGCGGTGCGGCAGGTGGCGGTGCTGTGGTGCTGTGTGTGGCAGTCAGCTCAGCGGGATCCCATCCCCGTCGCCAGTGAAATATACTCAGAGTCGCAAAGTGATTTCATGCTCTTTATTCAGCTTATAGTGGTGAGGAGGAATGGAAGTCCCCTCAAAGTATCTGCTTTATATACATTATTTACACAATGGGCTGCACGTGATTGGCTAATTCCGGACTTCTCCTGTAAGCCAATCAGGTTGTGGATTCACTTCTATCTGGAGCTGGATAGGGTGGCTCCTGCCGACCAATCATACTGCTGCATTGTTCTAGGACCAATCAGACTGCTGCATTTTGGATCCTATTCAACTCAGTACATAACAGTACCCACTGGCCCTGCCTACCACTGGCACGTGGCCTTTGGAAACAGAGGCAGATTTAGGGCAGCACAACTGGTTCATCCACCCTGGACGGCAAGCCATTAGGGCCCCACAGGGGATGCTGCAGCAACAATGTAGGACGGAAGGCGAGAAGCAGAGGGTGCTGAATTTTGGCATTGTACAGGGTGCTGCTGAATTTTGAAATCCCAAATTCTGCCACTACTTGGAAGGATAACCAAGTGAATGTGGAGCCCTTTGGACCTATCTGCCTCCTGTAGCAAGAGAAAACGTTGTGGTGAAAGACATACGGAATATTAACGTTCTCTGTATTATTACCTTTAGATTATGATGACAAAGTTCAAGAAGAGAAGAACATTAAATGCAATGAAGGCAATTATTTCATCCAAGACGATGAAGAAAGTGGCCTGAGAAAAGCTTGCCAATTCAAGCGATCCGCATTAAATGCTTGTTCTGGAATAGATGATCCATCGTTTGGCTATTCAACAGGACAACCTTGCATCTTGCTGAAGATGAATAGAGTATGTTCCCTGGCTTACTTTTTATTTCTTTTTATGTATCCTGGAATGGGAGAGGTGTATGCTCACATACATTTGGTTAATGAAGAAACAAAAAATTGCTTTGCTGGTCAGAAAAATACCGTATTTTTTGCACCATAACACTCACTTTTTTTCTCCTAGAAAGTAAGGGGAAATGTCTATGCGTGTTATGGAGGGAATGCCTACGGGTGGCGGGGGGATCTGCTGCAGTCGTGAGCAGAGGATCCATGGTTCCCCTTCCTTCCTTCCTCCGTGGCTCGCTTTGAAACAGCAAAGCGGGAGAAGAGCCGCTGAGTGGGGAGGAGAGAGGGACAGAGAGCCTGCTTCTTTAAAGGAGCAAAGCGGGAGAGGAGAGGAGCCGCTTACACGAGTGTAAGCAGCTCTTGTCCAGTTGGTTCCTTTAAAGCAAGCAGGCTCTCTGTCCCTCTCTCCTCCCCACTCAGCTCGCTACATAGCAGCAAAGTTTTTCAGCTTGCTAAGCCGGGGATGAGCAGGGAGGAGGGAGAAAAGCAGAGCCTGCTTGCTTTAAAGGAGCAAAGTGGGAGAGGAGAGGAGCCTTCTCCCCTTATACCCCTCTTCTTCATTATTAGCAGCATCCTTCTCCACCCACTCCACACGTGCTCCTTGTCCCTTGAGTGCTTTCCCTTCCCTCCCCACTTAAAACATGGTTACAAAGCACGGATCCACATGGATCCTCAGGATTTTTGCATTGGGCTACTCCAAACTCAGATCACATGTCTGTGGCCACAGCATGAACCACAAAAATCATACATCCACTGTTTCGTTTAGAATATTTTTTTTCTTGTTTTCCTCCTCTAAAAACTACATGCGTGTTATGGTCGGGTGCGTGTTATAGAGCGAAAAATACAGTAAGTCTTTTGAAATGGCATGCTGTTTGCAGTGGTGGCCAATTTTTGTTCAGATCAAGATGACAGCTGCCTCCTAGAATACACATGTTTCTGACTATGCAGGTTTGATTTAACTCTCATAGTTCATGGTTGTGTTAGTACACTATCCTCTTAGTGTAGGGATGGGGTTCCTGTGGCTATCTAGATGATTCTGGACTACAGCTTCCATCATTCCTGAACATTGGCCATGCTGATTGGGGCTGATGGGAGTTGGAGTTAACTAACAACACTATTGGTTCCCCTCTTAGTGATTAAAAACTGTTTGTCTCATATCTGCTTATTTGCTTTGAATCATAGCACAGTAAATTTGTGTGAGAGGTGCAACATATTTCATTTAAAATGCTTCTAATTTTTGGTAAGAAGTGAAGAGAAGGAACATTACTCTTTGCTGGGCTCCTGTTTTATTAAATTGATTTAAATGAATGTACATTGTGTGATCCTGACACATAGTGGCGATTAATGTTGCTTTCATAAGCTTGCCTGTTCTGGACATTTCACTGAAACCATTGGATTTGCTTCCCAGTAAATGCACTTTGGAGGAGGGCATTAGGCTGTTCTCAAAATTGGCGGTGTGGTTATGGGGTTGGGAAAGCCCCAAGTCATGGATCTACATCATAATTTGTTGCAGGGAATTTAAAAAGAAAGAAATCTTTTTAGTTGCACATATCTGATAAACAGATTTTTTTTAATCAAATCACCAGCTGATTAAAATGTGTTATACTGGGTGTTATACTAGGGCTGTTACTTCACTAAATGGATTCTCAGGTTCATGTGTGTTGTGTTGACTGCTCAATAGTCAAAAATACTTCTTGGACTGGTTTGCATATAATGCTAAACCATGACTAAGTGTTATGTGTAAACCCTACCTAGCAGCTTAACCAATCTGATACCATGGTTTGTTAATGGCTAACAAACCTTGGTTTGTTATAACTGTGGCTTGGCATTTTGTGTAAACCCTGCACCCTTCCTTAACCATGATTTGTTTGCCCACATGGTTCCAGATGGTCACTAAACTATAAAGGCATGAGGCGAAAACAACTGGGAAACATACAAAACGTTCGAGAAAAGGCCCATCCTTTTATTGTCTGGGAGACAACTCATGGTTTGCCAAACAAACTATGGAATACTTTTATGTGCGAACCAAGGCAATGTATTATAGCTGTGTATCCTCCTGTGCTTTGCAGACCTGCTGGAACCATATAGCAAAATAGGACTTCATCTTAATCATAGGCTACCTTTTTTGTTTTTAATTCAAAGATAATTAAAAATACTGTCTTTTGTCATAGATTGTAGGTTATAAGCCTGGTTATGGGAATCCAGTGACTGTGAGCTGCAATGTACACGTGAGTCCTTTTCCACCTGATTGTATTGCTTATTGCAGGGCTGGCATCAGCACCATGAATCCATACTGTGTTTATCTTACTCATGCCCCTATTTTTGTTAATGCAGAAAGGTGATGCGGCGGATATCAAGACAGTGGCTTTCTACCCATCTTCAACATTTGATCCCATGTACTTCCCTTACTACGGCAAGCACACACATGTAAGTAGAAATGCAGCTGTTGGGCAAGCGTGTCTTCCACTTGCCTGGCTTTAGCAGTTTTCCGGGTAGCAGAGAATAAGAAGAGCAGTTTTTAAACAGAAGAGGAGAAAGAGGTCCAAAGTAGGCAGTGGGTAATTAGAGTTCTGAGATAGCAGAATTGATCGCACCACTTCAGAATGCAGTGGGTGGTGGGTCTCTTTTTTTTTATGCTTCCACTTAATGGAAGTGTAGCACAGCTTCTTCCTGATGTGCTAGAGACCATTTGGGGGTGCGGGGCTGGGGACAGGGATTCTTTATTTAATGTCGGAGAAACATTCAACAGTGGCATACCCACCTGTATTCTGAAATGGCACAGTTTACAGATGTGTTCTATTGTAAGTCTAGACAAGGTCCTAATCCCCTGCAGTTGAACGTGTAAACTGACACCATTGTGACTTATTGTAGTTGAGAGGATGTGCCAAAGTCTGTGACTTGTTTGCATGGTAGATATATATTAAAAACTTAGAAAGGGGGCAGCGTTCTGGGAAAAACTGACTTTGGTAATCACACCCACCCTTGAACCCAATACGTGATTTTTGCATTAGGTGCAGTTCCCGGAACGTAATCCCCACATAAGTTGTGGGCTTATTGTAAAGCAGGGTATCTTAGGGAGGGTGTAGGGCAGGCCAGGTGACACCTACACCTCTATCCTCCAACACCTCACTGCTCTTTGCCATTCTCCAGCATCTGCCGCCTGAGCCATATGCTTCCCTCTGTCTAACGTTGGGACAGGCCGTGCCAGTATACGCAATGACGTATCTAATGCACTCATTCCTTTAGTGTAAGGATGTATACTTACACAATGGAACTCTCTTCCTTCTCCCCACCCCCTACACACCCCACAACACCCCCAGATCTGCTTCAGTCTATTGCACAAGGGTAAATCCTTGTGATGTAGGGACGCGGGTGGCACTGTGGGTAAAACCTCAGCGCCTAGGACTTGCCGATCGCATGGTTGGCGGTTCGAATCCCCACGGCGGGGTGAGCTCCCATCGTTCGGTCCCAGCGCCTGCCAACCTAGCAGTTCGAAAGCACCCCCGGGTGCAAGTAGATAAATAGGGACCGCTTACCAGCGGGAAGGTAAATGGCGTTCCGTGTGCTGCGCTGGCTCGCCAGATGCAGCTTGTCACGCTGGCCACGTGACCCGCAAGTGTCTGCGGACAGCGCTGGCTCCCGGCCTATAGAGTGAGATGAGCGCACAACCCTAGAGTCTGGCAAGACTGGCCCATACGGGCAGAGGTACCTTTACCTTTACTTTTTAAAAAAATCCTTGTGCTAATAGATTGAGTGCATTAAATTCCACTCTGTGTATACCTTGGAAGTTGAACGGAATCTGTTCCGGAAGTCCATTTGACTTCCAAAATGTTCAGAACCCAAAGTGCAGCTTCTGATTGGCTGCAGGAAGGTCCTGCAGCCAATCGGAAACCGCAGAAGCCCTGTTGGACATTCGGCTTCCAAAAATAGTTCGCAGACCGGAAGAGTCACTTCTGGGTTTGCAGCGTTCGGGAGCCAAAACATTCGAGAACTAATCTGTTCAAAAACCAATGTACGACTGTACCTGTATCTGGCTCACGCGACATATATATTGGATTCAAGCCACAGAGCACTTCAGCTGACTTGCACCCTGTTTACGTTTTAGCCCAATCATTCCCCACCGATCTATTCTGAGCCATCACTGGACATTCCTATTTCTCTCATCTGCTTATATTTTTTCCAGGTAAATTATACACAACCATTGGTGGGCATTCATTTTTCGGACGTGGCAAAGGACAAAGAGATAAATGTTCAGTGCCAACTGAACGGCAAGGGTATCATCAACAACTTCAACAGTGACCGGTTTCTGGGGCGAGTAGTCTTCATGCTGAAAATCACAACATAGGCCAGAGCAGCATTTGCTATCGCTCTTCCAATGGCAAGCAAATCTTTCTCACCATGGAGGAGGGAAAAGAAGAAGAAATAGGCCATTCACACAGACTAGGAAAATTCAAACCTGATTTGGGGGGGTTATTTGGCTTTCATAGCAAACAAAAAGAAATATGGATAACTCAAATCTAAATCTAAGTATAGATGACGTATTTTAAAACATCCATCCTGCGAGCAAATGAACACATGTCATGTTGGAAAACTTTTATTAAAACATAAACACACACAATGTATTTATGTTAGATTTTTCACTGGCACATCAACAAGTGTGGTATTTGGTATCAAGCAGGCAATTTGGACTCTAAAAGGAACCATTGCTATTGTCACTCACCCCCACCCTCACTGGGCCCAGGCAGATGCAAATCAGCTGCTCATCAATTAACAAACACCCCAAGGTTAATATGTTGTATGTGCACTTGAACTTGAGCAAGGGAGTCTGGAGATTATATAAACCCTGGAAATCTCCTTTCTGGATAGTTGTGTGTGTATTAGATTATTAAAAAGGCACCTGCTCCAAGACTCGCTGCTCAAATGGAATATTCCATGTCCACAACTCCTCTGTTTGAGGCAGGCAGTTCACAGACACACCAATTTAGAAGTTAGAAAGTATAAATGTCATGCTGATGACTATTGGCCTATCTACTGAGACCTCCTGGCTCTGATCTAGAACAGGGGAAATACAGTGTGTTGGTTGCCTTTTGCTTTTCAAGCTCAGTTCTAAGTAGTGGCAATGACCTCTAAACAGCCCTGGGCCCACCCTAGCCAAGAGATCATTTCCACCCCTACATTTGCCTATAGAGAGAATGCTCTCATTTAGCTTACTGTTTATGTGCACTGTAAACACAAAGTGTACATAGAAATAAATTACCTGGGTCTGCCCCTTGGCTCTGGTGTTCCCATCCTCTGACAGCCCATTGTAGCGCAAGCCAACGTGCTTTCTGTTAGTGCTGTAACACTGATTTTTTTATCCATTTTGGCTGTGAGCAGCAAGGGCCAGGTGGTGGATTTAATCAGTGTAACTGGGAGTTTTGTTATGAATGTATTTTCACTTCAACCCCACACTCTTTGGAAAGGGTGGACTATAAATCAAAATGAATTAGTAAAAATCTTCATAATGTGCACTGACCCCATTTGTCTCTTTATTTGTGCAGCGTTTCAGACTGGGAGACTAAGGGTGGGGGAAAGTTGCCATCAGAACAGGCATCAAAGGTTGGTGTGGGATTGGGCTATGTTAACATGCATGCACAACACTTAACCTGAACTTGGAAAAGCGCATTAGAAGTCACACGTTTGTGCTCCAAGAATTATTTAACACAAAGTCAGGTTAGACAACCATGGTTGACTTTATTGTTTAGCACAGACATACGTCCATCTTCATTATCACTTGTCATACATACTATGACAACATTAAAAGTGCTGGCTTGTTTTTAACACCAGAAGAAACCTAAAGTAGCTTTTGACAATTCAAAAAACCATTGAGGGATATACCATGCCTTCATGTTAAGTCACAGGGCAATTCAATTGAGAATTCAGCTTGGGTACCACCTCATGCAATCATGAAGAAAATGGGCTAGGATGGGCTGCTGTGCGAAGCAGCAGGGGCAGACTTTGGTCATCTTTCATAAAGGCCAAAATCTTGCATCTCCAAATGGATCTTCTCAATTTTGCACACACACACCCCAGCTCTGCCCTGCATGGAGGAACCACCTACACTGCCCTAAATCCAGCAGTGGAAACACTTTTGTGAGAGCCCCAGTCACCAGAAAGAAAACTGTGCAATGGCAATGGCATCATGAAGGAGGAGAGTAAAGTAAGTGAATGAATGAACACAAAGCAACTGAGCCCCTACATTCTGGTGCTAAGTCACAGCATAGGGAAGAGCCTGTGTCCTTTCAGATCACTGCATAGCCTGCTTCCCCTTCCTATCCCTCACATTCATCTGGACGCGAAAGTACATACCCATTCACTTCTGTCAGCAATGGGAAACCTCCAGCCCATGAGCTTGATCTGGTCTGTCAGGTCAACCCATATGGCCTGTGAGACCATTTTGGCCAAAGCCACACACACACACACACACACACACACACACACACACACACACAACTTGATGTTATGTAAAGTCGGGTTTGCAAGCACCGCTGTGACTGTTGAGTGCTTGCATCGCAATCAGATGATGTCTGGCACCTGCAAAGTGCTGTGTCTTTGCCCATGTGGTATTATTTCAAACTGTGCAAGGAAAAGAAAACATGTCAGTTGATTGACTCACACCCACTTGTCAAATTTGGCCCAAGGGGTGTAGTGGGAGGAGGTAAAGATTTGGCCTGCCAGCCAGATGCATTTCCCCATTCCTGACTTAGGTAACTAGCCAGGGCAAAAACAGATGGATCAGCTCTCTCAACAAATCCATCTGCAAGGACAACTTCCAGCATATACATTCCAGGTCTTTGTCAGGGATACAAGAGAGCAGCTGTGAGTCATGTGGTACCACTCACAGCACCTTGCAATTCCGCCTAATTTTATTATTGTGAACTGCTCCGAGTATCCTTGGGAATGAAAAATGACATACCAGTATGATAAATCAAGGTGTAGTTACATTTGAAGAAGGCTCTTCACATTACCTTAAGCCTGGGATGAGGACAGTATGACTGTCCAAATGCTGGTTGACTCCCAATTCCCACCAAACAAGGCCAATGGTTGGGGCTGATGGGAGCTTTATTCCAGCGGGCTACAGATTCCTCCCCAACCCTATGGCATAGTGAAATGCCTACAAAAATAACCATCTGTGATGGGATCTCTAGCCAGGCATTCAAGATTCTTCAGGCATACATGTTTGGTGACTATCCTATGTTTTATGTGTCTTATGCAAACCTACTTATAAGTAAGTCTCATTGGCCTCAACAAGACTTACCTGCTTATACATCTCTAGAATGAGTAGCAAACTTCCATGGGCATTCACATTTTGCCTGTAATAGGTGGTACCTTGGTCACTGTAAATGAAATATTTTGGACCTACCCAAAGCTAAGCTTCTGTGCTGTAAGTAATTGTACTGTGGGAGAAATAACCCACCTGTCCAGTAAGCTTGTTTGACCTTTTCATTCTCTTTGAAAAGGCATGTCTCCTTCCACACAGCTTTGGTGTCAGTAGTTTGATATGTGGGGTGACGTGGTTAAGGGGTGAGACTCTTGCTCCAGAAATTCAAGTCCAAAGCTCCCGTGGGTGCATGGCAATTTGGGCCTTCTGCAAACTACTTGGGAACTTGTGGCCTTCCTGATGTTGCTGCCCAGCTTCCCATATCATTGGCCAACAGTTGGCCCAATAGCAGCTGGAGGTTCCCAGTCCCTGGAGAAGACACGGGGAAGTGGTAGAGCATCTATTTTGCATGCAGAAGGTCCCAGAATCTCGAGGTAGGGTCTGGGAGAAACCCATATCTGAAACCCTGGAGAACTGTTGCCAGTCAGACAATACTAGATAGAATTTTGAGCTATCTCAGTATAAGGCAGCTTCCTATGTTCCTACTTTGCTAGATGACCAAATAGCATAGTCTGCTATAAAGCAGCTGATTTACTTTCATCTACTAAGCCTTTTGCTTACAACTTGCATCATCCTCAATTATCTGCCAAACGTTGGACTCCAATAGCACCTTGGAGGCTCACAGTTTCCCTACCCATGTACGAAGTGGCCACAGAAATTAAAGTTACAATCGACCTTTAACTAGAGCCTCACTCCCACAAATGTTGAAAACCTTTAAGGGGAAAAGCCGTATCTCAGCAGTACAACATCTGCATTAAATGCTATAAGTCTCTGGTTAAATCCAAGGCATCTCCAGGTAGGGCTGGTTAGATCTACCCGAAATCCTGGAATGCTGCTGGTGGTCAGTGTAGACAGTATCAGGCAGTGCTTTTTTTCTGGGGGTACGCAGGGGTACACATACCCCTAAACATTTTGTGAATTTAAGTTTGGCCTCATTGAGGGGCAGTATTTCAATATGAGTAGGAAAATGAGAGTACCCCAAAACATTTTTTGTGGGGGGGGAAAAGCAGTGGTATCAGGCCAGATCAGGGTGGTTCAATGCATAGTCTGAGGGTTGCCTGTGGCCCTTGGGACCTTTTTGGGTGGCCCTCAGCAACATTTGACACCTCATCCCCAGCCCTCCTGCTGCCTTCCCAAAGCTTGGTAACTGAGGCACTGGGCTTAGGGAAGGAGGCTTGAGGGCTCTACAGGGTCCTAGAGTCCTTCATCCTCCTCCTCAAGGCCTATTTAGCGCTTTCGCAGCTCTGAGAAGAAGGAGGGAGGGCTCTGGGACCTGCCGAAAGCCTTCCCAAAGCCCAGCCCCTTGCTTATCTGGCTTTGGGAAGGCAGAATGAAGGCTGGGTGCATGTGTCAAATTTTGGCCTCACTCCCCTTCCTGTGCAAGGCAGTGTACGGCCCATGGGCTCCATGTGGAAAACTCTTGCGGCCCACTTGGTATGAAAAGTTGGACCGCCCACAGTCTTACTTGGTATAAGGAAACTTCCTATGACATTTGCTGCTGCTCCCTAAAGCTGCAAACGCCCCCTGAAAGTTTGCTATCTGTTTCGATACCCACACAATAACTAGAATCCAGGAAATGCAAATCGGAAGCGTAAGCTGAAGAGGGATGAGATTTGTTTCCAACACTTCTTTCTTCAGAAAACAATCAGTCTTGTTTTCAAGTGGTGAAGGGGAGTCCAAAAAAAGATTCTCAAAGTAGGCAGCAGCCTCAGTCAGCAGTTCCTACCTCCTGTTGTATGCACATATTATATTTACCTTGCTTGTGTGTGTTTTCCTTCTTCTTTTCTTTTACTGTAAGAAAACCATGAGCTCGAAAGTCTGTTAAGGGTACGGGGCGAGCGGAAACAGAAAGAAGAGAAGCAGAAGCAGCAGCAGCAGCACATAACAGGGTTACACAGCTTGGTAGCCACTGTCACTTTTCCGCCTTCCGATCATATAAAAGACAAAGGCAAAAACAATAAGGAGTCCGATGACCACACCCACCACAATGGGGATGATAAAGAGGAAATCAGAACTGGTACACTCTTCAGCTGTAGGAAGACAAGATTGAAAAGAGAGGGGGGAGAGGGAGAACACAGAGCAAGTGACAGGAAGTTAGTGAAGAGAGCAAGCATCTGAGCACAAATTAGCAAAAGCACAAGTGACATAGTTGCAACTCTTGTTTCCTAACGTAGGCCCCATCTACACTACACATTTAAAGCGGCATCCTGTCAGTTTAAACAGCCACAGAGGTTGTGTCCCCCCCCCCCCCCAAAAAAAACCATTCTGGGAGCTCACTGTTTTTACGATGTCCTATTCCCCCTAATGCAGGACGCGGGTGGCACTGTGGGTTAAACCACAGAGCCTAGGACTTGCCGATCAGAAGGTCGGCGGTTCGAATCCCGTGACGGGGTGAGCTCCCGTTGCTCGGTCTCTGCTCCTGCCAACCTAGCAGTTCAAAAGCACCTCAAAGTGCAAGTAGGTAAATAGGTACCACTCCGGCGGGAAGGTAAACGGCATTTCCGTGCACTGCTCTGGTTCACCAGAAGCGGCTTAGTCCTGCTGGCCACATGACCCGGAAGCTGTACGCCAGCTCCCTCGGCCAATAAAGCGAGATGAGCGCCGCAACCCCAGAGTCGTCCGCGACTGGACCTAATGGTCAGGGGTCCCTTTACCTTTACCTTTATTTCCCCTAACAGGCCTACAATAGCCAGAGTAGTTTAACAGTCAAAAGGCATCCTACGAGGGAAATCTGTGAATTCTGGCTGAGGGGAATTGGGGTTTCCTAACAATTATCAGCACCCTTAACAAACTACACTTCCCAGGATTCTTGGGGCGGGGAGGGAAGCCATGCCTGTTTAAAATGGTATGCTGTTGCTTTAAATCTATAGTGCAGGTGGGGCCCAAGTTTGTGATTTTGTTTCTCTGGCCAGGCACCTTTGAAATTTTGGAACATCTACTGTGCTTGGTGTGTAAAACGGAACCAGCGAAACTTGCGCCAATGTGCCCACCAGCTAGACTCACAGGGATGTCAGGAAAGCCAACAGATGACCTTAAGATTTGCCTGTTTTATTTATTTGTTTCATTTCTAACCCAAGGATCCCAAGGTGGCTCACATCTTTCCTCTTCATCCCTCCATTTTACCCTCACAACCTCCCAGTGATAAAAGGTTAAGCTGAGAGATGGCGACAGGCCCAAGACCACCCAGGGGGCTCCATGGCTTGTGTGGGGATTTGAACTCTAGCCTCAAAAGTCCTGGCACAACACACTTAACCACTACAGTACGGTGGCTCTTAAATATAAATATTTGCCAGTTTTATAGGAAAGCACACAGCTAAAGAAAAGCAAAAAACCCCACACCTGAAGTCTAGATTTAGATTTAATATGTAGTTCAGTCTCTTTTCCTCATCACTACAGGACACCCCATTGCCTCACTCCTGATAAATAGACTCCGGAGTACTTATCTAGTGATACGTGCAAGTCACTTTAGCATTGTGATCAGTGAAGTATTAAAGCTCAGCTCTGAATGCTTTTGCAGTTAGCCCAGATTTTCTTCACTCTGTTTGCAGTGGCTTCCACGCTCTAGGAGGAGGAACAGATTTCCTCTGACCTCATTCTTAGAACTTGTGACTGGGTTTAGGAGCAGAGCTAGCTGTCCTATGAGACAAGAGTGAGGCTGCTGCCTCTGCGGATAAATGCAGGGAGTGGGCAGGGCAATGTCTGCCAAGCACTCCCTCAGCCAGGCGGCTGACCTCAGCTGCAATGTAGTACATTCTGCTGCCAGTAGGTAGGATTGAACTGCTTTTGTACACATAATAGGGAAGAGATGTCATTTTGTTCTTTAGCCACTGGCAGCAAATTGTCTTGGGCTGGTCCTGGTTAGGAACCAGAGGGTTTCAGCCCCGCACAGGATCTTAGCATGTTTTAAAAGGGAAATCTCCCCCAATTGTCCATGCATCACTTAGGTTGCAGTCCTAAGCATCATTACTAGGGAGTACATCTCACTGAACTCAGTGGGACTCGTTGAGTAAACATAATTAGAATTGGATTGTGAATTGCTGTTAGCTGTTAGGTGATGTAGTGTTGCTTTCAGCATGAGATCAAAGACATCCACACCATTTAGAGAGCATGGCTTCCACTAAAGAATCCTGTTAACTGTAGCTTACCTACCCCACAAAGCTACAATTCCCAGTACCCTTAACAGACTGCATTTCCCATGATTCAGAAGGAGAAGCCATGTGCTTTAGATATACGGTGATGTAGATGTGACTCAAATATTTTCCATAAACAGATCACTCTGCCATCTGGCCAATGGCAGGGAGAAAACACAAGTCTGTGCTACAGAAAGGAGAGTAACTCTCTACATTTATCCATGAGTTACAATAAACTGAAGATTTAGCACCATCCTGCAGAAACAGCAGGAAATACCGTATTAGGCAAAGAGGAATTTTAAAATAGAAAGTAAGGAGGCAAAGAGAACAAAATGGTCAATTGTTGGCTGCACAAGGAACAAGTTATTAAATGTTCTCAGCATTTACTTTATTATTATTATTACTATTTACATTTCTGTACTGTCCTTTATCCGAAGATCGCAGGGCGGTTTACAATATAAGAGCACAAAAAATGCATACCATAATAACAAAAACGATAATCCCATGCACAGTTTAAAAGCTCATACATTGTTTACTAAGAGTTAGCAAGCCGGCAGCAGAACTTTAAGGCAATGCAATGTTTGGGTTACTGTGCCATCGAAAAACAAGCTGGCTCATTTTGTACCTTCCTTTCTTTTGGTATATTACCTTTGATGTGCATAGGAATGGACTGAACTGAAAATTCATGCCTAGCTTTATTTCAGAACCCCACCCACTTGCCCAAGGGCAGGCGGGGATCTCTTTAACCAGAAAGGGGTAGAAAATAGGGTGGGGCATATAGAGGGGGCACTGCAGGGCTTATATGAGGAACCTTGGCCCTCCATGCTTGTCGGGGCTGATGGGAGTTGTAGTTCAGCAATATTAGCATCCCCAAACCTGCCCCAGAGTCTTGAACCCTGATGACCTCCAACCCTTCTTGAAAGGCCAGGGTTTTTTTTTAGCATAGCCTTTGGTGAAGAGGCTGCAATTCTAATGCCACTTACCTGGGAGAAAGCCATATTTTACTGGGTAGATACAGTTGGGACTACACCATTAATCCTTATTCCCAATTTCAGCAAGGATTACTTTTTTTTAGATTGTAAACTCCTTGGGAGCAGGAGCTTATCTATATTGCCCCATATAACTCTATCTGGGGTCAGGTGCATTGGTGACACTTTAAAAACAGTAATGCAAGATTCAATGTTCATGTAACATTGGTCCAGAGCTTTATGTACAAATTTGGCATCGTTGTTTGCTTTTAAGCAGAGGGCAGTAACAAGCCTGGCATGGGGAAACAGAACATCATGCAGTGATTTGGGAGGTTTGCTCAGTTCTCACCAAGTCCCAGCTAATCTCACAACCCTAGCAGCTGTTGCTATTTTGCTGTTCTCTGCAGGCAGATGTGCAGGAAAAGGCGGCAGGAATAATATACCTGTCTAGTTGTGTTGAAACAGCCTTGCAAATAGCCACTAGCCCATGATGGGTCAAAGTCTCCTCCAGGATGCCAGGTAGCAAATCTCAATGGAAGTTACTTCGTTTTAATTAATTAATCCATGCAACAGATATACTAACACAGGTACATGGCAGCAAAATAACTAGTCTGTTTTGGGGTTAATAACTTTTTTTTTTTTGGCCAGGCTATACTGACTCACCCCCAAAGATTTAAACTCTGTTAAAGCAACTTATTGTAACTTGCTTAATTCACAAAATCCCAGCATCATCCCAGCCTCAAAAAAGTCTGATGCTGGTGCCTTGAAAATGGGAACTGACCTCTAGTCTGAGCCAGGAAGTTCCCTTATCTCTACACAAACAAGACAGGAGAAATATGGCATCTCAAACTCCATCTGTGTATGAACTGCAAGGCCACTACTGCCTGTCATGATGATGTTTGCCTCAAGGCAAGAACAAGATAGAGCATGAGATAGGCTCTGTGCCCTGTTCTCCTTTTGCAGAGTTGATGGGAAAGCTAAAATATTATTATGATTACTTATTGCATTACTTCCTTTTTTCAGAGAATGTGACACCAAGTGACCCAAAAATTAAAACCAAAACATAAAAACCAGAATAAAACTAAAACCCAACAGCACATCTGTAATATATATAAAAGGACAGGTATAAGTAACTCAACCCCCCCCCAATAAAAAGACAAGCAAAAAGAGACCACCATAGAAATACCCAATACCCTCCACATTTAACAATTGAAAGCTTGGATGAATAGGAATGCCTGATGCCTGAAAATGGATAAGAATGGCATCAGGCATGCCTCATGGGGAAAGCATTCCACAAACAGGGAGCCACCACTGAAAAGGCCTATACTTGTTTTGCCACTTTCTGCACATGGAGAAGGGTCTCAGATGAAAAATGCAGGCTGTGGGGTGGCTTCTGTGGGGAGGAGAGGCAGTCTCTAAGGTATTGGGGGGTCAAGAACTGCATAAGGCTTTACATAGGTTAAAGCCAGCACTTTAAATTGAGCCTGGAAACTAACTGACAGCCAGCAGAGTTGTTCCGGAATTGGCATCTTATGCTTGGACTGCCTTAAACAGGTGCACAATCTTGCTGCGCAATTCTGCGCCAAGTGCACGTCCAAAGCAGTCTTCAAAGGCAGCCCCACGTGTAACAAGCTTCAGTAATCTAACCTGGAGTTTAACAGCGTGTAGGCAACAGAATGTCAACACTTTAAATAGCAAGAGGCTTGGATTTCAGAAGCAGCCTTGGGGAAGATTTTCAAGGAAGCCTCTGGAAGAAGAGCCGGATAATAATCATAAGGTTTCACCCATCTCCCCTGCTGCTTGAATAATAAGGCAAGTCAGTTTATTATCATAACATTTTCAACTTCCAGAATATTACAACATCCTCATAAACATTTTTTTGCTTTTGTTATTACAGGAAGTTAAGGATCCTGACTTACTTTCTTTCCATGTGCAGTACTGAAACATAGTTATGATGACCCAAAGGCTATCTTGCCTTATAGCAGGAAGGGGAAGATGTGGCCTTCCAGATATTGTTGGAGTCCAACTCCCATCATAGCCAAAGATCAGATGGCAATCGTACTCCAGCATCGTCCATCTGGACGGCCACAGGTTTCCCATCTCTGCTTTACATAATTGAATGTTTCTTTCAGTAACAGTGTTCTAAAAGGGTATCTTCATTTTTATTTAAAAGCATATATTCTGTTCTTCTGCCCCGGGAAGGGACGTCAAGGCAGCTATTTTAGTAAACAGTGCACAAGATGAAAAGCCAATTCTGCCAAAATGATAGGCAGTGTATTACATACACAATGACTCTATAAACACAGTTATTTAACACAACCCACAGCAAGACAACTAGTAGTCGTTCACAAACATTAGAATGAGGCTACAGCGAGTGCCCTATTTTATATAATGCTGGCTGGCACAACCAGAGTAATGTTTGGACTATTACTATTTTTTTAGTAACAGGGTATAAGTCACTTCTGAAAAGTAGAAAACTCAAAATGCTCAATTAATGGTAGAGGGACCCAATAATGCAAAATATTTACTTCACAAAATCAGGAGGTAAATGGCTTAAGGCCTTTTTAATACACATCACTCAAGAAGCCACATAATGAGTCCACAACATTTCATTTATCAGATTCTCACCTGAGCTTTAAAATACGCTCAAGACCTGTTTGCTTGTGTTTTAAGCTGTTGTAAAGTCTGGTTTCCTGCACAGCCAGCCTTGTGTCTGTTTGCAAACTACGGCATGCAGGAAATCAGTATTAGCTTTGCATCAGGTCTGAGAGGACAAGACTTCTGAGGTGGCTTTGTGCCATCATGGTATTTGGCACTGCAATGATTTGTTTTTTTGGGAAAAAGTACATTTGGCTTAAGCTGGCCTATCCACATTCAAAACAAGTCACTTCACACTTAATTATTACGAGCACGCAGTAGGCTTGTCTCTCTGAACAACATGTGTGTGACAACAGAACACTCTTCTGGTGGAAATCACTCCTCAGCGGGTTGAAAGTGGAAGTGCTCAGCCCAAACTGCACCCCGCTTTTAGAGCTGCTCATAACCAGCATTATCACGAGTTTTGCGGCTGACAAAATAAGCCATAAGAACGAGAGCAATTAATCCTGCCAGACACGCTCCCACCATAATGGGCACAAAGAAGTAGTCCACCTCTGGGATGCAATCTTCAGCTGGATGGAGAAAGGGTAACAGGAATGTTAAGCAGTTGAGAGGTCCCGTTTGGATGACAAAGTAATTCTGCCCCCTTCCCATTTGCGGCATGTGTGGGAAACCTAGAGGCTTTCAGTGTAGGCATGCAAGCACCCAAGCTGCCTTCTCAGTTGACACTCCTCCAGATGCACTATCTCTAGCCCACCAAATAGCCTTTTGGTGGCTGGGGGGGGGGGCACAACTGTGATGGGAAGGAGGGATTGTGTTGGGGAGGATGACATACTGGGATATTTATCCCCACCAGTCATATTCCTGGCATAAACTCCATTCCTCCCTGAGCAGCTATCAGCAGCAGGTTATAACCCAAACCCAAACCTTTTCTTTCCCCACACCCACCCCACTGTGTGTACATGGTCTCACTGCTCGGCCCGAGGTGCAAAAAGGTTCGGTATCAAAGTAAACTATTCTGCAATGCATTTCCACCATGGATATTAAAACAAAGGAGAACCTTACTGGGACAAAAACTGTTTTCTGTTGCTCAGGACCCTGTTTCCATAAATAGTGAGCTAGATGTTTTCTGGGAAGGCCAAAACCAGGGCCTTTTGCTTTTGCAAAAATAATTTCCTGGGCTAACCCTGGCCTTCCGTGGTCCTCATCACTCCCCAAAAGTCGTAACTTTAGCTGAAGGTAGCATACTAACACGAAACACCTCTAGGGCTATTAGAAATGTGTGCAGCTTTCTTGCATCCAAAATGCCAAGAATTTGGTGGAATGTTAGGGTATCACTGCAGACCACAAAATTGGGCCCAAATCTACCCAAACATGGAGGCTCAGAGAGCCCATTTTATGAGGTACAAATTCAGGCAATCTGCAAAATTCCTCCACTTCGCTCAGGAGTTACTGAATTAGGATGTCACAGAGTTTACCCCCTACAGGAAATACTACGCTACCAAACATAGAAATAGTTTACCCATTTTAAAGTACAGAATGTGTGTCTCTAGCTGCAGAAAATACAAAGATTATTTACAGATGCAGTCCTTCCCACCAACAGTAGGAACTTGGAAGCTCTATTTCCTTCTTCCAAATGCACATGACGACATAGTCTTGCAAACATTCTCTTTCCCTAACTGTCCAATCTTTTTGTTATCCAGTAACTGTTGGGGTGCCGGACTATTGCCCCTCCAGATGTTGGACAACTCCCATCAGCATGAGAGCTAGCTTTCACCAACAGCTGGAGGATCAAAAGTTCCCTGTCCCTGCTATGACATTATTGGGATTGTGACTGTAAAAACGAGCAGACTGTAAAAATGAGCAGATAATTCTGCTGCCCCAAGAAGCAACGCCTACGTATACTTTAAAAACCACCCTTTTTATACTGGACATGTATTACAGCATAGGAGTGCACTAGTTCACTTTCAGAGTGCCTGTGATTTTCTGGAGCTAGCCTAACACAACTGAAAGGAGCTTCTCTTACTACTATGCACATTTCCAGGATCTGCAGCCTGATCCCAGACATGCTGATTTGAAAGCTTTGCCTCTACTTCAGCGATACTTCAAGCACAAGGTAAGACAGCTCAGCCTTAAGCCCATTTAGGCAGGAGATGGGGAACCAATCACCATTCAGATGTTTGGTTGCTGGGCTCCCACTCCCCTCTTCCATGGCCAGGGCTTCTGGAAGCTGCAGTCCAATAGCATATGGAAGAGCACAGGTTGCCCATGCCTGATTTAGACCATGCACATCTTATGGCAAGGCTAACGATTGTCCTAATGCTACTCTCCAGGGATGTGGCTGCCCTGAAAGTGTCCTAACAGCAGCCCAAATCTTAGCTCCAAATGAGTGCCCAGATACAGACAGTAAGTCATACATGTGTACCTTCCCGGATACCACCTAGCCTAAGGAGGTTTCAGGGTAGTTTTGAAGGACATCAGCTAGTTTATACACCTGATGCCTTCTAGTCCAAGCCAAAGATAGGAAGGACTTGGCCCCACATTCCAATCCTCCATACAGAAGGCAGCTTGGCCATGCTAGCTGCAAGCCACCATTTTATACAATGCAACTGCTAAATAGTACAAGCACACCCTAATTGAGTGAATCAAGCTGCCCTGATATATACTATACGGACACTGTAATATGGGTCCAACTATTAATGCTGCAAATTCTATGCCCAAGCGAGTGCTTTCAGAACATCTGAGCATGCAGGGTTCAGCTATTAACATGGTTTTCCCCATCTCTTCTTGTTTCTTTTCAGATAGGATAAAAATATGGTATTAAAGACATCTAAGTGTATAAAGAGGATTTGTGGAGAGGCAGAATCTAGGCAATATTATAGTCTGCACTGGAATGAATCTTAGGAGTCTAATGCAACCCAGTCGTGCGTAGCTTACATATTTAAACTCTGCAGGATTGCAAAAGCTGCATGTAAGTGTGTCCTGCTGAATGAGCTCAAGGTCCAGCTTGCCCAGGATTATTTACTTTGTCTGGTCTACTTAGTCTACCTTTTAGCCATCTCTGCTTTTAGAGCCAACTTTTGGATTTGCAATCATGTTAGTTAAAAATAGCAAGGAAGGATTTGCCAGGCCCACAGAACATGGGGAGTGGAGGTTTAACCTTTTCCTCTCATGCCATGGTCCTGATGTCCCCACTCTGTTATTTTTAACTGATGCATCAGCCCTCGCAGGGAAGTCTGCACTGGTGCCAACAGAGGCTTTTCTGTCCAGACCAGGAGCAACTTTTTAGGGTTCTTAAATTTCTCAGGATTGCATCAGGGAGGAAGAGTTTTAAACCTCCCCATCTTCTGTGATCCTCATATGCTTCCCCCTGCCCTCACAAGCGTTTGCTATTTTTAACTGCAAGTGATGAGTTTATGTCGTCTGGCTTAGCCCTTACAGCAGTAGCTTTCAAACTGTGTTCCAGGAAAATGGAGAAAGAGGCGACCGTGGAGTTTCAAAAATGGAGATAAGACAAGGGACAAAACATTCTTGAGTGACAGTTTCCCCACCACTACAGATCATCCTCTACGCTGTGCAAAGCAGACACAGGATGCATTATACGGTGCAGTTGAAAGAGAGTGGACAGCAGCCCCTCACCCCAATCTGTGGGTATACTAGGACTTCTGTAGGGTTTCCGTGATAGATGCACCAATAATTCAATCAGCAGGTAAGTTACCTGGAAGGAGCCATCTGGAAAACCATAGCTTTATAGTAACACATAATCTACTGTCCAAGCTTAGAGAGAGGGCAAAGGTGCTTGAGGAGACTTTCCAGAAAAGCTTTTCAATCAAGCAATGTGACCAAGCTTCCTTAGGAACAGAAGATTCTTTATTAAAGCATTTTGTGCACAGACAATCAAGTCCTTACGTAGAAATACAATTATATAAGAAAGACAGTGACTTCAACAGATTAAAGCAGACATTAAAGTTTCAGGTGTTTTAACACAAACCAGTCACTTTGAAGCTGTGCAGATTTTAAGTAGAAAAGCTCGTGTGCTTAGCAGAAGCATTTCTATACCTTCAAGATGAAGGTGTGCACTTTGCTTAGCTTTCCAGGACACATTTTTGCCATCATTTCTGACCCTCTGTGTCTGGTCTAAATCTGTTATGGCATATGTGCAATGAGAAATTGCTATGACAAATTCAGTAAGCTGGTACATGTTAACACAAACACACATGCAAAAATCATCAAATTGCCAAGCCAAGGAAAGACTTTTCTAGCAGACAGCTCACAAGAGTGATTTAAGCAAGTTGATTTATGTTTGGAGGAGGAAACACAAGCAGATAAATTGCAGCATGGGTGGGGATTGCCACCTTGTTCTCTTCATTCTTAACATAATGAGCCACAAGGGCTAAAGGGCCACAGTGAATTAATCCTTGATTTAAGGGGAATCCCACTCTTATTCATCTAGGCTAGAGGATTCCAAACCGAGGTGGTTCTGAACAGGCACAGTTTAAACTCTCAGAACAGATGGTTCATTTTTGGAGGGCACTCTACATATTTAGAGAATCAATTGTTGCAGAAACTCTACATATTTCAGTGGTCTTTTATGTAACTAAATCTCTTACTGGAAACTTGAGTAGTACATTGTACACCAAAGTCATTTGCTGCAAAATGTAGAGCAGAAATTTATTTTTGATCACGTTTTCTCACCCTGCCCATGGCAGTATACTTCAGGTAGCAGCTTGCCTCAAATGTAGTGATAACCATGGATCTTATTTTTTTAATATCCAAGGTTGAATAACCAAGAACATAGTTTTCATTTTAGCACACAAGTAAGTATAAACAGACTTTTAACAGCTTCAAGCCACTATCAACGGCTGCAATGGAACCAAAAGACTTTTAACAGCAAGCCCAGTTATTTGCTGTAAAAGTTAAGGGCACTTTGAACTCTGATTCTCTCTCTTTTTTATTTTTAAGAAAGGAATGAGAATGCTAAGATGAAGGGTTCCTCCTCTATCCCTGCAGATAGTAAGAAAGCAATACTAAGCCCCCGCAAGATCCAGCTCTGCGGTTTTCCAAATGACCAGGTAGGACAGGACAGTAATTAGGATTTACAAGCTTCAGAAGTTACTAGTGCCATGGTGCTAGTAAATGAAAAGCTTTTACATCCTTGCCGGCATTATTCAGGTTTGCTTGGGCTGAGATGGCTACAAAGGGATTTTAATTGCTGAATGCCATGAGCTGGAAAAATGCTGCTTAAGCACTACACAGCTCCCCTGGCTGGTATCCTAGGCTACAGTCACCAAGTCAGCCAGGTTACCTTTCAGTTGTAAAGGATGGAGTGTACAAAGCAGTAAGTACAAACCCCAGCTTTTCCATGCTGTTCTGATATTCTAAGTGGATCACCCTAAGTATAATTCCTTTTTGTACCATTGCCTGTTTTGCAGGTATATTTCCACACATGAAATTCACACACAAACGTATTTGCAAGGTTAACTTTCCATGGGCTGGTTTTGCCATGACCATTAGTCAGTCCCAATACATTTTTATGATGTCCTTATTATGTTCAGAAGAGGTACGTTCTTGATCATGTTTTGTTTTGGGGGGCCATTTCCACAGTTTTAAGGAGGAGAGAATCGTGGACCTTTTTGGTGGCTGGTTTCCATTTGGGAGCTTGCACTTTTCTTTAGACATCGCAGCCAAAGCCAAGAACAAGTCACACAAAATTTACAAGGTTTGATATCCGGGTTGGCTTTGTCTTCTGCCAAGCGCGTAAGCAATCACTATAAGCATAATCAAGCCCATAAGACCAGCGCCAACTATAACTGGGATTAGATAGGTGTCATCATCCAGCAAACATTCTCGTGCTGTAGACAAGAAAGGTGGGAGAAAATATATATATGATGTCTGCCAAGAGCTATGCCTTCGCCTTTATGCGAGCAGCATTACAATCCCACATGCTAGAATTCTGGCCTTTGGTCTGACAAACAACCAAGTCTGACAAACAAGAAGATTTATTAGATGACCAAAACGATTCAAAATTTGCAGATGTATGCCTGAAGTTGCTAAGCTTACAAGAAAATTTTGTTAGAAATCAAATGCTTGCCATAAGAACATTAAAAAGAATCCTGATGGATCAGTCCAGCATCCTGTTCTTGCAGTGACCAGGAGATGCTCATGGGCAGCTCACAGGAAGTATCTGGGTGCAATAACACCCCGTTGTTTACAGCAACTGGTATTCAGAAGCATACAGCTTCTGGGAGTGGAGGGAGAATGTAGGAATCAGGGTTGGCAGTCACAGGCAGGCTTATCCTTCATTAACTTGTCTAATCCCCCTTTTTAAAGCCAACAATTTTCACCTTAGATGACTGATGGAAATACCAAAAGGCCTCGTTTCCTAGCACTAGTTTAGATCAAGGGTTGAATTCAGGTACTGGGACACTGGTTCATCCAATTAAATTAAAATCTTTCGTCTATAGAAAGCATTTTGTGGGTATGGAGAATGAAGCAAGTTTAGAATTCATTTTTTGGGAGCTCACAGGTAGCATGTCAAGATTAACCCTGATTATGGCTATAAAAACTATGAATGCTATAAAGGAAAAATCTATTTTTCTATATTATAATAGATAGATTTTTGTGGTAAATAGAAGATGCTTATTCCTAATTGTAGAATACATTATGCCTTAAAGAAATGTTATCTGATTCCTGAAATACTGGGGTGGGGGGGGGAATTTACATTTATATCTTTAATCACTATTGCTCTTGCAATATAGTTTTTTTTGGGGGGGGGAGGTGACAAGCAAGTCTGCTGCCTAAAAATTATTATTCTGTAACTACCGGGCTCAAAGGCTTTTTGAAAGCTAACCATCAAGCCAGATTCAAATAAATGAATGAATAAATGAACAAATACCACATAGAAAAAGCCTCTGCTTTTGGAGAGTCACCTGCCAATGGTTAGAGCATGACATGCACTTGTCTGAATCAGGTTTGCTCTTTAAGATCCACTCCATCCTTCAAATAATTCCCCCTTCTCAGAAAACAAAAAATAAGTGTAACCTTAGAACCACACTAACAGTACCCAAATACAATCCCAGGTCATGTCAGAACTAAAAGCTATCGGCTGAAATAAAACAGGCTTACTATTTAATTGCAAGGTTGATCTCTGCCAGGATATCCCTCCATAGAAATGGTGCAGCTGGGAGAGGGCTTTGCCCCACCTCTTACAGATCTCAAATTCAACAGCAGCAATTTAGTCAAGATATACTCACTCCCACCAATAGTACTTTTGACAAAACCTGCATTTCCATTATTTCTAGCACAGCTGTAAGTTTAACTACTGTACAATTGCTATCTGAGAGCCAGCCAAGATACTATTCATTGCATTTTATTGTATTATCTATATATTGTAAATAATTTTAAGAGTTAAGCATAAAGCAATGTACAAGTCAAATAAAATTAAAGTTGGCTCACTTGTCGGGCTCAAGTAAACAGTGAGTTTTCTTTGCTGTTTTATACCTATCTAAAACTTTGGTCTTTAAACTCAAAAGCTTCCGAAGGCTGCTTTTTGGGGGGAGGGGATGGGGGGGGGATTTATTCTTACCTATGGAGAACTGGCCATTCTGTACTTGAAATGGCTGGATCCTTAAGTTGAAGACGTGCAGGCTACATGAAGGAGTCACTACAAGAGTCTCCTTTTTTCGACACATGTATGAGCTTCCGAGGGAGGCCTCCCAGAAAGTGAGATTGTCACTTGCAGCAAACTGCGTTCCTGTGGAGGAAAAAGACGTTTTGCGTGAAGACTTGCAGGGGAACAGTTTATAAGCTCCCATTTCTAAAAGTACTACTGCAGGCCAATTTTGTTTGAGGGGGTCTATTAACTGGGGAAATTTACCTGCGGTGAAATGTGTACAAAACGAGGAGATCAGAACTGAATTTATTAGAGGATAATCAGTTTTCAAGTAGTAAAATGCCACGCTCAAATTTGCTACTCCATTTGTGTGTGGCAAAACGAGGAGAACTTTGCTGATTTTGTGGGTGTCTGAATTCTGTGAACAATTTCAGAGGGAGCACCCACTTGGTTTTTTTAGGCAGTAAGGTATTTTCTCACGGTGCCTTGATGCCACAAGGTGATCTCTTGTTGACACTGCCATCTTGGGTGGCAAGGAAACAGGCACCCCAAACAAGTCGCTGCATTTTATGGCCCGTGAAATCTACCTTTCAGTTTCTGACACAAGGATACCTTTGACTCAAAGCGGAGTGGCCTTAACTTTGCATTAGCCCTAGTATGCATACAGCCAGCTAAGTACTACCAAGGCGCTGGCACACTAAAAAGTTTTTTAAATATTGTGACCCAATAAAAAGATCTGACTTAACTGCTTACAGCTAGAATCTTACCATTTACAGGGTTGGTCACAGTGACGTCCACCGCTTTCAGGTAAAATCTTTCAAAGCTTGTGTTCTTCTGTTTAAGCAAGCAATGCATCAAGTTACATATACAACCTAAAAATACCTTTGCAAAAACTTTCTAGTTCAGCATCAGACAGAATTTAAGAAATTTTAGGGGCCCCAACTTAACAATAAGCCACCACTAGCATTAATAAATCTGAGTTTTGACACTAGAGAAGCTTCTTCCCTCCTTAAAGGTAAAGGTAAAGGTAAAGGGACCCCTGACCATTAGGTCCAGTTGTGGCTGACTCTGGGGTTGCGGCGCTCATCTTGCTTTACTGGCCGAGGGAGCCGGTGTACAGCTTCCGGGTCATGTGGCCAGCATGACTAAGCCGCTTCTGGCGAACCGGAGCAGCACACAGAAACACCATTTACCTTCCCACCAGAGTGGTACCTATTTATCTACTTGCACTTTGACATGATTTCGAACTGCTAGGTTGGCAGGAGCAGGGACCGAGCAACAGCAGCTCACTCTGTCTCAGGGATTCGATCTGCCGACCTTCTGATCGGCAAGTCCTAGGCTCTGTGGTTTAACCTACAGCGCCACCCACGTCCCATCTTCCCTCCTTAGTCATCTTGAAAAAGAGATTTTCTTTAATGGCTTATCACCAAGCTGCTGAACTTCTTTCTTAAAAACTAGGAGTCAAGGGCATGTGACATAGCAAGTAAAACTTAATTGCAATGTAAGGGTGTGCTGTAGCTCAGAGGTGGAACATCTGCCTTGCATGTAAAATGTCCCAGGTTCAATCCTCAGTACCTGTAGGTAGGGCTAGGAGAGGCCCCTGCTTGAAACCCTGGAGAGCTGCTGCCAGTCAGTGTAGACAGTGCTGAGCTAGATGGATGCAATGGTCTAACTCAGCATAAGGCAGCTTCCTATGTCAACCGTGCCTAGCAATACTGCTGCGACTTTGTCAACAAGCAGCAGGAGTTTTTAAAAAATAAAAGTTTGATTTCTGGTTATCCTCCTGCACTTTCATAAGAGGCACAAACAGGGATCTTAACACTCATGCACCCCCTTCCAATACAATAACAGAGTTGTTACGCTGCTCTTGCGAGAGCGACTAACAGTAAAAGGGTGAAGCAACCTGAATGGAGAAATAAGTTTTCAAGAACCTGCAATGAAGCTGAATTCATTTCCCACATATATGCACACAGAATAATGAGTTACTTACGACAGCAAAAGTTAAGACAACCACGATGTCGGTATCTGTCAGGGTGAGGACAGAAGATCTATTGCCGCAACGCCCGCTAGCTGTAGTTGTGTTTGGATTAATGTTCATAAGAGTCTTTGGGAAGAACAGTGCGATATAAATTCAATAAATAAATTTAATAAAGAAATGAAAACCCAGAGCAAACCGAAAATTAAGCCGCTCACAACGCTTCTTTCACAAGCTTCCCCATGCCCATAAAGAATGTCCAATGCTTGTTCATAAACACTGAATAGCTTCTATACTCTGTTGTAGAACTAGCCTGACTATCCAAGCAGATCAGCACTGCTAGATTCCAAAAGAATAAAAGGGGATGCTTATTTCCCCTTCCATCTTACAGTTCCAAGGAGAGTAACTGATCTAAACCGGTACCTTAACAAGCACCAGCTTCTCAGCCTTATGCACTTGGGCTCCCTCTGTGGGTGAGCTGTGCACTTACAATTTGCAGAACAGAATGCCGTCTTCAAAAGTTTTGGGAGGTCCTATTCCAAGGCACTTTCACCTGCTAAACACACACCACAAACTGCATTCCTTTCACCAAGCATACAACTATACAAGCCAGCAGTTGCAGAGCTAAAGGTGTGGGGCGGGGAGAGGATCATCCACCTTTTGATTTATGCAACACCTTACATGCTGTTGCGTTTTCTATGGCTTTCATCTGTCTTTTTGCTGTTTTATCTGCTGCTAATGGATTTTTTAAAGATAAATAAATAAATGTATTTGTTAGCGATTTATGTTTAACTTTGCTAGATGCCCTGAAACCAGAGCTTATGTGTCCAATAGATAAAGAATTGGCTGAAATAATTACCTTTGTCATGTTCAGCTGCAGCCCCATGGTTGCCAGAAGACAGACCTCGGTGTCATTTTTAACAGAGTAGGTTCCTGTGGCAGGTATCTCATCTGGTTGGCTGATGGAACGTGATGATAAAATTGTTGTGTTAGCCTCCTCTGTGGTGTCGTCGGTGATGGAGGTGGTATTGGTATTGGTATTGGTGATGGAGGTGGTATTGATGATGAAGGTGGTATTGGTGATGGAGGTGGTATCAGTGGAGCTGGTATCAGGAACAGCAGGCTCAGGGGTGACTACAGCATCTTTATCACACACGGTCTCTGAAAAATAGAAATATATACACTAGCAGCACAGAACTAAATTCACAGACCCTGAAGAACATCAAACTGTTCACCTATTTCCAGCTATGAAGATACTAGCAAACTATGAAGACTATCAAAGGGCCAGAACTCAGTGGCAGAACACCTGCCTTGCATGCAGAAAGTTCTTGGGTTCAATCTCCAGCATCTCCTGGTACAGCTGGAAGAGGATGCTGCCTGAAATTACAGAGAGCTGCTGCCTACCAGTGTAGACAATAGTGAGCTGATGGACCCAATGGTCTTCCTCTGTTTAAGGCAGCCTCCTATGTTCCTATAGCTTGTGCACACAAAACAGGAGACAACCAGTAAAGGCCAACTAGCAACTTTTTAAACTAGAGGACTGCCAAAGAGTAACGCTCTGGAACCACAGCAACAGAACCTATTTTCTGGAAGTGAAAAGTAAATGAAAATAAAAATGCACTTCTAGAAGAAACAACAAGCCTCAAAAAAACCTTAGCAGTCCCCACGTCAGATCTCTAAACTCAGATAGGGAACCTGCAGCTAATCAAATACATATGCTGACTAGATAAACTGGCAAAGTTCATCAGAAGCTTTGTAAAACTGCTAGAATAGGAGTCTTTCAAACGCTGTCGGACTACAACTCCCATGATTGCAACCACTGGCCATGAAGGCTGAAGCTGATGGGAGTGGTGGTGCAACAACATCAGGAGGGCCACAGGTTCCCAACCCCTAGGGTAGAGGGGAAAAAATGTTTGCACAAGACTATAAACTACTAACTTTGGTCACTTAGGTTGCCAGATGGAAGAAAAGCCTCGAGAACGACATTCTGGAAGTTCTGTATAACACTGCCAGATTCAACGAAGTCCACATTTTGACAAATGAAAACTGTGTCTAGATTAACTGGATGCAAAGGATAGTTTGTAGAGGTGGTAATTAGTCCTATTAAAAAGAAAAAGAACAGATGCTTTTAAGACAACTGATATTATGAACATTAAAGCCAAGCAAGCAGGTCTTTGTGCGTCTCAGGTACATAGTTGTAATTTTGGCTACAAAAAGCTCTGTGGTTAAATTGAAGGCTAACCAATATGGCATAAGCCATGGTAGGCTACAGCCTAGCTCAAGACAATAATGGTTTGAACTATAAAGCTTCCAGTTGCTGGAAGCCACAGGAGGGGGAAGAGTGGTCTTATCCTAAAACTCTGCTTGCTGGTTTGCCACAGGGAACTGTTTGGCTATGGTGAGAACTGGACTAGATGGGCCAACGGGATAGGCTGATGACCAGAACCAGCAGGCTCTTCTGACTATCTTACTACGAAAATACGTTTTATCATGTACCAAATCCCAAATCTGTCTGACTAGAAGGCATTTAAAAGGCTTATAAATGGCCTCGGCCCAGTATACCTGAAGGAGTGTCTCCGCCCCCATTGTTCTGCCCGGACACTGAGGTCCAGCTCCGAGGGCCTTCTGGCGGTTCCCTCACTGCGAGAAGTGAGGTTACAGGGAACCAGGCAGAGGGCCTTCTCGGTAATGGAGCCCGCCCTGTGGAATGCCCTCCCACCAGATGTCAAAGAGAACAACAGCTACCAGACTTTCAGAAGACATCTGAAGGCAGCCCTGTTTAGGGAAGCTTTTAATGTTTGACGCACTATTGTATTTTAATATTTTGTTGGAAGCTGCCCAGAGTGGCTGGGAAGGCCAAGCCAGATAGGTGGGGTATAAATAATATATTATATTATTATTATTATTATTATTATTATTAATAATAATAATAATAATAATAATAATATCATCATCACACCTCTTTAAAACAGAGAGGTCAAGGCAGCAAGACCATCCTAGCTAGAGTTGCAGGGAGGTGGCAATTGTTGGAGGGGAGCAAGAATAGCAGTGGGCTTAGGACTGGGATCATGGAAACAGAGTGCCACTTTTGATACTTTTTTTATTATAGAAAATCTCTGCCCTTGCCCAGATGCCACCACAGGGACTTCTGGGCCACATGGTGGAAAGGAGCAGCAATTATAGGTTGGAATTCTACAATGCTTTGCAATATAACGCTTACTATGTAATATCCTCGTCCATGGAACTTTCACAAATATAAAGTTGTGCAAATTTTTCAAGTAATGAACCGATTCTGCTGTAAACTTGAATTACTCAGCCTCTGAATTTTAAAAAAGGCATTTCTTTCTAAAGTGAGGAGTTCACCCTGTTAAGAGCTGCAACAACTATTGCAGGGTAACTTGGAATGCCACCTTACCTTTCATTTTAGCATCTGGAAACAGGGCTGTATCATTGGTGTTGTAGGTGAAGGAGATGATCCCTTGATAGGTGTCGTTTGTTTTCGTGAAGCTGATATTCCAAGAATGACCTTCTCCAAACTCTATTGCTAGCACAGGGCCAGATATTTCGTTGTCACAACTGCTTCCATCATACCTTACATGTTCAGGGAATGTAAGAACTGTGTTTTTCTGAAACATTTTGAAGATAACAGACAGCAGTCACTGACCAGTACTCCCAGTATCAGCAGGAGGACTTTTGTCTTTTTTCTAGAAAGCACCATCTATATACAGTCGTACCTTGGTTTTCGAACAGCTTAGTTCCTGAACATTTTGGCTTCCGAACGTCGCAAACCCGGAACATCCTACAGGGCTTCTGATTGGCTACTCCTGCAGCCAATCAGAAGCCATGCTTTGGTTTCCGAACGTTGTGGAAGTCGAAAGGACAACTGGAACGGATTCTATTCGACTTCCAAGGTACGACTGTACTGTACTTGAGTTTTGGAAGAGAATTCAAGTTCTCCTACCTATATCCAAGATAATCCCTTTTGTTAGATTTGGTACATCCATTTAAATGCAACCCATTTACTGCACTGGTTTTAAGCCGATTTTAAAGGGATTTTTCTTCCAGGCTGTTGCTAAGAATGGTGCTGTGCAGTTGTGGGGAACCTCTGGCCAGTGAGTGGACCTACCTAGGCCCACCAGATTCCTCGCATTTGGCCTGTAGGGCATTTGGGGAGGGAAACCACACCTATCTGCCAATTACCCAGCATCAGTGTAGAACAACTAAAGCAATCTCTCTTGTCTCTTATATAAGCTCTCTGCCTGTTCTTCTGAGACTAAATGGCAGCATTTTCCCCACCCCAGCACTGGGGTAGGTAGAAATGCTGCCTTTTACAATTCATGAGCAAGTATAGGGGCTTATCTCGGAATTTGGCGCTATGATGCTTAGTGCTAGATGGGGAGATAAAATCCCTCTCTCTCTTTAGAGATCTTGTCTAAACAGGGATGCCTCTTGTCACCTCCACCCCAGTGTTGGAGTGGGGGAGGCTAAAATTACCGGTTGTGGCTGCATGTATGCATTTGTTTGCTTGCCTATGAGAAAGTGTATGTATAGGGGGGTGGGCCCGGAATGCTTGATGCAGGTGCCTGGGGGAGGTAGAAGTACATGTATTTGGGGGGAGGGAGACGTTGAAAGTTGGCCAAGCTTCAATCAAACCCTAAAGCTGCAACAAACACTACCATCAGGATTGTAGAACCCAGGTCTGCTGTACTGAGACTGGAAAGAACCAGGCTGAAACCCTATGACCAGTTATGAAGCTCCCTAGATGACTTTGGGTCAGTCACCATCACCTAAGAGAAGAGTGGGATATTAAATTTAGCAAGAATTTTTTTAACACTAGTAGGTATATCTTGCTCGTGCTGAAATAGCATCTTAATTAGGAATTAAAAGTGGATTGCTAATATATTTTAGCATTAAGATACCCAAATAGGAACTATTCATGGCACATACTTAATATGGAAACATATGTTTACACACACATACACTAGATTTTGAAAGTTTCAATAACAGGTTAGATACTTACATATTCATTGTGTTCAGTTTCATATGTTATAGAGAAGTTCATAATCCATTTTCCAAATAGGCATGTCTCATTGGATGCATCTTTCACTTCTACATCCACAGCATAAGCCTGGTAAACAACTAGAATATTGTTTGCTCATTAGACAATGTGTTATAATCATCTCTAGAAACTCACACTTTGCATTCAGGCTCCTTTGACAGGCTTACATTTTTACACAATAAAATGGTCCTGAATAATCCTCTGCAGCAGCACATGACAGAGGGACATTAGCAGTGGTAAGCAAGCTGTCTTTCAGAGGAACACCATCACTGATCTTACTGGGGGAACTCCAAAATGCCTCTGTGGGACCTCAGTGCTTTTGGGTAGCATTTTGTGTGAGCCACTTCTTTAGAGACACAGAGCCTCTTGTGCTAGCAGAAAGGGAAAACTGGGTTTCAAAAGCAGACAGACTGAAATTAGCGGACCTAGATTAGTCACGTTCATTTTCGATGGGTCTGCTCTGTGTAGGACTAACACTGGATAAATTACATTTGCACTTGCAGCATTACAAAGCAGAACCCATTTCTACGGTTTGCATTTGTCCATCTGTCCCTTTCATTTGTCCATTCTTTATTCATTAATGACGTGCAGATATAATTAGAAGGAAAGGGGAGCAAGGAGAGATGTGGTCATTTAAGGGGTGGGAAATATGAAATGCTTTTCCACCTTGCCCAAAAGAGGCTTCCAAAGAGCGTTAGAGCACTCCCAGCTGTTAACCTCAATGCTTGCTTGTATACAGTAGTGAGTAGATGGTCCTTTACTCCAGGAGAACGAGTAGGAGAAGGGATTAAAGAAGCCTTCTTGGGGGATAGTAGCTCAAGTACCCAAAGAGTGGGTGAGTGTAGGGTAAGAGCCGTAGATACAAGGGGATTTTGTTGGAAACCCAATGCATAGACCTAGGTCCACTCACCTATCCCAATCACCTATCCAAAAAGGCAACACATTAGGGTTCACCATTTAAGTGAACTTAGAAGTATTCATTCTGTTTTCTTGCCAAGTACAGGGCAGCCTGAGAAGTCTTATTAACTACATTAAGCTTGCAAAATATTATTACCTGCTAAAACCATTATTATAAGGCATGATAACATGCCCATCAACCTTAAATAAAAACACATTCCCTATCTAATCCCAACCAAGGCACATCATACATTCTTGGTAATTCTTACAGAACAGGAAGTGTAGGTTAGTGTTATGAAATATGTGTCAAGGGATGGTTGCTTTTCTGAAGCCGTCTACCAGATATCTGGACATGGTGATATTTAAACAAAGGTCTGAATCACCACATTTAAACAAAACAAAACACACCTGCAGGCAGTATTTATATCAAGAGTTTTTAAAGGTAACTAAAGTGGAAGAAACAGTTCTTCTGCAGCTTTCCCCATTCCAACAGCCTTCAGATCCTGCTGGACTCTGATTCCCATCAGCCCCAGCAAGCATGAGCCATGGTCAGGAATGATGGGATCTGTAGTGCAAAACATCTGGAGGTCACCAGGTTGAGAAGGCTGTTGTAGAAGCACGAATTTCAATTTTACAACCATTTGTTCACAAGCATGCTTTCTCTCCTCCCCTTTCCCAGCTGCCAACACCCACATCAAAATTTATTCTGGAAGAATGATCACTACATTTGTAATACCCACTGTTATTCTTTCCATGGCTACAAGCTTAGCATTTGTAACTGTGACTTGCAACTGTGACTTCCTTCTGTTGATGGAAGACACAGGGTATGCCAGATCTTTAGGGCGGAATAATGACACTACAGTACATGATCTTTTAAAGAAGGCAATAGGTAGGCATTTCAGCTGGTCATCTGAAGAGGGGCCATTTGTCATTGAAATTGTTTCTCTGTGCTATGAGTTTAACTTTCTGGTAAGGGGTCTCCAAAGAAACCAGCTTTCTCTTTTGCTTAAGAGAAAACCACAAAGTGAGTGACGCATGAGAGTATGTTTGCTTCTGGATCTTTACAGTGAGTAAACCTTAGTCCTGTTCCCGCATGTCTTGGGAGCCTGGGAATGACTGGGGACTTTGGTTCACCAAATGCAAGAGCATCAACATAGAACCCCAAGGTTCTTCTGAAGTCACTTTATTTCAACCAGCTAACTCTTTTGTAAGAGGTCTTGACTGATAAAACATTGCTGCAACATACTCAAGCCATGTTTAACTCATATGTAGGTATGGGAAAGCTTCACGTTTCGCTTCTTAAACTAGGACATGTTGCTGCCTTAAGTCAAATTAGAACAATGGTCCATCCATCACAGTAGTTGCCTTTTATGGCAACAGCTCTTCAGATTCTTTCTCAAGAGCCTTTAAACTGGATTTGTGAGGAATCTCTGTGCATACATTGCAGATGCTCTAACCCCCAAGCTATGACCCCCTGAAGACTATGTCCTGCTCTTAGCAGACAGCAATGCCTTAGTGCCATGTCAAGTGTTTAAAGAACATCTGCACATATAACAAAACATTGTTTTCTGCACTCTCATTAAGGTCGTAAAGTGCAATACCCCCACTTTTTTAGTTTACCATTTGAGAGGAGCACTTTACAGGCCCATCTCAAAATCTGCATCCAGGTAATCATGCTTTTAATTGGGCAAGCTATGGACTGTTCAGACGTTCACAGCCTGACTAACATTTAATCATGTTTACTGGAGAGCAAATTCAGCAAGGCTTACTTCTTGGGGGCAAGAACGCTTAGGACTACAATCTTAGCATTTCGGAGTTAGCTTTGCTGCCCTGTCGTTATTTGAAAAGAAAAGAAATACTTATCTTTAGTTTTTCTTCAGTGCTTTTAAGAATATGCTTTAGAAGTTATAATTCCAAGGTTTCTATTTTTTAATTAACTGGAGCTACCTCTGGAGCCTTACTTGCCTGAGAAGCAGGTTAGAATTTTCAAAGGGCTAGGAAGATATAATACGTCAACCTATTTCCAAAATGGCTCCTTACCTGACCTTTACCTTTCAGATATTCCTCTACCCCATGCTATGGCCCCTCCCAATCCTGAATACACCCCAACTTTTTGACTGAAGGCACAGTTCACTCCTGATCCCAAAGTTCACTTTTAGCAGGGAAGAGCAGCAGTTACCCAATTTCCTGCATTTCTGCACACCCCACTGTGCTGAGCACATCTCCCACGGGAAAGAGGCAAGTCTCAACTTAGGCAGAGGACGCAACAACTGATTTTGATGAGCATCCACACAAATCAAATGACTGAATACCCTCCCAATAGAGAGATGGAAGAAGGCAACTGACAACTGAATCACTCAGCTGCCCTCAAGGTAGAGGCACACACCAGCAGAGTTCTCCTGGGAGGTAACAAGCCCTGCCAGGTAATGCAGAGACATACAGCACAGGCCATCTCCTTCCCTGGAGTAGCCAGTGTTGATGTGCACCTCAGCATCACTAGCAGCAGTGGTCCATTCCTGTTCAATATAGAGCATAGATAGACCAAACCCCACATCCCCAATAATGAACAACTGAGGGAAGCAAGTAAGCCTGGAACACCCACTCAAGCAAGGGTGTAACAGGTGAGCCTCCTCTGAAGACAGCCCATTCTTCTTGATCTGCTAAATTCAGCAGCTGAATATCCAGGATGCACTAGTTGCAGAGAGGAAGGCTGGACAGCTGAGATAGCCCAGGAGGTAGAGCATAAAGATCTTAATTCATCTACGCAGCTGCAAATAAAATAATAATAATAATAATAATAATAATAATAATAATTTATTTGTACCCCGCCCATCTGGCTGGGTTTCCCCAGCCACTCTGGGCGGCTTCCAACAAAGATAAAAATGTCACATATTAAAAACTTCCCTGAACAGGGCTGCCTTCAGATGTCTTCTGAATGTCAGGTAGTTGTTTATCGCTTTGACATCTGATGGGAGGGCGTTCCACAGGGCGGGCGCCACTACTGAGAAGGCCCTCTGCCTGGTTCCCTGTAACTTGGCCTCTCGCAGTGAGGGAACCGCCAGAAGGCCCTCGGAGCTGGACCTCAGTGTCCGGGCAGAACGATGTGTTGAAAGTGCAATATACAAATGTGATACTACATGGCAACAACAAGCTATGCAAAATTCAGTGTATTTTTCAAAAAAAAAAAATATTATTAAAAAATGCATCTTCACAGAGTTTTTTTAATATGTGTGTAGATTCCACCTGAGCTTCAAGCCCCATGTTGGGCAAAGGATTCTAGCACTGCAGGAGATTGGACTAGATTACTTTCATGGTCCCTCCCAACTCTACAATTCTATCATTAATTCATTGCTTCCTGCACTGAAAGGGGTTGGACTAGATGACCCTCGGGGCCCCTTCCAACTCTAACAATTCCAATATTAAGATTCATGAAGGGGGCCAACAGGCACCCTCCCAGCTTGAGGCTCGCAAGTCATTTCAAGAGCTTTCAAGAGTTCTCCAGCAGCTCAAAAAACCTAGATGCTACTTCTATCAACACATCTGTTGGGCTTCTGTGTGAGTCACCAGACCGCTTTGTGTCCATCGCCATTGTGTTGATATAATAATAATAATAATAATAATAATAATATCAACACAATGGCGATGGACACAAAGCGGTCTGGTGACTCACACAGAAGCCCAACAGGCACCCTCCCAGCTTCAGTCTGGGTTCTCTGCGGTGCAGTGTGCGCGCGTCTGGTTGTAAACACCAGAAGGCTGCTGGTTCGAAACCACCCAGGGGCATCTGTGCGCGGGATTCCCGCATATTGCAAGGTGGTTGGACTAGATGGCCCTTGGAGGTCCCTTCCAGCTCTTTTTTTGGTGGGGCGGGTTGTCTATCCAATCCCACTGCCCCTCCCCCCCCCGCAGCCGTTTCAGCCCCGCTTTCCTCCCAGAGCCGGCGCTCACCTGATCCCTCGAGCAAGAAGAGGACGAGGGCGCAGAAGAGAGGGCGCGGGAGACGACCGGCGGCTGAGCTCTGCGTCTCCATGCCGGCAGCGGAGAAGCGACTTCCTCGGAGCCGGAAGAAACGAGCGGGCAGGCGCAGGTGGCGACGGCGACCTCAATGCCAGTCACCTGAGTAGAGCGAGCGAACGGGGCTGGGGAGGGAGGAGGAGGAGGAGTCGCTGGGCGTGGCCTCGCGGCGGCAGCCAATCACGACGCCGACCCCGCCCCGCCACCGTCTTCGTGGTTCACAGCCTCAGCCGCTTCTCCGGCAACCAGCAAGGGAGGGTGACGTTGGGCTGCGCGTGATTGTTTACAGGCTGTCATCCTCTTCTCTTCCTCATTGTTGCTGTTAAGAGTGTCTTTGTTTATTAAACTCCGCCTGACGGGACTCGAGGCGACTTACTGATTAAAAAAAAGAACCGCTAACGGTTCTTAATAGAATTAAGACAGTATACATGGATATAAAATCTGTTTACAACGTACAAATAATTTTAATAAAACCAGCCCATTCATTAAGCCTTGTACCAAGCCCGCCCTATCTCCTCTTCCACGTTGTTAAAAGCTTTTTTTGAGGGGCTTATAAAAGGGAAGGGGAAGCGCTACAAAAATAGTAAGACACAGAGATCGGTTTTGTTTTAAATGATAAAGCAACAACACGCACCTGTAACTCTCGGTTGTTACCGCTTTCCTGTATTTTACATTGGAAGCGCCTGGGGGCAAGGACCTTTTCCTCTTAGGTTAGGCAAAAGAAATATTATAGGCATATTAAATACACCTAACCTCTCATTTATTTTATTTAATAAAATCTGTATATCACTTGATTGTAGTAAAACCAAGTGGTTTGCAAGAGATACTAAAAAGTATACACAAAAAACCCCCAGTTAAAAACAATTATAATCTTTGAAAAAAATAATAGCACGAGAGATTAAAGCGCATCAAGATCTACATATGAGTTGTAGACAAAAAGAGACAAGGTGTGTATGTATGTGCACTCTCTCTTTCTGTCCCTGTGTATGTGTGTGTTTAATCACACTATCTGTGCTAAGTGGCTTACCAAGGCCAGAACACCTGTCATTCAGAGCTGTTTTGTGAATTTCCAGAAGGTTAGCTGTGCTTATTGCAACACAAACGACAGTCTTCGGAATACTGTACTAAAAACCAAAAAGTTTATTAAGGATGTATCCAGCACCGGATTTAAGGTGGTGCTCCCCTCACAGGGCACCAAGCCGAAGGGATGCAAAGTGATGGCAATGCAGTATTGAGAATATCCATTTTAAAAGCAACTGCGCCAAAATGAATTATTGTGAAAATAAGAAATAATTAACAGGTGTGTGCCAGATTTTGTCCTTACTCAGGGCATCATATTACCAAAGTCCTCCCCTGGGGGAATGAGATGCATAAGGGTTCGCTCAGGGACAACCTTGATGGGTGGGTGGCAAGAGTTATCCGAGTCTGAATACCTGTATTCATACCTGCATTCAGTTCCGTGTGTGTATGTGTCTAAAGAAATCTCTTGGATCAGGCCAAAGGCCCATCTAGGCCAGCATTCTATTCTCTCAGTGGCTAACCAGATGCCTACCACAAGCCCGCAAGTGTGTACACACATGCAGAATATGTACATATCTCTATGAGAGGCCACAAGACTTTGTCAACCCACACAGGCATGCACATACAGAGGGTCTGCCACTTACACGAGGGTTCAGTTCCAGGGGTCCACGTGCAAAGGTAAAATGAGGCAAAGTCAGGAAGCCCCAGAACTGCCAACCCACCCCCTATGTGAGGCAGAAGGCTGTTAGCTCTGGCAGTTTCACCAAGGCTATCCCATGACATTCCCAGAGCCATAATGCGTGTATACAGGTGAAACTCAAAAAATTAGAATATCATGGAAAAGTTCATTTATTTCAGTAATTCAACTTAAAAGGTGAAACTAACATATGAGATAGACTCATAACATGCAAAGCGAGATATGTCAAGACTTTATTTGTTATAATTATGATGGTCATGGCATACAGCTGATGAAAACCCCAAATTAACAATCTCAGAAAATTAGAATATTAAATGAAATCTACAAAACAAGGACTGCAAATAGAGCAATATTGGACCTCTGAGAAGTAGAAGCATGCATATGTACATTTCCCCCCTTCAAAATATAGTCTGGCCCCCCACATGGTCTGAGGGATGGTGGACTGGCCGCCTGCTGAAAAAGTTTGCTCACCCCTGAGCTAAATTCTACTCAGAGCAAACCTGAGTAAGTCGCGCTATTTCTAATTTGAGTGGTTCTCCCGAGTATGGCTGACATGCTACGCCTAAACAGCACGGTGATAACAAGAACCAACAGTGGTGTTTTGAAAGAAAGTCAACCAAACAAATAAACCAAACAAACCACAGAGAGAAAATGCTGAGTTATAAGACACATCCTGCTGCCCACTGTCCCGTCACATGCAGCTTCTGTAATAACTGCAAATAAAGGGGCTGATGTTGTTGTGCGGGGGTGACGAGATCAGGCGTCAACAACAGCAAAAAATAGATTTCAGGCTGCAGTTTGCAACTCACATTACGAGAAAGTGCTTCTTGTATGTGTGTGTGTGTGTGTTTGCAGTGTATGTTTTGTACACAGTATTTGAAATTGTAAAGGTCGGCAGCACTGCTGATGGGCTCCAGCACTTTCACACCCTTAGCAGATCAGGAGAGAGGTGTATACAAAAAGCAGTTTATGTGAAACCTGAATTCCCAGGTGGACAGACAATGGGCCTTTGTTTTTGTGCTTTTACACACTAACAAATATGCTGTAATTTATTTTAAGTAACCATTTTTTGCTTTAGGATGCACTCTGGCATTTATTCAGATACCTAGGAATTCAGGTTGATATTATGAAACACATTTATTACATTTGAGAGTAAACAACCACCATGACAGTAAAAAGGAGAAGATGCTCATATAAATCAACAATTATATACAGGACTTAAAGTGTTCATCTCTATTTTCATCTATATTTTCTCTTCAAGATTATCATGATCCTACTTTCACAGATGGAAGACCAAGGTAGAGACAAAGGGAAACTTCCAATTTGTTGGAACCACCTTCGTGGTGATAATACAGTACTTGCATAAAGTCCAATTTTATGCATGTTTACTGAGTAAGTCCAGCTGAGATCCATGAGGTTTACACCAAGCATATGAAAGCGGCAATCCTAAGCACACATTTTTGTTCATTGAACTCTTATTTGGGGACCAGCATGCTCAGAAATGCGTTGCAGAAATGGAAAGAATTATCATTGCCAGGCTTGATTGGTAGCATCTAGGGATAATAATAAAATAAAATAAAATACTCATGTGGAACTGTACTGTTTCTGAAATTCTAACTTCACCAGATAAAATGCTCCTAGCACTGGCTGCTCCACAGTGAATCAGCTCTGTAAAAAGGGTAAAAAAAGGTAAAGGGACCCCCTGGATGGTCAAGTGCAGTCAAAGGCGACTATGGGCTTACATTACTCTGATATTCTCTTCTTCGCCACTGGTGGTCAGTGTCTAACCATGCTTGTTGAATGTGAGGCTGTAGGCATGGAGACAGAGAGTAATCAGAAGAGGCAGAGGTGTGGTGAGGGAGAAACGCTTGCTGGTTTGTGGTCCTTCCTGAAGCCTTTTAATGTGGCTTCTTGGCACACATCCCTAATTATTCCTTGGGTATGGCCGCTGTCGCATGCTGACGGTTTCTAGGAGCCACAGGTGAGAGCTGAGTGAAGGGTGGGGACCAAGCTACCCTGGAAGGAGCACACTGTGTCCCCCACCAGAGCTACTCCTCCTCCCCTAACACCCCATATGCCCCTGTATTAATATTTTAACAACTGGTGGATCACATTACAGATTGTTTGATTATAGTACTTAATATTTGTATTGTGCTTTCAAGTGTTTAATACATTTTGTGTGCATTATGCTCCTTGCAGCAACCCTAGAAGTCAATTCAGGAATATTATGTCCAAATATTACAGATGTGGGGGATGATCAAGGCTAGTAGTATCTCATCTGACTGGCAGCAGTTTTCCAGCATCTCAAACAAAGGACTTTCCCACCACCTGATCTTTCTAAACTTGGCTGTGCTCAGTGCAATCTCTGAAGCCCCTTCAGCATCTTCTGCACCTTACTTTGGATTAGTGATGCCACCGCAGCACCCATTCCTGCCCCTTTCTCCCTCTCCCTCCTTGAGAATGCCACTGTGATCAATACCAAGCCCTCCCAGTCATAGTTCAGTAGCCTCAGCTTTTGCAGCTGGAGTCAGTCAGGGTCTTGCTTTCCCAGGTGGGAAGAGGCCTGCAAGGCAGGGAACAAGTCTTCTGTCAGAGCCTGGGTGGACACTGAGGAGCTGTGGCTGGATTTTGATAAGTGTGCACCAGGAGAAGTGGGGGTTGGAGGCTGATTTGGAAGAAAGGATCAGTGAACTGAGGGGACCTGTAATAGCTAAGAGATGAGAGACAGAGGCAGGAGAAGCTGCAGGATTGGCAGGTGAAGAACAGGTGCAGAAGGGAGAGAGAGAAAGGTCCAGCTGGTGTAGAGTCCAGGGCTGCCACACCTCTTCCTCCTGCTCCCACCTCTCCTGCTCCACTCTCCCCGAGGACCAGAAGAGGATTGAAGAGGGAGGAGCAAAAGCTTGCATGCAGCTTTTGGGGGGGCAGGTGGGGGGGGAGATACATAAGCTGAGAACAGGGTTGGGGCCTCTGTTGTAGAAACTGCCTCACTGGGTGCCAGTGGCGTAGCGTGGGTTGTCAGCACCCGGGGCAAGGCAAGTAATTTGCGCCCCCTAACCCGTGGATTTTAGCACTGCGAGTGCAAGCGCCCCCCCCATGTTGTGCCCGGTGCGGCCGGCCCCCCCTGCACCCCCCACGCTACGCCACTGCTGGGTGCACACCTAGAAGTAACTGACAGACACGCTACTGATGGACTTGCTTTTCCCTAACTTGTAAGTGTACTTTTGACAATAGATAACTCCTCACTCCAGATATTCCTTGTCTGTTAGCACCATAATAGACTGACTTGTGATGCACCAGGTATTTGGCAACAATCCCTACCCCCTACTTTTGCTGTGCCAGGCAAGCATCAACCCAGGTCTTCTATCAAGCAATGGGCAGTATTCAACAACAACAACCACCACAAAAAATGCACAAGCAGCAGGGCCAGCTCACCCATGAGGCAGACTGTAGCAGCCACCTCAAGTAGTGGAATCCTGCCCCCACAGGAACCCTGCACCCTGCTGCTGG